ATGAGGTCTCTTCCAACTCTTTGATTCTATGATCCTATGATTCTATCTGGAAGAGGGCCACATAAAAGGACATGGTGGGCTGGATTCGGCCCTCGGGCTTTGAGTTTGAGACATACCTTAGAACAGTAGGATGTTAGGAATTGTGGGAGCTGAAGTCCAAAATACCTGGAGGGATGAAGCTTGCCCATGCCTGCCCTGGAAAATCTTAAGGTGCAAGGGCTGGAATTCTGCAACCAACATGGCTGCCTGATGTTATCATCTAATTTTAGCTGGAGAGGACATGAGATGGACCTTAGGACCTTTCTGTATGCAAAACATAAGCTTTATTCCTGGGAGAAGAAGCAAAAAAATGCAGTGCGTCGATTCAAGAAGCTCATAGGGAGTTAAATGAGAGACAAGGATTTATTTGGGAGTAAGATATCCCATTGGGATGTACTCCCTCTGGTTATAATATCACCCCCCAAAAGCTTCTTAGACATGGCCCCCAATGTCCTAAGATGGTCCACCTGTCACCAAGTTGTCAAGAAACAGTTCAGCAGCTGCCCTGATCTGGGAGAAGGAGGTTTCTGTTTACGCAGTGGTTTTTTTTAAGACGTTGTTTTTTTTAAACCCTTGGATAATGCATATATGTTTATACTTACTTGCTTGCTTAGGCGATCTCTTGTTGTCCGAGTAGGACAATTCTTGATCTGCATCATCTCCCGCAGTGAGGGCATTGGTTTCCAGGTGGAAGGTGGTCCCGGTTGGGGTTGGCTTGACGCGCCTTCCTCTTGGCACATTTCTCTCTTTCGGCCTCCATTCGTGCCTCTTCAAATTCTGCAGCACTGCTGGTCACAGCTGACCTCCAGCTGGAGCACTCACAGGCCAGGGCTTCCCAGTTCTCAGTGTCTATGCCAGAGTTTTTAAGGTTGGCTTTGAGCCCATCTTTGAATCTCTTTTCCTGCCCAGCAACATTCTGTTTTCCGTTCTTGAGTTCGGAGTAGAGCAACTGCTTTGGGAGATGGTGGTCGGGCATCCGGACAACGTGACTGTTCCGGCGGAGTTGATGGCGGAGGACCATCGCTTCAATGCTGGTGGTCTTTGCGTCTTCCAGCGCGCTGTTTGTCCGCTTGTCTTCCCAAGAGATTTGCAGGATTTTCCGGCAGCACTGATGGAATTGTTCTATGAGTTGCATGTGACATCTGTAGACAGTCCATGTTTTGCAGCATACAGCAGGGTTGAGAGAACAATAGCTTTATAAACAAGCGCCGTGGTATCCCTATGTATGTCCCGGTCCTCAAACACTCTCTGCTTCATTTGGAAAAATGCTGCACTCGCAGAGCTCAGGTGGTGTTGTATTTCGGTGTCGATGTTGACTTTGGTGGAGAGGTGGCTGCCAAGGGAGCGGAAATGCTCAACGTTTTCTAATGTTACACCATTAAGCTGTATCTCTGGCATTGGATAGGGATGGGCTGGCGACTGCTGGAAGGGCACTTTGGTTTTCTCAATGTTAAATGATAGGCTGAGCTTCTCGTATGCTTCTGCAAAGGTGTTTAGAGTGGCTTGTAGGTCTTCAGAATGCACACAGACGACGTTGTCATCAGCATACAGGAGTTCTATAACAGATTTTGTTGTAACCTTGGTTCTGTTGTAACCTTGTAACCTTGACTAACTCAACCTACTGGGAGGTTTTGTGGGGACTGATTCACCATGGTGGAAGTTGTAGTTTACCCTCCAGCCAGAGAACACACTGAACCTCACTGATGATGCATCAAGAACAAACTGCATAACTCTATCTGTCTGTCTATACTGTATGCCTAACAGCATTTAATGTTTATGTTTTCTGTGATCTGCCCTGGGTCTCCTTCGGTGTGAGAAGGGCGAAATGTAAGTACTGTAAATAAATAAATAAATAATAAATCAATGGACCCCTATACTGCAAATCCCATGCAATGGAACTATGGTAGATTTTTTTTTTCGTGTCAGGAGCGACTTGAGAAATTGCAAGTCACTTCTGGTATGAGAGGACAGTTTGATGTTTTACCATCCTTGTGGAAGGCTTCTCTCATGTCCCTGCATGGGGAGCTGGAGCTGACAGAGGGAGCTCATCCCTGCTCTCCCCAGATTCGAACCACCGACCTTCAGGTCAGCCACCCAACCTTCAAGTCAGCAGCCCTGCCAGCACAAGGGTCTAACCCAGGCATGGGCAAATTTGGGCCCTCCGAGTGTTTTTGGACTTCAACTCCCACCATTCCTAACAGCTTACTGCCTGTCAGGAATTGTGGGAGTTGAAGTCCAAAACACCCAGAGGGCCCAAGTTTGCCCATGCCTGGTCTAACCCATTGCACCACCCGAAGCTCCACTATGGCAGGTAAAGAGGAATCAAAGTGCTGCAACTGTCCAGTGTGGATAGCCCAGAAATCAGATTTGTAATGCCACTCAAGGATTTATTTTCTTACCTTGCTTAGGTCAGGATCTGTTTGCTTTGCTTTGACAGTCAGTGTGCTCTGGATTTCTACATTATGTGGTTTGGAAGCAGAAAGGTAGAACTGGAAGCGGAAAAATATCAGAATTGGAAAACTTCGAGGAAAGAACTTGGCTCATACTTCTCTCCTTCCCCATGGGATCGATCAAAGCGGTCTTCTTTCCACCCGCTGCCCAAGGACCTGGGCTTACATGCTCCTCTCTGCTCTGGTTTGAACATAAACAAGGCATTAAGCCACCTGTTTCTGTCTGTTATGCGAAAGGATCTGTTGTGTCCTTCCTGATCCTCTCTGGCTGCAGAAATAAGGCTGGGAGTTTAGCAGAAGCTATCAGAAGAATGCATTATGGAAAGCGTTAAGAAAATTTCACGTCCTATGACTTGGCAAGTGGCTAGTAGAAGAGAAGGATTAAGAGCTAACAGTATATAGCAGGCATGGGCAAACTTTGGCCCTCCCGGTATTTTGGACTTCAACTCCCAGAATTCCTAACAGCCCAAGAACAGATTGCCCAGGGAGGGGTCAAAGGATTTCCTTTATAGAAGAAATAAACAGTTCATGAAACAAGTTGCCTGTCCATTGTGGGCAAGTTAAGAAGTATTTGATTGATTTGTTGAAGATTTAAGAATTAATAAAGAACCTTGTTAAACTTTCTAAGCTTCTAAAGACTTTGTATAGGGAAATTCACAGGGCCTCTCAGCCGAGGCACCCTGGGTGACCCGCTGGGCATATAGAGACCACGTCTTGATAATAGAGAATTTCTACAGGCCCAGCGTGTGACAGCACAATAGCTTGTAAATAAGCACCTTGGTCTCCCTATGGATGTCCCAGTCCTTAAACACTCTCTGCTTCATTCGGGGAAAATTCTGCACTCGCAGAGCTCAGGTGGTGTTGTATTTCAGTGTCAGTGTTGACTTTGGTGGAGAGGTGACTGCCAAGGGAGCGTTAATGGTCAACTTTTCTAATGTTATACCATTAGGCTGTATTTCTGGCATTAGAGAGGGATTAGCTGGTGACTGCTGGGAGAGCACTTTGGCATTTGAATACATATACTGTTCTGTCACCGCTGGGCCTGTAGTTAGTTGACTTTTAAAAATAGGATGTGTAACCTTTGCCCAGCAGGAAGCCAGGGGCCTAAGGAGAAGTTCTCAGAGGTTTCCACTACAAAAGAATCTTCAGATGGCTATAGAAGTACAACAAAGTCTTTTATTAATGAAATCAAACAGGAACTTCAAGTCTTTCTTGATAAAGTATTGGTTCTCTCAATCTTGTCCACAGGGGACAGGCACTGTCTTCAATAATGTTTTCTTTAAAGGAAAATTCCCCTTTTTAACTTCTCCCAGGCTGACTGAAATCCAACCCCCTCTGATGTGTGCTCCGCTACCGGGCCGAACTGCTTCTTGGACGCCAAGTGGACCTACCAGCAAGGCAGTGGATATTCTCCAGCTGGAGTTCTTTAGTCTTTAAGGCTGTTTTCCTGGAAATTACCAAAGCTGTGGGAATGCTTCCCTGGAGTTCTTAGGAGACTCTTAAAGCTGTTCTCCTCTGGATTTCTTTCCTTTCTGTTTCTGTTGGAATTTCTGTAGCCCTGGAAATTCTTAAAGCTTGTAGCCTTTGTACAGGGGAAGTTACACTCATCCTATACAAAGCTAAGCTGGCTGAGACTAACTAAGAAATGGCTCCCTTCCCTCCAAAGCCCAAAAAGGGGGCAGAACTAGGGAACCCAATTATAATTGACGGGTGGCTTGCCCTATGACTGCAGCCAAAAGAAGCCACCTATCTGCAGAGTCCCTGAAACTTAGGACTACAAACAAACATTCAATGCAAAGCAAACAAAATTGGAGCTCCTGGTACAGCTGTGCCAGAACATATTCATATATGTGTGTGTGCATATACCTATGACCAGATGATTTGCGAGATCTGGTCTTCAGTTTATACTTTTCTAAGATATTTTTCTTTCCCTCAGGATGATGAAGTTGTCCTTCAGTGTTCAGCCACAATCTTGAAGGAACAATTGAAGTTATGTCTTGCTACCGAAGGCTTTGGGAACCGCCTCTGTTACCTGGAACCTACCTCCAATGCTCAGGTACAGTGCAGAGAAAGACAGATTATGGCTCATGGGTAGTGTGGCCTTATTGGTTGGCTTGTTGTCATCAGGATCATAAAATAGGCCCTATCCTTTTCAGAAAGTCCTGGACCAGACCTTATGGATTGTGTGGTGGGGGACCAGTAGAATGCAGGAAAATCTTAAATAACATTATTTACACTTTGAAGACTGCCTCAAGTTTTAATGTTCATAGTTTGTTATGGGTTGATATGTCAGGAGAATGGACTTATTAACAAAAGACGCTCCTCATAAATGTATCGCAGAGTAACTTATTAGCAGCAGTGTGACCCAGCACCAGTAGCCCAAATGATAAAGAATAACAAAAACACACAGACCAATGTTGTCTTTTCCATAGGAGGCTTTTCTTTGGAGTAAAATAATATGGTTGTACTATTTACAACAACAAGGTTTCTATAATGCAAATAAAGTTCTTTATACTTCCTTCATTGCTTCCACACTGGGCTTCTTTCTTATGTAGATAAACAGCTTCGCTCTCACAGAGGTTCCTCTCACACTGAACTTACACAGGAGCTTCACACAGTAGCTTTACACACAGCTTTACACACGAGGCCTTCAACATGGAGCTTGTCTTACCAAAACTTCTCACACCAGGTCTTCTCATACTCTGAGGTCTTCTCAGGCTAAGGCCTTTCTCACACAGAGGCTTCTCTCACAGACTAAGGCCTACCTCACACTGTGAGGTCTTCTCCCACAGACTAAGGCCTATCTCACACTCTGAGGCCCTCTCAGACTAAGACCTTCCTCACACAGAGGCTTCTCTCACAGACTAAGGCCTCTCTCACACTCTGAGGCCCTCTTAGACTAAGATCTTCCTCACACAGAGGCTTCTCTCACAGACTAAGGCCTCTGAGGCCCTCTCAGACTAAGACTTTCCTCTTACAGAGGCTTCTCTCACAGACAACCTCATACTGTGAGGCCTTCTCCCAGGGACCAAGGCCTACCTCACACTGTGAGGCCTTCTCTCACAAACTAAGGCTTACCTCACACTGTGAGGCCTTCTCTCACAGACTAAGGTACACCTCACACTGTGAAGCCTTCTCTCACAAACTAAGACATACCTCACACTGTGAGGCCTTCTCTCACAGACTAAGACTTTTCTCCCTCTGAGGTTTACCTCAGTCTGACAGCTACTGAGCTACAGGCACACCTACTGATATAGAAGACAATGACCTGTCATAGGTGCTTGAAAGGTGAGTTGTAGAAATCCAAAAAAATTGTCCAGTATTAAATCTAACAACTGTTTATCCTTATTTTGATTACTTGTATTTATCCTTATATTGATACTTATTGGAATTTGTTTAAATCTGCAGCTACTGTGGCCTTTTTATTTATTTTTTAAGAGTGGGATTTTATGATTTTATGTGGTTTGTTATTGTTATTGTGATATTGGTCATGCACTTACTATATGTTATGTTTGCACCTTGAGTGCTTTTGTGAGTCCCTTTGGGGAGATGTTGGCAAGGTAGAAATAAATTATTATTATCCCTGGGTTGCTATGAGTTTTCCGGACTGTCTGGCCATGTTCCAGAAGCATTCTCTCCTGATATTTCCCTCGCATCTATGACAGGCATCCTCAGGTTGTGAGGTCTGTTGGAAACGAGGCAAGTGCGATTTATATATCTACACAAAGAAGCCACTGAAATCTGCAAGCATGTGGACAATTTCAGCAGAAAAGAGGAAACCATGAAAATGAAAAGGAAGCAGCCAGGCTTTGAAGCTGCAAGGAGTTAAAAAACTCCAAAATCAAGACAGTAAATTAAGAGCAACACTCAGAAAACGGGAAATTCAGATAGGAAACAATCAAGGCCAGCTAACACCTCTTAACAAAGGATTCCCTCAGGGCAGGAAGCAGCCAGGCTTTGAAGCTGCACAGAGGTAAAATACTCAAAAATCAGAAAGTAAATAAAGAGCAACACTCAGAAAATAGGGAAATTCCAGACAGGAAATAATCAAGGCTAGCTAACTTCCCCAAAAAAGGATTCCCCCAGGCAGGAAACAGCCAGTCTTTGAAGCTGCAAGGAGTTAAAAAGCTCCTAACCAAGACAGTAAATAAGGAGCAACACTCAGAAAACAGGGGAAATTCAGATAGGAAACAACCAAGGCCAGCAAACACCTTCCAACAAAGGATTCCCCCAGGCAGGAAACAGCCAGACTTTGAAGCTGTAATTAGTTAAAAAAACTCCAAAATCAGAATAGTAAATAAAGAGCAACACTCAGAAAACAGGGAAATTCCAGACAGGAAACAATCAAGGCCAGCTAACACCTCCCAACGAAGGATTCCCCCAGGCAGGAATCAGACAGGCTTTGAAGCTGCAAGGAGTTAAAAAACTCCTAAACCAAGACAGCAAATAAAGAGCAACACCCAGAAAACGGGAAATTCAGATAGGAAACAATCAAGGCTAGCTAACGCCTCCCAACAAAGGATTCCCCCAGGCAGGAATCAGACAGACTTTGAAGCTGCAAGGAGTTAAAAAACTCCTAAACCAAGACAGCAAATAAAGAGCAACACCCAGAAAACGGGAAATTCAGATAGGAAACAATCAAGGCTAGCTAACGCCTCCCAACAAAGGATTCCCCCAGGCAGGACACAGCCAGGCTTTGAAGCTGTAATTAATTAGTTAAAAAATTCCAGACAGGTAAAGCTAACACCTCCCAACAAAGGATTCCTCCAGGCAGGAAGCAGGCAGGCTTTTGAAGCAGCAAGGTTATTCAGTGCTAATCAAGCTGGTCAATTGCAACATCCACACTTGCCTCAAACAGACAAGAATTACTGGGTTGTTGTAGGTTTTTTCGGGCTATATGGCCATGGAGGCATTCTCTCCTGACGTTTCGCCTGCATCTATGGCAAGCATCCTCAGAGGTAGTGAGGTCTGTTGGAACTAGGAAAAAGGGTTTATATATCTGTATAACAAGAGTTATTTCTCCCACACTGGACATCATTCCACAGATATATCCAACAGATATCACAACCTCTGAGGATGCCTGCCATAGATGTGGGCGAAACGTCAGGAGAGAATGCTTCTGGAACATGGCCAGACAGAGCGGAAAACTCATAGCAACTCAATAAATGCAACCTTTGTTAGTTAATACACTGTATAAGACAATTTTGTATGAGGATGCTGAAATAATGAAACAACTCTTGTGTTCTCTTGTGTACAGAAAGTCCCTCCGGACCTGGCGATATGTTGCTTCAGCCTGGAACAGTCCTTGTCAGTGCGTGCGCTGCAGGAGATGCTGGCCAACACAGTAGAGGTAGGCTCCGAGGTAGGCGCTGTGGACTTTCTTTTGGGACCGTACTGCAAGAGAGGATGCGTGGAGGAAGGGACAAGCTTGGAACATGTCAACAAGCCTGCAAGCCAGACCTTGGGAAACCGATGATTACAACTCCCAGAGTTCCCCAGGCAGCCATGGCTGGAGGATTCTGGACATGATAGTAGAAAAAGTAACTTTTTCTGAGCTCTGGAATTAGGCAACAAGAAATCATTCCACCCATATATCTATCTGCATTGAAATCACCTTTTAAAATGGAAGATCCAGGTGATGGTATTCACAGATGATTGCATTCCATGTGTTTTCGTTCACCTGTGACCCTTCTCCCAAACCTGGTTTGTTTACTATCAAACACAACTGCAAACTCCAAGGTGGACTGGTAAAGCACTCTTAAGGCTTTTTAGAACTTGCTTCTTAGGTTTTTCTGTACAATTGGGTAATTAGAACTTGCTTAGTGATGAATTGCCTCTTAATTGTTCCTTATTTAATGGGATTTCATTATCTGCCAGGGATATACCGTATATACCCGAGTATAAGCCGACCCAAATGTAAGCCAAGGCATCTAATTTTGCCACAAAAAACATAGGAAAACGTATTTACTCGAATATAAGCCAAGGGTGGGAAATGCAGCAGCTACCGATAAATTTCAAAATAAAAATCAATACCAATAAAATGACATTAATTGAGGCATCAATAGTTAAATGTTTTTGAATATTTGTATAAAACTGTAATTAAAGAGAAGACTGCCCAACTCTGATTAAACCATTATTCTAACCTTCTTCAAGGTAAATGTGTTTACGTAGCCTTCCAATAATAATAAAGAGTAAAATAATGAATGTAATAAAAATAATAATAGAGAAAAATAATGGAACTGTAATAATTACAATAATAAATAGAGTAAAATAATAAATGTAATAATAATGGTGTAAAATAATAAATGTAATAGTAGCAATAATAGAGTAAAATAATAAATGTAATAATAACAACAATAATTAGAGTAAAATAATAAATGTAATAGTAAAGTAATAAATGTAAGAATAACAATAATAGAGTAAAATAATAAATGTAACAATAATGGAGTAAAATAATAAATGTAATAATAAAAATAATAATTAGAGTAAAATAATAAATGTAATAGTAAAATATAAATGTAATAATAACAATAATAAATAGAATAAAATAATAAATGCAATAATGATGGAGTAAAATAATAAATGGAATAATGATAGAGTAAAATAATAAATGTAATAGTAACAATAAATAGAGTAAAATAATAAATGTAATAGTAACAATAATAGAGTAAAATAATAAATGTAATAATAACAGTAATAATTAGAGTAAAATAATAGATGTAATAGTAAAATAATAAATGTAATAATAACAATAATAATTAGAGTAAAATAATAAATGTAATAGTAAAATAATAAATGTAATAATATCAATAATAATGAGAGTAAAATAATAAATGTAATAGTAACAATAAAAGTAAAATAATAAATGTAATAGTAGCAATAGAGTAAAATAATAAATGTAATAGGTAATAATAGAGTAAAATAATAAATGTTATAATAACAACAATAATTAGAGTAAAATAATAAATATAATAGTAAAATATAAATGTAATAATAACAATAATAAATAGAGTAAAATAATAAATGTAATAATAATAAATGGAGTAAAATAATAAATGTAATAATAGGATAAAATAATAAATGTAATAATAATAATAATAATAATAATAATAATAATAATAATAGAGAAAATAATAAATTTAATAAAAATAATAGTAATAACCCAGTAAAATAAAAAATAACTTTGACTCGAGTATAAGCCAAGGGGGACTTTTTCAGCCTAAAAAAGAGCTGAAAAACTAATCTTATGCTCGAGTATATACGGTAGTTTGCTGGGTTTTCTTTCTTTGTGGGGGTTGTTGTGGTGTATATTGGAACAGTACTATTTTGTTCTAAACGAGAAAGGGGAAAGACAGTGGTAATAGGGAATGAGCAGTGAAAGGGGAAGTATCTAAGGGACGTATGCTTGTGTGAGTGGGTGGAGCTGCTTCTCTGGGGTGCCAACTGGGATAGCTGACCGCTACCAAATATTCCTGATAGCCCTGTTTGCATATGGCCTGAAATTTCAAGAGTGGTTCATCTTTTCTTCCTCTTCTTTCCTTTGGGTTCTCAATTCTGCCGGCCGACCCTCTAGGGTGTTGACTTGGACAAGTGGGTAGGTTGCCGTCTTCAGTGCCGTGATCCTGTCCACATCCTTCCTTTCTTAAACCCTCTTCCATCTCCTTACCTTGTTTTGGTGTGTGTACCCATCTCCCTCTCCTGGGGGTTCCTCACACCCCAAGTTTTGCAACGTCTTTTAGTGAATGGTCAAAGAATAGGGAAGCCAATTGATCTCACCGGGAAGATGATTTCATACACTGAATATCATAATAGAGAAGCCTCTTTTAGACAGAAATGAATGCATATGATAGGTTTAGACACAATGGCATATGATATCTTTAGCATGAATTGGACATTGAAAGCCCCCCTCCCCCTCAAATCCCACTTCTTGGAATCTTCTCTTAGGAGTAGAAAGGAAACCACAATTATTTTAACTCTCAATTGGTGGTCATTCCTGTTGGGCGAGTGGGCTTATTAACAAAAGACCTTCCTCATAAATGCACAGTAGAGTAACTTATTAGCAGCAGTGTGACTCAGCACCAGTAGCCTAAAGTGATAAAAAGAACAAAAACACACAGACCAATGTTATCTCTTCCATAGGAGGCTATTCTTTATAGCAAAGTAATATGGTTGTACTATTTACAAGAACAAGGTTTCCATAAGACAAATAAAGTTCTTATTCTTCCTTCTTTGCTTCCACGCTGGGCTTCTTTCTCAGCTTCACTCTCACTGAGGCTCTTCTCATGCCGAACTTACACAGAAGTTTCACACAGTAACTTTTTTACACACAGCAGCCTTCACACTGGAGCTATACACACAATGGCCTTCAACCTGGGGCTTCTCTCACCTAAGTGTTCTCTCACACTGAGGTCTTCTCATACTGAGGCCTTCTCACATGGAGGGTTCTGTCAGACTGAGGTCTTTCTCCCACTGAGGCCTTCTTGCACTGAGGGTTCTGTCAGACTGAGGCCTTTCTCCCACTGAGGCCTTTCTCCCACTAAGGCCTTCTCACGCTGAGGGCTCTGTCAGACTGAGATCTTTCTCCCACTGAGGCCTACCTCACACTGAAGGTTCTCTCAGTGAGACCTTTCTCCCACTGAGGCCTTCTCACACTGAGGGCTCTGTCAGATTGAGGCCTTTCTCCCACTGAGGCCTTCTCACACTGAGGGCTCTGTCAGACTGAGACCTTTCTCCCGCTGAGGCGTACCTCACACTGATGGTTCTGTCAGTGAGACCTTTCTCCCACTGAGGCCTTCTCACACTGAGGACTCTGTCAGACTGAGGCCTGACACTGAGGCCTTCTCTCACTGAGGCCTTCTCACACTGGGGGCTCTGTCACATTGAGACCATTCTCCCACTGAGGCCTTCTCACACTGAGGACTTTGTCAGATTGAGACCATTCTCCCACTGAGGCCTCACACTGAGGGCTCTGTCAGACTGAGGCCTTTCTCCCACTGAGGCCTACCTCACACTGAGGCGAACTAACATTGAGGTCTTCTAAGCGACATTCACATCTGCTTATATTGAACTATAGCTTTTGCTGAGTCATTGCATTCATTTAACCCTTTCAGTGCTTTTTAAAATATTTCTGACAACTCCCCCCTCATATAAATAGAAAATAGGAAAATAATTCATTGGGTATTATTTATTTTTCTCTTACGTTTGAGAGCTTCATAGTAGGTCATCACAGAAAATTATAGCAGAACTCAAGGGAGAACTCCAAGTTTGCACATACCTAGTTTATATCAATTCCATACAGTTTGGTGGACGAACTAGACTTGTCAAATATCTGATTACGTCATTCACTAAGGTAAATGAAAGACAAAATGATTCCAAGTATTTCCAAGTCTTTCCGCCTCTGAAACTTGGTGGAACCCCCTTGACCCCCTAAATAATCCTTCCATCCTTCCTTCTCCCACTCAGACTCCCCGTCCTTCGCTCCATCTTTCCGACACTCCTCCTTTCCTGCTAGATGTCCCATCCTTGGCTGTGGTTTCCTTTGCCTCAACCCAGCCCACCCTATTCTCTTTTCACCGCATGGTCCCTCCACGTGAATAGGGAGCGCACTTCCTGCAAGTTGGTGGTAGAGCCACATTGGGATGAAACGTGACATGGCCTTTGCACCATGAGATGGAGCTTTGTGTTGAGAAAAGATCTTCTTCCAAATGTGTTTGATGGAGTGGTCTCATAAGCCACCATGGATCTACTGTGGGCAGCGGGTATACTATCGAACCTACACATGAAATCTAAGAGGACAAAGGTGGTGTGAATACAATCAGATATGGATTTATTTTAATTGACTCATCTTCTTCATGAGAGATGAAGGAGATACCCCCAAAAATAATTGCCATAACCTTTTGGTAAAAGCATGACCTGTTAAGAGTCATAACCTTTGGGGAAAATAATCTATTTAAATAAAAATGTAATGTTCGTTTGTGGGATTAACAGAACTCAAAAACCACTGGGGGAATTGACACCAAATTTGGACAGCATACACCTAACAACCCAATGTATGTCCTTCACTCAAAAAAATTGATTTTGTCATTTGGGAGTTGTAGTTGCCGGGATTTATAGTTCACCTATAATCAAATTGCATTCTGAATCCCACCAATGATGAAATTGAACCATACTTGGCACACAGTTCTCCTATGACCAACAGAAAATACTGGACGGGTTTGGTGGGCAGTGTCCTTTGGTTTTGTAGTTCACCTACATCCAGCAATCACTGTGGACTCAAACAATGATGGATCTGGACCAAACTACACAAATACTCAATATGCCCAAATGTCAACACTGGTGGAGTTTGGGGCAAATAGAATCTTGACATTTGGGGGTTGTAGTTGCTGGGATTTATAGTTCACCTACAATCACAGAGCATTCTGAACCCCACCAACAATAGAATTAGGCCAAACCTCCCACACAGAACCCCCATGACCACCAGAGTGGGCCACAGCAACGTGTGGCAGGGGATGGCTAGTAAATGTAATAATAACAATAATAGAGTAAAATAATACATGTAACAATAACAATAATAAATAGAGTAAATGTAATAACAATAATAAAGTAAAACAACAAAAATAATAATAATAACAACAAAGTAATAAATAACCTTGACTCGAGTATAAGCCAGGGGAGACTTTTTCAGCCTAAAAAAAGGACTGAAAAACTAGGCTTATAATCGAGTATATACAGTAAATATATTGACCAAAATCTCTGTGGATCTAACTAGTAGAGCTTTTTCTTACTCATGAAGAAGAGGAGTACTTTCCCTGAAATGTGTCTTTGTTAATAGTAATTAATTTTTATCTGACTGCATTCAACCTTGGCCCTCTTATTTTCTACGTATCTCCGGTGCTGTTTCTCCCTCTGTGGCTCTCCATCCACCTTGCGTTAACATCTTGTGTTTTAGTGCCTTCACCCTCTGAAATGTTCACAGCTGCCGCATTGTTGGTATACTTTTTTTGGGGAATTGGTGTTTTCTCACAATGCTTCTAAGGGAATTTTAATGATCATGGAATGCAACCTGTTTGACAGTTATCTTGTGACTCCTTGTAGAGTATTGTGATAAGAGTGCCCATGAAAATTTGGGCCAAAAGTCACAGATGTTGGTCATGCTGAGCACTGGGGCATTTTCTCCTCTCGGCCTCCGGTACACTGCTTGAACTCCATAAAAGTTTAATGCATAGTAGTGACCATACATTGTTTCTGTACATGGTCCGATTGGAATGTCATGGCTGTATATACTGCAGTAATTTGAATTTTATGGTAAGTACCTTATGCACTGCAGTCATATGGACCATCAATGCTCTATTATTAAGACCCTTAGGATTAAGGACCATGTCACAGTAATATGGACCAAAGGATTGCTGTAATGTCTTTCCAGCAGATGTTCCCAAACTCTGTGCACACTAGTGTGATTTGAGATAATTGCATTGAGAAGTAAATTGATTAAACTAGTTGAGTTTCCAGAAGAATTTCAGACTCGCCTTGACTTAACCAGCTTCTGCATTTGAAGCAAAATGAACAATGCAGTCATAGATGGGTTGTTGTAGGTTTTTTCGGGATATATGGCCATGTTCTAAAGGCATTTTCTCCTGACGTTTCGCCTGCATCTATGGCAAGCATGGGTTGTTGTAGGTTTTTTTCGGGATATATGGCCATGTTCTAAAGGCATTTTCTCCTGACGTTTCGCCTGCATCTATGGCAAGCTTCCTCAGAGGTGAGGTCTGAGGAAGCTTGCCATAGATGCAGGCGAAACGTCAGGAGAAATGCCTCTAGAACATGGCCATATAGCCCGAAAAAAAACCTACAACAACCCAGTGATTCCGGCCATGAAAGCCTTCGGCAGTCATTGCTATTTTAGAGATGCCACCGAAATGCCTGGAGGTTGACCCAACAGATGACTTCTAGGGATGGGTTATCTCTTACATCTCGAGGTTTGCTTTTAGGCAGACACAATGAGAGCATTATGGAAACTCACAAGAATCAGACTTTAATCACATTTAATGATGAATTGAAATTGACAGCATTTGTTATTCTTACACCCTAAGAGTCCATCTTTCCAGCTGTAAGAAAGGAATGTACTTCCAGTTTTAATTCAGAAAACTATAGTGTGCCTCAGCTATCAGATGTTTGGGAATTATGTCCATACAGAATATCATGCAATGGCATGGTGCAAATATTCATTACCATATCTATTGCTGTGATATGATCTCTCCGCTAACAATCATATACCAGTGGTTCCCAAGCTGTGGTCCATGGACCACCAGTAGTCCGCAAGAACGAAAATGTGGTCCGCAGCCTCCCATTACTACACCATTGACTCGAAACCATGCGGCAAGGAGATCAACTGGTCTCGCGAAATCCCCTTATAGTGCCAAGGCAATGGGGATATCAGGAGGGGAGAGACTGACCTTCCACAAAAGATTACTACTACCACATCAGCTCTAGATTATTAATTATGGGTTTTGTTGGGCGAGTAGGCTTATTAACAAAAGACCCTCCTCATAAATGCATAGCAGAGTAACTTATCAGCAGCAACATGACCCAGCAACAGTAGCCCAAAATTATAAAAATAACAAAAACACTCAGACCAATGTTATTTCTTCCATAGGAGGCTTTTCTTTATAGTAAAATAATATGATTACACTATTTACGAGAACAAAGTTTACATAACACAAATAAAGTTCTTTACACTTCCTTCTTTGCTTCCATTTTGGGCTTCTTTCTCATGCAGATCAAACAGCTTCGCTCTCACAGAGCCTCTTCTCACATTGAAGTTACACAGAAGCTTCACACAGTAGCCTTTTTCACACAGCAGCCTAAGAACAAGGTTTCCATAACAGAAATAAAGTTAAGCTGTTTACACTTCCTTCTTTGCTTCCATGCTGGGCTTCTTTCTCATACATATAAAACAGCTTCGCTCTCACAGAGCCTCTTCTCACACTGAAGCTACACAGGAGCTTCACACAGTAGCCTTTTACACACAGCAGCCTAAAAACAAGGTTTCCATAACAGAAATAAGCCGTTTACACTTCCTTCTTTGCTTCCACACTGGGCTTCTTTTTCATGCAGATTAACAGCTTCACTCTCACAGAGCCTCTTCTCACACTGAAGCTACACAGGAGCTTCACACAGTAGCCTTTTACACACAGCAGCCTAAGAACAAGGTTTCCATAACCGTTTCCATATAAACTGTTTATACTTCCTTCTTTGCTTCCACGCTGGGCTTCCTTCTCATGCATATAAAACAGCTTCGCTCTCACAGAGCCTCTTCTCACACTGAAGCTACACAGGAGCTTCACACAGTAACCTTTTACACACAGCAGCCTTCACACACAAGGCCTTCAACCTGGGGCTTCTCTTACCGAAACCTTCTCACACACTGAGGCCAATCTCACACTGAAGTCTACTTCACACTGAGGCCCTTCTCCCACAGAGACCTCTCACAGACTGAGGGCTACTAAGCTGCAGGCACACCTGCTTATACTGAACTGCAGTTTTTGCTGAGTCATTGCATCCATTTAACCCTTTCAGTGCTTGACTCACAGTTTTGTAATGAAAAATACCTAGTTAATTTTTAATATTTCTGACAGTTTTCTGTGGGCGAGCAGATGGTGACTACTGGATGGCATATGTTCTGTATCAGAAACTAGAGCTGATGTGGTCTATCCAATGCAATTTTCAGCACCCCAAATAACCAAACCAAATCTTAAGTTGACAAAAACCTGATTCGTAACGCCTTTGGTACTAATGTTGGAGAGTGGTCCCTGGTCAAAGTGGTCCCTGCTCAAAAAAAGGTTGGAAACCACTGATATATACACCTTAGCAATGTGATCTAAGTATTATGGCCATATTGGTTACAGCTATAATCATCCAGTAATGACTGCATATGACCTGGGTAATTACAGTTATTTATATTGTTGATAAATAGGACAGTGACAATGATGTATTGTAGTTATTCCTGCATTTGCATTAGTAAGCAGCCTATGCAAGTTAGGACTGTTTATGTTATAATTGTATGATGTGTTACATATTTTGTACATATTGCAGCTAACAATGGCTGTATTTAATTATTGTGAAATCACCCAGTGGGAAAAAATACTAGATACCTTGGAATATCATGTAGGAAGCTGCCAGCATGTATATATTGTAATATGCAATATTTTGACTTGTGAAAAGTCTCTGCAAAATTCTCAAGTACGACTGCCCGACTACAATTTCCAGGAAGCCTGTTTAGATCAAATTTTATGGGTATATTTGGTTGTCCTTTTTGAGGCCACTGAACAAATCCTACAAATGTGATTTTGCCATGTTCTTCCACATTCTCTTGCAGTAAATTTCTCAAAGGAAATTCTTCAGTTGGTTTATAGAATGCCTTACGGTCACTGTGAGGAGCTGAGTGATGATTGAGCAAGTCATAACATACCAGGGTGTACATAATTTTTTGCTATTTGCTATGTATAGTAAAATACTGTTGAAATAACTGAACTGTACCTGTGCCGTCACACCCAGACACTATAAAGTTAAAACTAAGATGTGCTTCTCTCTTTATCCGAGTGAACCGCGGGTGCCTTTCTTAGAAGCTCAAGATTCCCAGCAACTGAGGCCACTCCAGATTTGAACATCAAACAGAACATTTATTTCTCAAGGTCCTTGACAGACTTGGCACAGCTTGATGAAGTTACAAACACAAACAGTCAATTTAGGAAACCATATAGATGTTCCTTCTTTCCCTTTTCCTTCAGTTGTCGAGTTAACTTTCCCTTTCCCCCAACGGTAGAAAAGTCCTGGGATCTTTTACCCTAACCCTGAGCTGCTATCTTGACATGAGAGAAGCCTCCCACAAGGATGGTAAAACATCAAAACATCCGGGCGCCCCTGGGCAACGTCTTTGCAGTCGGCCAATTCTCTCACACCAGAAGCTACTTGCAGTTTCTCAAGTTGCGCCTGAAACAACAACAAAAAAAAACACAAACAAACAAACAAACTCTACCTTGTGGGATTATTTGAAAACTCGACTATGAGGTAGATCTATTAATATATCTTGTGGCCATCGTTTTGTTGTTCCCTAGATAAATTGTTAGGACTTTGATGAATCTTTCACCAGTCCATACTTCACGGCTTTTGTTTTGCCGACAACCTTCCAGTTGCCTTAAAGGAAGATGTTGTGTGATGAGGAATGAGATTGAGGGAACTCCAGAATAGGCATTCCACAGTTGGGACTCCTAAATTCAGAGACTGATTTGGTTAATGTTTTGCCTTCTTGTTCTCAGTCTTCTCAAGGCGGTGGACACCGGACTCTGCTATATGGACATGCTATTCTTCTCCGGCATTCCCACAGCGGCATGGTAAGAAGAGAGTTCAGGAAAGATGTGTATTTTGATGGAAAGAAGGGGGAAATCCCCGAAATGAGGTGGAATTGATACAATAATGGGTGACTCTAAGGCAGGCATGGGCTAACTTGGTCCCTCCAGGTGTTTTGGACTTCAACTCCGCCATTCCTAACAGCCTCAGACCCCTTCCTTTTCCTTTCTCCCACTGAGGGCTACCTCACACTGAGGGTTCTGTCAGACAGGCCTTTCTCCCACTGAGGCCTTCTCGCTTAAGCGGCTGAGGAGGAAAAGGAAGGGGTCTGAGGCTGTTAGGAATGGTGGGAGTTGAAATCCAAAACACTTGAAGGGACCAAGTTTGCTCATGCTTGCTCTAGAGGTAGGGTGAGTATTCTACTACAGCCTCAGCAGAGCCATTTCGTGTTGCCGTCCCCAACCCTGAGCTAAGCAGATTTATTTTCAAGCCTACGTCATATGTTCTTTTCCTGGGATGCAGAAATTGCAAGGAATCCCGAAAGGGGTTATGAGCAGTGGGCACATTTCTCAGCCAAGGAGGTGTCAAACATTGAAAGGTCTGAGAGTTCTGGAGGCTGAATCTCACTTCTAAGTCAAGCAACTGAGGTCATCTAGGGTGGGGCGATGTCCTTTCCTTCTACGCCAAGATTCCTAGGAGGACTGTGAGAGTGTGGGTCAAATAAGAGCAATAGACCGCTCTTTAACCAAAGTTTGTGTTCACATAGGCTTCTCACACCTAATTTACTACTGAACTGATTGCTTGATATGATTCGGTTATGTCGGCTTTTAATTTGATCAGTGTGACTGCAGGATTAAATTGCAGTTGGTAGCTGTCACAATAAGAACGTTAAAATTGTTGGGCGAGTGAGCTTATTAACAGAAGACCCTCTTCATAAATGTACAGCAGAGTAACTTGTTAGCAGCAGCGTGACCCAGCACCAGTAACCAAAAGTGATCAAGAGAACAAAGAAACACAGACCAAAATAATATATCAAAATATTTACAAGAACAAGTTTTACATAACACAAATAAAGTTTAACCTTCACACTGGAGCTTCACACATGAGGCTTTCTCATACTGAGGCCTTCTCAGACTAACACTGAGGCCTACCTCACATTACTATTATATTTAATTATTTAATTATTATATTGTTTGATACGAAATAATAATACCTCACATTGAGGCCTTTCTCCCACTGAGGCCTCTCTCAGACTGAGGCGAACTAATACTGAGGCCTTTTCACACTGAGGCTGCTCTCACACTGAGGGGTTCTCATACTGAGGCCTACTAACACTGAGGCCTATCTCACATTGAGGCCTTTCTCCCACTGAAGCCTCTCTCAGACTGAGGCGAACTAACACTGAGGCCTTCTCACATTGAGGCTGCTCCCACACTGAGGGGTCCTCATACTGAGGCCTACTAACACTGAGGCCTACCTCACATTGAGGCCTTTCTCCCACTGAGGCCTCTCTCAGACTGAGGTGAACTAACACTGAGGCCTTTTCACCTTGAGGCCGCTCCCACACTGAGGGATTCTCATACCGAGGCCTACTAACACTGAGGCCTACCTCACATTGAGGCCTTTCTCCCCCTGAGGCCTCTCTCAGACTGAGGTGAACTAACACTGAGGTCTTCTCACACTGAGGGGTTCTCATACTGAGGCCTACTAACACTGAGGCCTTTCTCTCACAGAGACCTCTCACAGACTGACAGCTACTAAGCTACAGGCACATCTACATATATTGAACTATAGCTTTTTTTGAGTCATTGTATCCATTTAACCCTATCAGTGCTTGACTCACAAGTTTGTAATTAAAATTATCTAGTTAATTTTTAATATTTCTGATAAAAATTGAAAGCCCACCCCCCTCAAATCCTACTTCTTGGAATCTTCTCTTAGGGGCAGGAAGGTAACCACAATAATTTTAACTCTCAATTGGTGGTCATCCCTGTTGGGTGAGTGGGCTTATTAATAAAAGACCCTTCTCATACACATACAGGAGAGTAACTTATTAGCAACGTGACCCAGCATCAGTAGCCAAAAGTGATAAAAAGAACAAAAACACACAGTCCAATATTACCTCTTCCATACTAGGCTTTTGTTTATATCAAAATAATATGGATGCCCCCTTTACAAAAACAAGGTTTACATAACACAAATAAAGTTCAACCTTCACACTGACACTTCTTATACTGAGGACTTCTTATACTGAGGCCTTCTCAAACTGAGGCCTACTAACACTGAGGCCTACCTCACATTATTATTATATTTAATTATTATATTATTTGAGACGAAATAATAATACCTCACATTGAGGCCTTTCTCCCACTGAGGCCTCTCTCAGACTGAGGCGAACTAACACTGAGGCCTTCTCACACTGAGGCTGCTCTCACACTGAGGGGTTCTCATACTGAGGCCTACTAACACTGAGGCCTACCTCACATTGAGGCCTTTCTCCCACTGAGGCCTCTCTCAGAATGAGGCAAACTTAACACTGAGGTCTTCTCACACTGAGGCCGCTCCCACACTGAGGGGTTCTCATACTGAGGCCTACTAACACTGAGGCCTTTCTCCCACAGAGACCTCTCACAAACTGACATCTACTAAGCTACAGGCACATCTACGTATATTGAACTACAGCTTTTGCTGAGTCATTGTATCCATGTAACCCTTTCAGTGCTTGTAATTAAAATTACCTAGCTAATTTTTAATATTTCTGACAAAAATTTCCTCACTTCATTGGACCAAGATGGCCTCTCTATCCAAAACTTTCTGTCTCTAACTGTGCACTAAACACTTTTTGGATATTTTGGTTAGCTCTGGTTGATACTTGATTATTCTGAGTTTGAGCAAACAACTAAAAAGTTCTGATTTTAGGTTGTGATATAAAGAGGAGAATTCTTCAGGTTTGTTTTTCATCTATGTGATGTCAAGGAATTCAAAAAGTACTATTTTATCTTCTTTCCATTCTAATTGTTAGTATTTAAGCTGCTTAACCACATCCCGCTCCTTGACGGATAAACTCGCCTTTGACGTGGGCCTGCAGGAGGATGCAACTGGTAGGTGGCTGTGCACAGATGGGATGTCCCTTCTTTGGAGGTCTGATAGCTTATAGTAGGTATGGGCAAACTTTGGCCCTCCAGGTGTTTTGGACTTCAACTCCCACAATTCCTAACAGCCGGTAGGATGCTCGTTTGTGGGATTAACATAACTCAGAAACCACGGGACGAATTGCCACCAAATTTGGACAGCATACACCTCACAATCCATTGTATGTCCTTCACTCAAAAAAAAAATTAGACCTTGACATTTGGGAGTTGTAGTTGCTGGGATTTATAGTTCACCTACAATCAAAGAGCATTCTGAATTCCAGAATGGAATTGAACCAAACGTGGCAGACAGGACTCCCATGACCAACAGAAAACACTAGAAGGTTTGGTGGGCACTGACCTTGAGTTTGGGAGTTGTAGTTCACCTACATCCAGATAGCACTGTGGACTCAAACAGTGATGGATGTGGACCAAACTTGGCACAAATATTCCATATACCCAAATATGAACACAGAAGGAGTTTGGGGGAAATTGACCTTGACATTTGGGAGTTGTAGTTACTGGGATTTATAATTCACCTTTAATCAAAGAACATTCTGAAGCCCACAAACGACAGAAATGGGGCAAACTTCTCACACAGAACCCCCATGACCAACAGAAAATACTAAAGGCCATCCAGTCCAACTCTCTTCACCAGGGCAAGAAAATGTAATCAAAGCCCTCCTGACAAAGAGCCACCCAGCCATAGATATAGATAGATGATTCACACACACACACAGATATAGTATCATAGATTTGAAAGGGACCCCTAAAGAAGGACAATTATATGTTGCATATTCCAGAGTAGGCAAACCAGACACTCTCCACATCAACACATCAATGTTTTAAGGCATTGAATTGTTGCCTGTATGTAAAGCTGCCTTGAGTCTCCTCTGGGGTGAGCAAGGCGGGGTAGAAATGCCGTAAATAAATGAATAAATAAATAAATAAACAATGCATTAATTTTACAGAGGAATATGTGGGTAAGCGAACTGCACCCTTTCATTTGGAATTTAGATAGAACACACACTTCTTAAGAGCTCTTTCTTAATTATGAACCCTGTTGTCCTTTTTGTTGCACTCCAGATCAGGAAAAAGCCCTCTGACTTTGAAACACACCACACGAAGAGTGAAGAAACAGATAGGAATCAACAGAATGCAAAAACAATCCATAAGGCTAAAAAAACTCCACAAGAACAGACCCCTTGAACAGGATCTCCATGGCACATGAATTTGATTTCCAAACGATGCCTGATCTAACAGGTTTCCCCTTGAGGCAAACCTCATATCCCAAAACTCAGAAATTGGTTTCTCTTTCCCCCACATTTACCCCCTTATCAGGCAAAGTCTTTCAGAGCGACGTAAACACTGAGTTTGCTGTCAATCCTGGCTAATCTCCAGCCGCCTATTCTTCAGCCCCCTATCTGGCTGCTCATTAAAATTCCCAGGTGTCAGATTGTTTTCCAAACCCAAGTCTTGAGAGCTCACAGACAGAGGGAGTGAACCATCATTGCTAGGCCCAGCAGGAATATTCTCATGAGAAACTGCCCTTTGCACTGGGGCCTCTCTGTCATTGTCTGCCTGAAAATCATTGGCCAAACCATCTCCATCTTGTACCTCAGCCTCGACACCATCATTTCTCTCATCATTTCCCTCCTCATTTCCCACATCAGGATCCTGAAACACAAACACAGGCTGATCCCCAACACTTTTTTGTAAATCTGCCAAAACTGCCTACCATGCTCTTCTCTCTCTCTTTCTTATACATACCTATCCACAAACCCTTTCTCTCGCTACTATCAGGAGAAGCCTGTTGGTGGACCATCCATCCAGCCTCGAAGCAACGATCGGAAGGGGAGAAGGTGCGCGTCGGTGATGACCTCATCCTTGTGAGCGTCTCTTCTGAACGGTACCTGGTGAGTGTATTCTTGGGTCAGGTGGGGTGGACAATTCATGCAGGCGAACTTCACTTTAATAATGTGTGTGTATATATTCCATGTAGACTCTCAGTCAGAGATGTTCTGATCAGGAAGTTTAATGGCTTAGGGCAGTGGTTCCCAACTTTGCCATGACCCCTTAATACAGTTCCTCATGTTGTGGTGACCCCCAAGCATAAAATGATTTTTGTTGCTACTTCATAACTGGCTACAACAGACTAAACCGCTGTGCTGTAGAAAAATCCTGCCGAACATAAGGTTGGTAGTTCAAGCCTGGGTCGAGGTGAGCACCCACCGATAACCCCCATCTCACCTGCCCACCTAGCAGGTCAAAAGCAGAAATGCAAGTAGATAAATAGGTACCACTTTTTGTGGGAGTTGCTACTTCATAACTGGCTACAGCAGGCTAAACCACTGTGCTGTAGAAAAATCCTGCCGATCGTAAGGTTGGTAGTTCAAGCCTGGGTCGAGGTGAGCACCCACCGTTAACCTCATCTCACCTGCCCACCTAGCAGGTTGAAAGCAGAAATGCAAGTAGATAAATAGGTACCACTTTTTGTGGGAATTGCTACTTCATAACTAAATGAAGATAAATAGGTACCACTTTTTGTGGGAGTTGCTACTTCATAACTGGCTATAGCAAGCAAAACTGCTGTGCTGTAGAAAAATCCTGCCGATCGTAAGGTTGGTAGTTCAAGCCTGGGTCGAGGTGAGCACTCACCGTTAACCCCATCTCACGTGTCCACCTAGCAGGTCGAAAGCAGAAATGCAAGCAGATAAATAGGTACCACTTTCAATAAAAGTGCTCTTAAGAACATTGATCGGGGGAAAGCTCCTCAATACATCTTATTTTCTGTGCCGGAAATAAGATGGGAAAATCTGCCTTTACCTTTGCTTGTGCTGTCTGCCCTTGTTAATTGTATAATTGGCATTGAATATTTGCCGTATGTTCTGTAAGCCGCTCTGAGTGTTGCACCTCAGACTAGATTCACCTTGCTGAAGACACCAAACTGTACACCGCCAGAAGTCTTGATAGTTTATTAAAAATAAAAGGTAAAAAGTTCTTAAAAGCAAAGGTTAATGTTCCAACAGATCAATATCCTAAAGCACTTGAAGCTTAATCCAAAAAGGCATCAGCAAAGCAGAACGTGACAAAGTCCTGAAACCATGAACTCAAAAACTGTAAGATAAATCCAGACAAGCATAGGCAAACTTCTTAGTTGAATGCTAAGTTGCTTTGACAAAGATTTGGTCTCACACACATGGCTTAATACCCTTTGCAAAACATGAAAGTGTTTCTTTGGCCTCCCTCTTGTTAGCTATTCTTTCACTCCTTCGGACTCAGAATTCCAAACGGTCAGCCCGATGTAAGGTTCCCATTTTGCCACCGAAAGAGACAACCCCGTCTCTAGACCGGAGACCCCCCCGACCCAGAGACAAGCCGCCCTTTTTTTCTTCCACCGTTTCTGATCTTAGAATAGTTTCCACCACTGAGTTAGAGTGGCTCGCCTCTATACGATTTTTTTTTAGACTCCTTGTTTACCGCCCTAGAGGGACACGAGGCTTGCCAAAGAGTGTGAGACCAAGCGCATTATCGAGAGAGAAGAACAGTTACTCGGAGACGAGTAGAGTACAAAGCAGTAAGGAGATAGCCACGAGAAGTAGATGGAGACCTAGAGAGACACTGAGAGGTAGGAGAGGACCGAGGTAGGAAAGTGAGACAAAGACTGACGGCACACCGAGATGACGAGAACCCGGAATGAAGAAGATAGGGAGACGTAGATGACAGAGATCAAACGGAGGGGTGACACAAGGAGAAAGAGAGGAAAGTAAGTAAGAGTAGAAGACTAGAGACAAGAATCAGAAAGAAGTTGTGAGGACTAGAGGCGCAGAGTAGGTAGATAGGAAACACTATAGATATATAGTGTAGATAGGAGACATTCCAATCCACAGCACTGCAACAAGATATCAGCCTATATTCTAGATGGGCCCCATGAATAGTCAAAAGCCAGCCACATGGTATTAAAATTCCCTTTGTAGGCACCTCTTACTGATGTCGTTGACGTAGATAGTATTCTGGACCCTTTACGGCGAAGGCTGCTCTGCACTGCATGAGCGAAGGAAGAATAAAGATTAAAAAGGAAAGATGTGATGCTTGAGGCTGATGCTAGATGCTTTTGAACTGTAGTGGTGGAGGAAAGTTCTGAGAGTGCCTTGGTCTGCGAGAAGATCCAACCAGTCCATCCTCCAGGAAATAAAGCCCGACTGCTCATTGGAGGGAAGGATACTAGAGACAAAGTTAAGTACTTTGGCCACATCAGGAGGAGACAGCAAAGCCTAGAGAAGACAATTATGCTGGGGAAAGTGGAAGGTAAAAGGAAGAGGGGCCGACCAAGGGCAAGATGGATGGATGGCATCCTTGAAGTGACTGGACTGACCTTGAAGGAGCTGGGGGTGGTGACGGCCGACAGGGAGCTCTGGCGTGGGCTGGTCCATGAGGTCACGAAGAGTCGGAGACGACTGAACGAATGAACAACAACAAACAGGCAGGCCTTCAAATGCTAATGAAGGTGATCAGCTAAACATTCACACCTAACTGCAGCAGGGAAGAGCTCCTTGCCCCACCCCAGCCATTCCACAGATATATAACCCCATTTTTCCTACTTCCAACAGACCTTCTCAACCTCTGAGGATGCTTGCCATAGATGCAGGCGAAACGTCAGGAGAAATGCCTCTAGAACATGGCTCTATAGCCCGAAAAAACCCACAAGAACCTAGACAGTTGTATTATATTTTTAACAAAACAAACAATCAGACAGACAAAACACAAAGTTTGCAAGCTTGGTAGTTGACTAAATGTCCTTTGACCAGTATCTGGCCACTTGGAGTGCTTCTGGTGTTGGTCCTCCATTGTGCATGTGGCAGGGCTCAGGTTGCATTGCAGCAGGTGGTCAGTGGTTTGCTCTTCTCCACACTCGCATGTCGTGGATTCCACTTTGTAGCCCCATTTCTGAAGGTTGGCTCTGCATCTCATGGTGCCAGAGCGCAGTTTGTTCAGCGCCTTCCAAGTCACCCAGTCTTCTGTGTGCCCAGGGGGGAAGTCTCTCATTGGGTATCAGCCATTGATTGAGGTTCTGGGTTTAAGCCTGCCACTTTTGGACTCTCGCTTGCTGAGGTGTTCCAGCGAGTGTCTCTGTAGATCTTAGAAAACTATTTCTTGATTTAAGTCACTGACGTGGCTGGCTGATACCCAAACAGGGGGTGGGCTGGAGATGTCACTGCCTTGGTCCTTTCACTATTGGCTGCTACTTCCCGGTGGATGTCAGGTGGTGCAATACCGGCTAAGCAGTGTAATTTCTCCAGTGGTGTAGGGCGCAGACACCCCGTGATAATGCAGCATGTCTCATTAAGAGCCACATCCACTGTTTTAGCTTGGTGAGATGTGTTCCACACTGGGCATGCATACTCAGCAGCAGAGTAGCATAGCGCAAGGGCAGATGTCTTCACTGTGTCTGGTTGTGATCCCAGGTTGTGCCAGTCAGCTTTCGTATGATATTGTTTCTAGCACCCACTTTTTGCTTGATGTTCAGGCAGTGCTTCTTGTAGGTCAGAGCACGGTCCAGAGTGACTCCCAGGTATTGGGTGTGCTGCAATGCTCCAGTGGGATTCCTTCCCAGGTGATCCTCAGAGCTCGGGATGCTTGTCTGTTCTTAAGGTGAAAGGCACATGTCTGTGTTTTAGATGGATTAGGGATCAGCTGGTTTTCCCTGTAATAGACAGTAAGAGCACCTAGAGCTTCGGAGAGCTTCTGTTCAACCGTCTCAAAGCTCCCTGCTTGAGCGGTAATGGCACAATCATCAGCATAGATGAAACTCTCTGTCCCTTCTGGCAGTGGCTGGTCGTTTGTGTAAATGGCACCCCGCTCCAATATGTTTTCTTTCTCAATGGTTTCTTTCTTCTCTTCCAGCACCTGTCCACAGCCAGCGGAGAGCTTCAAGCGGACGCATCCTTCATGCAAACTCTTTGGAACATGAACCCCATCTGCTCCTGCTGCGAAGAAGGTGTGTCTGTCATGAGGGGTGGGCAACTGCGGCAAGTCTGGTGACCACTTTTATGCATCAGGACCGAGGCTTGGGTTTTTCTTCTCTTGTCCCAAACACCCTCCAAGAAGTCCCAGGAAGCCCATAAAACATGATGTAAATGCTCCTCATGTCTCCTAGAAGAAGTTCAGGAGTACTTGTGGGAAAAATAAGATTATTTTATTTTATAGGGGAGACTGTGGTGGCAACTCATTCAGAGTTAATGCAGACTTTAAAAAAATTATTTGCCTTAGTTTCAAAATAACAATAGATCAGATTGACACAAAAATGGAAAATTGATAAGGAAGTATATCAGTGGGTTGGGTAAGTGGAGGGATATGGGGCATGGGGGGGATAGAAGGGGTGAGAATTGGAGGGGAAAGGGGGTTGGGGGTCTTCCAGTTCATTCCACAGAGAGGTGGTCATCCAAAAATAAATTTTCTTGCGAATTTCACTAACTAATTGATTTGGAGTTAATGCAGACTTGTAGCCTCCCATAGTTACCATTCCTGACTCAGTGCAATATTACATGTAAAATTATTAAAACTGTGGTAGTACAGTGGGTTAAACTCTTGTGCTGGCTGAACTGCTGACCTGAAGACTTGAAGGTCGGCAGTTCGAATCCGTGAGATGGGGTGAGTTCCTGTCCATCAGGTCTTGTGCCGGCAGGACTGCTGACTGAAAGGTTGGTGGTTTGAATCCGGGAAGCAGGTTGAGCTCCATCTGTCAGCTCCAGCTTCCCATGTAGGGACATAAGAGAAGCTTCCCACAGGATGATAAGACATCCGGGTGTCCCCTGAGCAACGTCCTTACAGACAGCCAATTCTCTCACACCAGTAGCGACTTGCATATATTCTCAAGTCACTTCTGACACAATAAAAAAAATTAAAGCAACCTTTGTGCCCTTGATTACTGGATTTTCTTCTTCGCTTCTCATTCTCTTTCCTATCTGTACAGGGTATGTAACGGGAGGCCACGTTATGCGTCTCTTCCATGGCCACATGGACGAGTGCCTCACTATCGCTACTACAGACCCAAATGAAGAGCAGCGCAGGTAAGCATGATATAAGGGGATGTATCGTACCTTCCAACATTTTGTGGATGAAAACAGGGACACATATGGTCAAGCAACATCAGAATGTGGTCGAGATGGCAAAAGTTATTAATGAGGAAGCACACACAAACTAGGAGTTTGCTTTGGCATGAATCTAAAGGGGGAAATGAGATTTTTTTTTCCCCTACATCTCCCCCTCCTTCTGAGTTAATTGTACAAATATTTTGAACTCTGGGTTGTTGTAGGTTTTTCCAGGCTATATGGCCATGTTCTAGAGGCATTTTCTCCTGACGTTTTGCCTGCATTTATGGCAAGCATCCTCACTACCTCTGAGGATGCTTGCCATAGATGCAGGTGAAACGTCAGGAGAAAATGCCTCTAGAACATGGCCATATAGCCCGGAAAAACCTACAACAACCCAGTGACTCTGGCCATGAAAGCCTTAGACAATTTTGAACTCTATTTGCAGCAACAGATGTACCATATATACTCGAGTTTAGGCCGACTGGAATATAAGCCGAGGCACCTAATTTTACTACAAAAAACTGGGAAAACGTATTGACTCGAGTATAAGCCGAGGATGGGAAATGCAGCAGCTACGGGTAAATAAAAATTAAAATATATACCAATAAAATTACATTAATTGAGGCATCAGTAGGTTAAATGTTTTTGAATATTTACATAAAACTGTAATTTAAGGTAAGACTGTCCAACTCTGATTAAATCATTATTCTAACCTTCTTCAATGTAAATGTGCTTACATATCCTTCCAATAATAATAAGTGTAAAATAATACATGCAATAATAATAATGATAACAGAGTAAAATAATGGAAATGTAATAATAACAATAAATAGAGTAAAATAATAAAAATAGAGTAAAATAATAAATATAATAACAATAATAAATAGAGTAAAATAATATTAATAGAGTAAAATAATAAATGTAGTAATAATAAATAGAGTAAAATAATACATGTAATAATAATAATAATAACAGTAAAATAATGTAAATGTAATAATAACAGTAATAATAGAGTAAATAATAAATGTAATAATAACAACAATAATAATAATAATAGAGGAATATAATAAATATGATAATAATAATAATAATAATAATAATAAAGTAAAATTATAAATGTAATAATAACAATAGAGTAAAATAATAAAAATAGAGTAAAATAATAAATGTAATAACAACAATAATAAATAGAGTAAAATAATAATAATAGAGTAAAATAATATTAATAGAGTAAAATAATAAATGTAGTAATAAATAGAGAAAATAATACATGTAATAATAACAACAATAATAGAGTAAAATTACAAATGTAATAATAACAATAAATAGAGTAAAATAATAAAAATAGAGTAAAATAATAAATGTAATAACAATAATAAATACAGTAAAATAATAGAGTAAAATAATAAATAGATAACAATTATAAATAGAGTAAAATAAGATTAATAGAATAAAATAATAAATGTAGTAATAATAAATAGAGTAAAATAATACATGTAATAATCATAATAATAATAACAGAATAAAATAATGGAAATGTAATAACAGTAATAATAGTGTATTTATTTATTTATTTATTTACTGCATTTCTATGCCACCCCTCTCAGCCCGAAGGCAACTCGAGGTGGCTTACACTGGCACAATTCGATTCAAACATTTAACACCTATTATAAAAACCACGTGAAAAGCATTAAAAACATATAAACACCAATAACTTCCTATTGGCTCTTTTTCCGAAGACATTGTCAAGCCGTTAAATAATAAATGTAATAATAATAATAATAATAATAATAATAATAATGAATAGAGAAAAATAATAAATGTAATAAAAATAATAACAAGGTAAAATAATGTAAATGTAATAATAATAATAATAATAATAATAATAATAATAACAGAGTAAAATAAATTTTGACTTGAGTATAAGCCAAGGAGGGCTTTTTCAGCCTAAAAAAAGGGTTGAAAACCCGGCTTATACTTGAGTATATATGGTAATCTTCAGGGAGGTTAATAGCTGAAATGGGAGAAAACTGGGGTTGGATAACAGGGAAGAACAGGTACAAGTGCAGTTGTACATACTTCCTAAAACTGTCCCATTGACCTTCCTCTCTTCCCCAATTAACTTTTACAGAGTGGTGAACTATGAAGGTGGAGCTGTTTGTTCCCAAGCTCGGTCACTTTGGCGTTTGGAGCCCTTACGAATCACGTGAGTGCTGGTTTGAGTCTATTTTAATAGTATCATTTGTGGCATTTTCAGTTGTATCTGTGTTTTAATTATGTTGTGAGCTATACTGAGTCCAAGTATTTTGGAAAGGACAACCTTGTCAGGTCTTCTCAGAACCCCAGCATGTGCCAAATGATTATGAGACATTGTCCAGAGTGTCTTGCTAATTGGATTTCCAGAACTTCACAGAATTAGTATTAGATGATTTCTGTGAGTTATGGACCAGAACAGCAGCTTTTCCAATTCGTGAAGCTTTCCTATCAGCCTCTGGTTGACTGCTGTGTTAACAGTTTACTGGATAAGATTACCTGGGAAGGAATCCCACTGGAGCATTGCAGCACACCCAAATACCTGGGAGTGACTCTGGACCGTGCTCTGACCTCCAAGAAGCACTGCCTGAATATCAAGCAAAAAGTGGGTGATAGAAACAATATCGTACGAAAGCTGACTGGCACAACCTGGGGATCACAACCAGACACAGTGAAGACATATGCTACTCTGCTGCTGAGTATGCATGCCTAATGTGGAACACATCTCACCACGCTAAAACAGGGGATGTGGATCTTAATGAGACATGCCACATTATCATGGAGTGTCCGTGCCATACACCACTGTGGAAATTACACTGTTTAGCCGGTATTGCACCACCTGATATCCGCCGGGAAGTAGCAACCAAATAATGCAAGGACAAAGGCAGTGACATCTCCAGCTCATCCCTTGTTTGGGTATCAGCCAGCACATCAACGACTTAAACCAAGAAATAGTTTTCTAAGATCTAGAGAGACACTCGCTGGAACACTTCAGCAAGTGAGAGTCCAAAAGTGGCAGGCTCAAACCCAGAACCTCAAGCAATAGCTGATATCAAATGAGAGACTCTCCCCTGGGCACATAGAAGACTGGGAGACTTGGAAGGCGCTGAACAGACTGCGCTCTGGCACCACAAGATGCAGAGCCAACCGTAAGAAATGGGGCCACAAAGTGGAATCCTCGACATGCGAGTGTGGAGAGGAGCAAACCACTGACCACTTGCTGCAATGCAGCCTGAGCCCAGCCACATGCACAATGGACGACCTTCTTGCGGCAACACCAGAGCCACTCCAAGTGGCCAGATACTGGTCAAAGGACATTTAATCAAGTACCAAGCTTGCAAACTTTGTGTTTTGTCTGTTTGTTTGTTTGTTTTGTTCTGTTAGAAATGTAATACAATGGTCTGGTTGCCCCTGACACGATAAATACTGAATAAGATAGGCCTTTAGTGTGAACCAGTATGTTTCTGGGTTGCTGGGAGTTTTCCGGGCTATATGGCCATGTTCTAGAAGCATTCTCTCCTGACGTTTTGCCCACATCTATGACAGGCATCCTCAGAGGTTGTGAGGTCTGTTGGAAACTTGGCAAGTGAGGTTTATATATCTGTGAAATGTTGGAAACTGTCATAAATAAAGTAAAATAATAAATATAATAATAACAATAATAATAGAGTAAAACAACAAATATAATAATAATAATAAAGTAAAATTACAAATGTAATAATAACAATAATTAGAGAAACATAATAAATGTAATAATAACAACGGTAATAGAGTAAAATAACAAATGTAATAATAATAAAAAAGTAAAATTACAAATGTCATAATAACAATAAATAGAGTAAAATAATAAATGTAATAATAACAATAATAGAGTAAAATAACAAATATAATAATAATAATAGAGTAAAATTACAAATGTAATAATAAAAATAAACAGAGTAAAATAATAAATGTAATAATAACAACAATAATAGAGTAAAATAACAAATATAATAATAATAATAAAGTAAAATTACAAATGTAATAATAAAAATAAATAGAGTGAAATAATAAATGTAATAATAACAACAATAATAGAGTAAAATAACAAATATAATAATAATAATAATAGAGTAAAATTACAAATGTAATAATAAAAATAAATGGAGTAAAATAATAAATTTAATAACAGACCTCACAACCTTTGAGGATGCCTGCCATAAATGTGGGTGAAACGTCAGGAGAGAATGCTTCAGGAACATGGCCAGACAGCCCGGAAAACTCACAGCAACCCAGTGATTCCGGCCATGAAAGCCTTCGACAACACAGTATGGTTCTCTTTATAACCTAAGAAGTAATTATGATGGGGAACATGCCATATTTCTTTGAATAAGAAGTTACTTTCTGTCCCAATAGCTGGAGTGGTAGCCACATGAAGTGGGGCCAGCCTTTCCGTGTCCGTCACGTCACCACAGGCCACTACTTGGCCTTGACGGAGGAAAAGGGGCTGGTTGTAGTGGACGCGGAGAAAGCCAACACCAAAGCCACAGCTTTTTGCTTCCGGGCCTCGAAGGTGAGAAGAGTTCCCCTATAAGCAATGACTACCACCTTGAAGCATTTATTTTTAATTTGCCTTGAATTTCAGCTTGATTGTGAATCCGCTTCACCAGCTTACAGTGGTCTCCCCATTTATTTCTTGTCCTTTTAGGAAAAGTTAGATGTTGCCCCCAAACGGGATGTGGAAGGAATGGGAGCTCCAGAAATCAAGTATGGCGAGTCCATGTGCTTTGTGCAGCATGTCGACAGCGGTCTCTGGGTGACGTATGCGGCGGCTGATGCTAAGGCATTGCGCCTGGGGCTGCTTAAAAGAAGGGTAAGTCTTGGCCAGCTGAGCTGATGGGCTTGAACCCAACAGATACACAAGAGATGTGCAACCCTTTAGCACAGGCATGGGCAAACTTGGGCCCTCCAGTTGTTTTGGACTTCAACTCCCACAATTCCTAATAGACTCAGTGTTCTGATTTGCCCTTCAAAAAGTAAAACAAAAATGCTTTACTTCAGCAAACAGAAAGGATCATCAAAGGCAGTTGAAAAATGCAAACGAAAACAAGGAAGTCTTAAGGCAGACACAAAATTAAAGTCTCTTATAAAATCCCAAAAGAAACAGCAGTCTTACATCAGACAATGGGCAATGACCACTAAATCCTCAGAAGCAGACTTGAAGCAGGTTCCATTGGAGCGAAAACATCAACGTCAGAGTCGTTGTTACCAGCGAAAGCTCCTGATTTATAGCCCTGAATTCCACATACAGGAGATGCTAGGGCTTCTCCCAATTAGTACAGCGTTTCTAGCAGCTATTCTAGCTGAACGCTGTCTGTGCTCTGTCTCCTTTTGCTTCTCCAGAAATGTGGGCACTTGCAAGACCTCATCGTCTCCTGCTTTTGATTTATAGCCCTGAATTCCCCATACAGGAGGTGCTAGGGCAGTGTTTCTCAACCTGGGGGTCGGGACCCCTGGAGGGGTTGCGAGGGGCTGTCAGAGGGGTCACTTAAGACCATCATAAAATACAGTATTTTCTGTTGGTCATGGGGGTTCTGTGTGGAAAGTTTGGCCCAATTCTATCGTTGGTGGGGTTCATAATACTCTTTGATTGTAAGTGAACTATAAATCCCAGCAGCTACAACTCCCAAATGTCAAGTATCATTTCCCCAAACTCCACCAGTGTTCACATTTGGGCATATTGAGGATCTGTGCCAAGTTTGGTCCAGACCCATCATTGTTGAGTCCACAGTGCTCTCTAGATGTAGGTGAACTACAACTCCCAGACTCAAGGTCAATGCCCACCAAACTCTTCCAATATTTTCTATTGGTCATGGTATGCCAAGTTTGGTTCAATTCCATTGTTGGTGAAGTTCAGAATGCTTTTGATTGTAGGTGAAGCCCAGTAACTATAACTCCCAAATGACAAAATCAACCCCATCAGTACTCAAATGTGGGCATATTAGGTATTTGTGCCAAATTTGCTCCAGTGAATGAAAACACATCCTGCATACTGGATATTTACATTCTGATTCATAACAACAGGAGCAAAATTACAGTTATGAAGTAGCAACAAAATTAATGTTATGGTTGGGGGTCACCACAACATGAGGAACTGTATTTATGGGTCATGGCATTAGGAAGGTTGAGAAACACTGTGCTAGGGAGTCTCCCAATTAGCACAGCGTTTCTAGCAGCTATTCTAGCTGAACGCTGTCTGTGCTCTGTCTCCTTTCGCCTCTCCATTATTGTCTGATTCCTCTTCCAATTCCTGAGCTCTTCCCTGCTCCCCTTCCTCTTCTGAAGAAGAGGAATCACTAACAATCAGGCCCTTTCCTTTTCCCCCTCAGCCGGGGAAAAGGAAAGGGTCTGAGGCTGTTAGGAATTGTGAGAGTTGGTCCAAAACAACTGGAGGGCCCAAGTTTGCCTGTACCTGCTTTAGCAGCTCAACTTCAGCATTAGATTATTTCAACGTCATAGGCCGATTCTTTCCATGTCGGTAGCTGTAACGCCAGCTTCTGGACATCTGCTGTAGTGACATTGTGGAGTTTGGCTCTGGTAGTAGTGTTGGTTGATAAGATACCCTTCATTATCTGTCTGCATTCATATCCTCCCCAGGCCATCTTGCATCAAGAAGGGCACATGGATGATGCACTTTCGCTGACCCGCTGCCAGCATGAGGAGTCTCAGGCGGCCCGGATGATCTACAGCACCTCTGGACTCTATAACCAATTCATCAAGTAGGTCTTGAGGATATTTGTACTCCTCAGTATAGTAAAATGTTAGCCCTTGTGCTACAGACTATGTTCTGGGCACCACCGACAACATGGACAATAGCTTTCCAAGTCAGTGCATTTTGTTAAATGAAAATCTCCATAACCTTTTGGAGATTTTATGATCTTTGGAAAGGCATGATCTTATTAGAAGTCATACAACCACAAACAATGGCATATTATGCTTGTTTGCTGTGAGCTGAATGCTCAATTTTTAGTATCCTGTTTGTTTTTGGGTGCTCTGCTATATTTTGGGTAGTTTTCCGTAACAATTGCAACTAGTGGCAAATCCGTTGTAGAGCTATCCAAGGTGCTATCCATTGTAGACCATCATGGTTGGGGGTCACCACAACATGAGGAATTGTATTAAAGGGTTGAGACATTAGGAAAGTTGAGAACCATCGTTCTAGGTTCTCCAGCAAATTTCCATGGTCAACCTCCAGCCGTAGAATCACCCTGAAGGAAACTGGAGATTCCTAGAGTTCATATATTTATCAAATCCGCAGAAGTTAGACCTGCAAATGTGAAGGCTGGCTGTACTTGTTTGCGATCACTTGGAAAGGACAATTATTCCCAGTCTCCACAGCCTTTGATCTTCTCTCATTCTTGCTGTTCTTTCCCTCTGTCTAGGGGCCTGGACACACTGAGTGGAAAAATTAAATCAAGCACGCCAGTGAATCTTCCCATCGATGGGATGATTCTCAGCTTGCAGGACCTGATCAACTACTTCCAGCATCCGGAAGAAGAGCTTCAGCATGAGGAGAAACAGACCAAGCTCCGCTCTCTCAAAAACAGGCAAAACCTCTTCCAGGAGGAGGTGAGCAATGGGGTGCTAAACACAGCAACACACTGGACAGATTGCAATCTCCCAGGTGGGCTTGCAGCATCGCTATGCGGCCTGAGCGTTTTTTTCTCTTGCTTTGCAGGGGATGATCACCCTCGTTCTGAACTGCATTGACCGTCTCAATGTGTACACCACTGCTGCGCACTTTGCTGAGTTTGCGGGCGAGGAAGCAGCGGAGGCCTGGAAGGAGATTGTCAACCTGCTGTATGAGCTTCTCGGTATGGAGGCAAAGACCTGGGCTGTAACGTAACATCTGCAGGATTTCACTTTCAGGCACACTTCTGAGAATATAGTAGGAGTTAGTGAGGTGTTGTCGAAGGCTGTCATGGCTGGAATCACTGGGTTGCTGTGAGTTTTCCTGACTGTATGTCCATGTTCCAGAAGTATTCTGTGTCGTCGCGCCTGGGGACTATAATTCGTAGTGAAAGAAACATGGACGTGACATCTTTTCCCCAGGGGATTGCTTCTTGCCCTCCTTTAGAGAACTGGAACTCTCAAGGATCAAGACACTATCGATAACTCGAAATAGGTTTTATTGTTCACAATGAGTTATCTTTCTGAGGCAAAAAACTTGATGTTTCAAAGCGGGGTAAAGAAAATATACATTACAGTCTTTGTAGTCTTGGGTCTAAGGAGATTTCCAGCTGAGAAGCTTTCCAAGTATTTGCGAACTAAATACTGGGGTAGAGAGAATGGTTGATTTCTCATTCTGAATGAACTTAGATTGGGTTGGAATTCTCACAGACCCCTGAGCACTCAACTTATAAGCTCTGTGTGTAAACAAAGCTTGACAAGTCCCAGGGACCATGCTGGTAAGGGGATTCCCAGAGCTGTAGTGACTTTGTTGTGCTAGGAAAATCCTATCCAGTACTTTTATGCCAGTGACAAACCAGGGAATATCCACAATAACTCCTCCACTTTCTCTTTTTTGTCCTGCTCCAAAGCCTCCTTGATCCGTGGGAACCGTGCCAATTGTGCTCTTTTCTCCAACAATCTGGACTGGCTGGTCAGCAAGCTGGATCGACTGGAAGCCTCCTCTGGTGAGTAGGGTTTTATGTTATGTTTTTAGTTTAAAAAATTGATTTATTACACTCATATCCTGCTTTTCCTCCAATGAAGGAGCATATGTGGCTTTCCTTCCCCATCTCACTTGATTCTCAACAGCAACCCTGGAAAGGAAGGTTATCCACAAAGAGGGAGAAAAAGTGAGGGGCTGCCTGATGTCATACAGTGAATTTCAGACTTGGGAAGTCAGACTTGTCCACGGTGGTCCATACTCTCATTACATCTAGGATAGACTACTGCTGTTGTGCTGTTGCAATTTTAGAGGTTTTTTTTTTTAATACTGGTAGCCAGATTTTGTTCATTTTCATTGTTTCCTCCTTTCTGTTGAAATTGTCCACATGCTTGTGTATTTCAATGGCTTCTCTGTGTAGTCTGACATGGTGGTTGTGAGAGTGCAACAGCACAACAACAGAGAGGAAACAAACAAGGACATCTAATCACCTCTCAACAAAAGTTTATTCCAGGCACTGTCAGGCCATTATATGCTAATCAAGGTGGACAGTTGAAACATTCACACCTAGCTCCAGCAGACAAGAGTCCTTTGTCCCACCCTGGTCATTCCACAGATATATAAACCCTTTTTCCTAGTTCCAACAGACCTCACTACCTCTGAGGATGCTTGCCATAGATGCAGGCGAAACGTCAGGAGAGAATGCCTCTAGACCATGGCCATATCGCCCGAAAAAACCTACCACAACCCACAATTAGATTTGATGTAGATGACTAGGACGGTTTTAAATGGTGTATTTTAATATTGAAATAAATGTTTTTAATGTTTATGTATGTGTATATGAGTTCGTGTCCCAGCATTGAATATTTGCTGTATATAATAATAATAATAATAATAATAACAACAACAACAACAACAACACTTTATTTATACCGCGCTACCATCTCCCCAAGGGACTCGGTGCGGCTTACATGAGGCCGAGCCCAAAATACAACAATACAAGCAATAACAACAACAATACAAGCAATTTAGAAACAACAAAACAATAAAACAACAACATAAGCATTATCAGTAGGACAACACGCTTTAAAATCTATGCGTAGGCCAAATGTAATTAAAATTAAAAATAATGCTGGACATGGGCGAAAAAGTGATGGGGCGGTTTGTGGTGAGAAGGGCAGAATATAAATGTTTTAAATAAATAAATAAAATAAAATCCATGGCTAAGTGGTAGCTAGAACCTGGATAATTGTACGAGTGTCTTTTTTGGCTGACCTACCAGCTAATATGTTTCTCTGACAGTTCCTAGCAGTATCTAGACCTGCCTTGCAGTTTCTTTTGCTTCCTTTAGTTTCCTTACAGAAAGTTATACAAAGTGTTATAGTATAATAGATAGCTGGCAAAGTAGTATTGATACTGGATTCAACGTGCCCGGTTCCAGAGTCCCATTTCCCTTCTTTATCTTCCTTTGCACGTTGTGGGAGCTGTATATGTAACTCACACCAATACCCGTTTTTTCCTTGCTCTAAATCTGGTCTTGTTCACCAGGTATCTTGGAGGTTCTGTACTGTGTGCTGATTGAAAGCCCCGAAGTGCTAAATATCATCCAGGAGAACCACATCAAGTCCATCATCTCACTACTGGACAAACATGGACGCAATCATAAGGTATGTTAAATTAGCCATACTCTAGTGGTTCCTTTCCAAAGAGACATGAAATAGGTGTAAATAATGTGATGACAACCATTGTGTCAGCAAGAGAGAGCTGAGTGGATGTGGGGAGTGAGAAAAACATGGACTAACCTATAGTTATAGTTATATGTATAGTTATATAGTATAGATATAACTATACTATATAACTATGTATATACTCGAGTATAAGCCTAGTTTTTCAGCCCCTTTTTTAGGCAGTAAAAGCTCCCCTCGGCTTATACTCGAGCCAAGGTTATTTATTATTTTACTCTGTTATTAGTATTTTTATTATATTTATTTTATTAATCTATTGTTTTATTATATTTATTTTATTACTCGATTATTACATTTATTATTTTACTCTATTATTATTGATATTATTACATTTACATCATTTTACTCTATTATTTTTATTACATTTATTTTACTATTATTATTACATTTATTATTTTACTCTATTATTGATATTATTACATTTTCATTATTTTACTCTATTATTTTATTATATTTATTTTACTCTCTATTATTATTACATTTATTATTGTACTCTATTTATTATTGTTATTACATTGATTATTTTGCTCTCTTTATTATTATTAGAAGGCTACGTAAGTATATTTACATTGAAGAAAACTAGAATAATAGGTTAATCAGAGTTGGACAGTCTTATATTACAGTTTTATGTAAATATTCAAAAACATTTAACCTACCGATGCCTCAATTAATATAATTTTATTGGTATCTATTTTTATTTTGTAATTGGCCAGTATCTGCTGCATTTCCCACCCTCGGCTTATACTCGAGTCAATACATTTTCCCAGTTTTTGTGGTAAAATTAGGTGCCTCAGCTTATATTCGGGTCAGCTTATACTCGAGTATATACGGTATGTGTGTGTATAATATAGAACTCCAATATGCTGATGATAACGTAGTCTGTGCACATTGAGAAGAAGACCTACAAGCCACTCTAAACACCTTTGCAGAAGCATACGAGAAGCTCGGACTCTCATTGAACATTGAGAAAACCAAAGTGCTCTTCCAGCAGGCACCAGCCAATCCCTCTGCAATGCCAGAAATACAGCTTAATGGTGTAACATTAGAAAATGTTGACCATTTCCACTCCCTTGGCAGCCACCTCTCCACAAAAGTCAACGTTGAAATACAACACTGCCTGAGCTCTGCAAGTACAGCATTTTTCCAAATGAAGCAGAGAGTGTTTGAGGACCGGGACATCCGTAGGGATACCAAGGTGCTTGTTTATAAAGCCATTGTCCTCCCAAGCCTGCTCTACGCCTGCGAAACGTGGACTGTCTACAGAAGTCACACTCAACTCCTGGAATGATTCCATCAGTGCTGCCTCCGAAAAAACCTGCAAATCTCTTAGGAAGGCAAGCAGACAAATGTCAGCGTGCTGGAAGAAGCAAAGACCACCAGCACTGAAGCGATTATTCTCTGCCATCAACTCCGCTGGAATGGCCACGTTGTCCGAATGCCCGATCACTGTCTCACAAAGCAGTTACTCTACTCCCAACTCGAGAACAGAAAACAGAATGTTCGTAGACAGGAAAGGAGATTTAAAGATGGGCTTAAAGCTAACCTTAAAAACTGTGGCATAGACACCGAGAACTGGGAAACCCTGGCTCTTGAGTGCTCTAACTGGAGGTCAGCTGTGACCAGCAGTGCTGTGGAATTCGAAGAGGCATGAATGGAGGATGAAAGGGAGAAATGTGCCAAGAGGAAGGCATGTCAAGCCGACCCTGACCAGGACCGCCTTCCACCTGGAAACTGATGCCCTCATGGTTGAAAAATATGCGGATGAAGAATAGGGCTCCATAACCACCTACATATTTGCTGCCAAGACACAACACTTGGAGGGCCACCATCCACAGACAACGAGGGATCATCTAAATAAGTAAAGTAAGGCTAACCTGCTGAGCAACAGACTCCAATCCTGTTGTTGACACATGTAAAACATAAATTCAGCTCAACTGCACATGTCTTTTTGGCTGTTGAAGATGCTGGTGTTTTTTCTGTGGTAACACTCAAAGCACACTAGGGTTCACAGATGTGCATCTGCAATGGTGTGGCCATCCATACTTAATCTTAAATTATTTCACCCTCCCATCTTGACAGGTTCTGGACGTCCTCTGTTCTCTGTGTGTCTGCAACGGTGTTGCCGTCCGTTCCAACCAAAATCTCATCACTGAAAACTTGCTTCCAGGGAGGGACCTGCTTTTGCAGACCAAACTGATCAACTATGTCACCAGGTTAGCATGTTGCTATATTTTGGCATTTACGTATGTTGTAATTCCGCTGGAGTGAGGAGAAAAAAAGCAGAAGAGTCATAGAATCATAGAATCAAAGAGTTGGAAGAGACCTCATGGGCCATCCAGTCCAACCCCCTGCCAAAAAGCAGGAATATTGCATTCAAAGCACTCCTGACAGATGGCCATCTAGCCTCTGTTTATAAACCTCCAAAGAAAAATCCTCCACCACACTCTGGGGCAGAGAGTTCCACTGCTGAACGGCTCTCACAGTCAGGAAGTTCTTCCTCATGTTCAGATGGAATCTCCTTTCTTGTAGTTTGGAGCCATTGTTCCGCGTCCTAGTGCTCTCTCCTCCCTGTGACTTCCTCTCACATATTTATACATGGCTATCATATCTCCTCTCAGCCTTCTCTTCTTCAGGCTAAACATGCCCAGCTCCTTAAGCCGCTCCTCATAGGGCTTGTTCTCCAGACCTTGATCATTTTAGTCGCCCTCCTCTGGACACATTCCAGCTTGTCAATATCTCTCTTGAATTGTGGTGCCCAGAATTGGACACAATATTCCAGGTGTGGTCTAACCAAAGCAGAATAGAGGGGTAGCATGACTTCCCTAGATCTAGACACTATGCTCCTCTTGATGCAGGCCAAAATCCCATTGCTTTTTTTGCCGCCACATCACATTGTTGGCTCATGTTTAACTTGTTGTCCACGAGGACTCCAAGATCTTTTTCACACGTACTGCTCTTGAGCCAGTCTAGAGCCTTGTATTTATTATTATTATTATTATTATTATTATTATTATTATTATTTGAAACACAACAAGATGAGTCCACAGCAGACACTCTGCTGGCTGTTGTATTGGATCACACGTTGGATACTTCCCAAGTGTCTAGGACTGTGTGATGTATCGGCGAATAATGTGTGCAGATCCCAGTAAGGTGGCCTTTTGCAGCTGGCAGATGGTAATTTTGTCAGCGCCGATTGTGTTTAAGTGCAGGCCAAGGTCTTTAGGCACTGCACCCAGTGTGCCGATCACCACTGGGACCACCTTTACTGGCTTGTGCCAGAGTCTTTGCAGTTTGATCTTTAAATCCTCATATTGTGTCAGCTTTTCCAGTTGTTTCTCTTCAATCCTGCTGTCACCTGGGATTGCAACATCGACGATCCAAACTTTGTTTATTAACACGATTGTGAGGTCAGGAGTATTATGCTCCAAATGTCTGTCTGAATCCCAAAGTCCCAGAGGAATTTGGCGTGTTCGTTCTCTGTAACTTTTTCCAGCTTGTGATCCCACCAGTTCTTTGTCACAGGCAGATGGTATTTGTGGCACAAGTTCTAGTGCATCATCTGAGCAACGGTGTTGTGCCTCTGCTTGTAGTCTGTCTGTGCAATCTTCTATTATTATTATTATTATTATTATTATTATTATTATTATTAGCCATGGGGCTAATTCTTCCCAGTGCCCCCTTTTCATTCTTGTTGTTCTGATTTGGACTTAAATGGAACTGCTTGCATAAGAAAGAAATATTTCCTTTCTTATTCAAGCTTGCATAAGGCACAACCTGTAGTTACATAGGTGTAGATCGGTATGAGCAAACTTGGACCTTCCAGGTGTTTTGGACTTCAACTTCCATCATTCCAAACAGCCTCAGGCCCTTTCCTTTCAGCCGCTTAAGCGGCTGAGGGGGAAAAAGGAAGGGGCCTGAGGCTGTTCAGAATGATGGGAGTTGAAGTCCAAAACACCTGGAAGGTCCAAGTTTGCTCATTCCTGGTGTGGAATTATATATATAATGTAAAAGGTCATCAGGAGCAAAAAAAAAGAAAAGGAAAGGAAACTTGTGCATTTGCAGAAATGTACACAAAAAGGCATAGTAATTTTTATGCACAACTTAAAAAAATAGCAAATCGATACCAAAATAAAATGCAAAGCTGGGCAAAACTACATATGGCAAGTTGATCCACCTCTGTATCTCTCTCCTGTTTCCAACAGCATGCGCCCCAATGTCTTCTTGGGAACTCACGAAGGCTCCACCCAGTACAAGAAGTGGTACTACGAGTTGATTGTGGATTACGTGGAGCCGTTTATGTCTGCACAGTCCACGCACCTGAGAGTGGGCTGGGCCATGGCAGAAGGTTACAGCCCCTATCCTGGAGGTGGAGAAGGCTGGGGAGGCAATGGCGTGGGAGACGACCTCTACTCATTCGGCTTTGATGGCTTGCACCTCTGGTCAGGTAGGAAACCTGGATCGTGTGGTTCATATATGTATGTTTGCATGAGTCTTGCAGTGACCTGCTTCCAGAATAGCAAAGTAGGCAGGGGAACAAAGGATGAGATGAATAGAGCCCAAGTACATTTAATTAAATGTACCACATAGGTCCCACATAGGTCCCACATAGGAGCCCCCAGTGGCTCCGCAGATTTGACCATTGAGCTGCTGAACTTGCTGACCAAAAGGTCAGCAGTTTGGATTTGGGGAGCCAGGTGAGCTTTCGCTGTTAGGCCCAGCTTCTGCCAACCTAGTAGTTCAAAAACATGCAAATGTGAGTACATCAATAAGTACCGCTTCTGCAGGAAGAAACACCGCTCCATGCAGTCATGCTGGCCACATGACCTTGGATGCGCTTATGGACAACGCCGGCTCTTCAGCCTAGAAATGGTGAGCACCACTCCCTAGAGTCGGACACAACTAGACTTAATGGCAGGAGAAACATTACCTTCATGTCCTACACAGACTTGGAGAAAGGTTTTAATAGATCAATGGTAGCGTGCCTCATTTGTGTCCTAAACATACAAGGTTTAAAATAGTGTTAGCCACTTTTAATGCCTTTTGAAAGAGAAAAAGTAGGATATAAAGGGTCTGCCAATGGGTTAAACCATTGAACTGTTGAATCTGCTAACCTAAAGATCATTAGTTTGAAGCCATGGATTGGAGTGAGCTCCTGCTGTAACCCCAAGCTCCTGCCAACCTAGCAGTTTGAAAACATGCAAATGTGAGTAGATTAATAGGTACTGCTTTGACGAAAAGGTACTAAAGACAGCCATGCAGCCATGCCGGCAACACGAACAGGAGATGTCTAAGAACAAAAGGCTCCTCGGCTTGGAAATGGAACAAGAGCACCTCCCCATGGCTGGAGTTGAGCACCACCTCCAGAAAACCAGAAATGAAAGAGGGAGCCTTTACCTTTGTTCTCTGTATTTGTATGTTATTGTTACTCCACTGTATTAAAGGCACTGAATGTTTCCCTATCTGTGTATGTTGTAATCTGCTATGAGTCCCCTCAGGGAGATCAAGTAGAATATAAATAAAGTGTTACATAAATAAATAAATAAGTAATAACTCACAAAGATTCAGTTCCCAACACTTCAATTAAAATTGCAAAGTGATGGAAACAGCCATCAGATCTTGCTGCTGGTTAAAATAGATGAAAGGGATGACATTAATATCAATATTTCTTTATATTCATACTAGCCGTCCCCTGCCACACATTGCTGTGGCCCAGTGTATATGTGTTTTGTGTGTGTATAGATGTGTGAATGTGTGTGTATATATTTGTGTATATATGTGTGTTTGCGTGTGTCTGTCTGTGTGTGTGTGTATGTGTGTATATATATGCGCAATGTTCATTTGTGGGATTAACATAACTCAAAAAACACTGGACGAATTGATACCAAATTTGGACACAATACATCTATCAGGACAACGAGTGACCATCACTCTTAAAAACACAGAAAAACCCTGCAGAAGAAACTTAAAAAGCCCAAAAATAAAAAAATACATTACAATGCATACGCAAACACACGTATATACACATATACACAAATATATACACACAAAGCACATATAGACAGACTGGGCCACAGCAACGTGTGGCAGGGGATGGCTAGTGTGTGTGTGTGTATATATATATGTTGGTGTATATATGTGTGTATATATATATTCATGCATATATATTTGTGTATTTGTGTGTTTATATGTGTACATGCATATTGTGTATATGTGTGTGCTTGTCTATATGCATATCTGTGTGTGTGTGTATGTATGTGTGCATGTGTATATGGATAATGTGTGTATGTATATGTATGTGTGTATACTTGTGTGTGTTTGTGCATATATATACGTGTGTGTGTATGAATGTGTGCATGTGCATATGTATATGTATATATGGTGTATTTTTGGAGTTTTGAAGTCTGTTCTGCTGGGGTTTTGTATGTTTGTGTGTGTGATTACGGGTGATGGACATTTGTTGGACTGTTAGGTGTACTGTGTCCAAATTTGGTGTCAATTCATCCAGTGGTTTTTGAGTTATGTTAATCCCACAAATGAACATTACATTTTTATTTATATAGAATTCATGTTTCAGCATTATATCAATGCATGGGCCTTGGGAAGGGTCTTTCCTTTTCATGCTGTATTTTTAATATCTCCTGCTGCCTCCATTCAGGCCGTGTGGCTCGACCGGTAACATCACCTGGGCAGCACACGCTGGGAGCAGATGACGTGGTGAGTTGTTGCCTCGATCTGAGCGTGCCCAGCATCTCCTTCCGCATCAATGGCTTCCCTGTCCAGGGCATGTTTGAGAACTTCAACCTGGATGGGCTCTTCTTTCCTGTGGTCAGCTTTTCAGCAGGCATCAAGTAAGCACAATTGAGTTGGCATAAAAAAAAGATATGGCTTGCAAAAATCAGTTCATCCTTATCTCTGAGTAAATATGCATTTTTGAGCTAGGAAAAGTTCCTTTTTTGGGTTGCTGTTCCCAGAATCTCCTAGCTTGGCTACAGTAGCTCCTCATAGTAAATTTAGCGAATTTTACTGGTAGGAGAAAATTAACCTTGGTTGACCCATAATATTGTTTTTACTATTCTTCTTTTCATAAGTTTCTTCTATTTTTTGTTATATTGTAGAAAATTCCGACTTCTTTGAGAAATATTACATATTAGCACTATCTGAGAAACATGTTTTCTAGCAATGCACTGATATATTAGGCCTGTGAACCTACCAGATTAGCACCTTTTCTTTGCAGCTTTATATGATGCCCCTTTTTATCATACTAGTGCCCCCCCCCCCCCCCCCAAATCGCAAAGTCAACATCAAGTCTGAACTGGGAATGACAATTCATAGATAACTTATTGTATTACCCTCCCCCTAGCAACAATATAGTAATATATAATACTAATATTGTGCTGTGCTAATATTATAATATATTGTATATACACATAATATTGATAATAATATAATGTAATATAATACTAATAATAATACAATATAATTATATATTTTATATTACACATAATATTACTAATAATATTGCATATAGTGGTATAGTACAATATAGTAATATTATTATAGTAATAATACTAATACTGTCCTGTGCTAATAATATAATATATTATATACACATATAATATTGATAATAGTATTATAATTTAATGCAATATAATACTGATAATAATACAATATAATTGTTATATTACATGTAATATTATTAATAATATTACAGTATAGTGATATAGTACATTGTTCTGGTACAGCTGTACCAGGAGCTCCAACTTCTTTTTCTTTCTTTGAGTGTTTGCATGTATTCCAAGGTTCCATGCATTTTGCAATTAGTGGCTTCCCTTGGTTTGCAATTATAGGGCCAATGACCCATCAATCATCATTAGGTTCTTTAGTTCCACCCCTTTTTCTGGGTTTAGGAGGGAAAAGGGGGACCTCTAGTTCAGTTCTCACAGAGAAGCCTTTCGTACAGGGTGTGAGTCAGTTCCACCTGTAGAAAGCTTCGTCTTTTACAGCTTTTTGCTGGGGAACTACAGCCAGCTTTTGCTGGAGGATTTACAGCCCCATAGCTTTTGCTGGGGGAATTCAGTCCCACAGCTCTACAGAGAAACCTAGCTTTTGCTGGGGGAATCCAGTCCCACAGCTTTACAGCCAGCCTTCACTGGGAATTGAAGACCTTCTTTCGTCTTGGAAATCTACAAAAGGACTCTGTTTGGTAAGGACCACTCACGGCAGCCATAACGCAATTTGGACCGGGTGTAGGGGCCCACGCCAGCAGAGCCTAAGACAGATTGCCCAGGGAGAGGTCAAGGATTTCCCTGATAGAGAAGAAACAGTTCATGAAGATAGTTGCCTGTCCCTTGTGGATAAGATTAAGAAAGCCACCAGTTGATTCAAAGCCTTGTTTGATTTATTGAAGAACTAAGCACTAATAAAGAACTTCGTTAAACTTTCCAAGTTTCTAAAGACTTTGTTTAGGGAAATCTGTAGGGCCTCTAATCTGAGGCATCCCCGACGTCCCGTTGGGCATACAGAGCACGTCCTGTCTACAGACCTTTTCACAGGCCCAGCGCGTGACAGCACAACAATATAGTACTTATAATACTAATATTGTGCTATGCTAATAATATAATACATTGTATGTACATATTTTATTTATTTATTTACAGTATATATATTTCGCCCTTCTCACCTCGCAGGGGACTCAGGGAGGATTACAATGTACACATATATGGCAAACATTCAATGCCAAAGACACACAACAGATATAGACAGACAGTCAGAAGCCATTTAACTTTTCTGGCCGCCAGGGGAGCTATCGCTTTCATCGTCCATCTGCGACACTGATTAAGTGCTTTCTGCATTCCCCACATGCTTTTTGCCGGAGTGCTTTGCTGGAGTCTTTTTCATGGCCTGGTAAATTAGTTAAATTAGCCTCCCCACACATTGGTGGTACCTAATTTTCCTACTTGACAGATGCAACTGTCTTTCGGGTTGCAAAGGTCGACAACAAGCTACGCAATTGGTCGGAAGCTCACTCTGACTGGGCTGGCTTCAAACTCATGACCTTTTGATCAGAAATGATCTTAATGCAGCTGACACTCATCCAGCTGCGCCACAGTCCCGGTGCCTTGTAACTTGTAAGCCGCTCTGAGTCCTCTTTGGGGTGAGAAGGGCAGCATATAAATGCCGTGTGTGTATGTGTCTATCTATCTATCTATCTATCTATCTATGCAGTTACTATCACTGATTGTAATACTTTTGTTTTTAATGAGAATGATCTTCCACTAATAATACTAATACTGTCCTGTGCTAATAATATAATATATTATATACACCTACCTACCTACCTCCTGAACTCATCTCCACCTTTTTTACCCGCGAGGACTTTAATCGTCCGGGGAGGCCCTGCTCTCGGTCCCGCCGGCGTCGCAGGCGCGGTTGGCGGGGACGAGAGACAGGGCCTTCTCAGTGGTGGCCCCTCGGCTATGGAATGCCCTACCAGTGGACATCAGGCAGGCCCCTTCGTTGCTGGTGTTTCGGAGGAGGGTTAAGACGTGGCTCTATGAGCAGGCGTTTGGACAACTATGCAATGACAACTAACTCAGTAAGACGGCATTGAACAAGGAACGAAAAAGGACTATGAGAACGGGATCTGATTCTAACTGAGGCGTTGATGATTGTGTGTGTTGTTTGTGTATGTACGTCTTATATATTGTCAGTGTTGCCATTTTTACTGTAAACCGCATTGAGTCGCCGTCGCAGGCTGATATATGCGGTATACAAATGGAGTAAATAAATAAATAAATAAATAAATAAATAAATAAATTTATCTGTATGAATATTTCTAAGCTGCTTTTTCATTAAGAGACCCACAAAAGTGCCTTGCAATGTAAGTATTTAGGTTCCTTTCGCACTGGGAAGGGCACAGCACTAAATTTTCTTTTTTTCCCCCTATGTCAGGGTGCGGTTCCTCTTGGGAGGGCGTCATGGGGACTTCAAGTTCCTGCCTCCTCCAGGCTACGCTCCATGTTACGAGGCCCTCCTCCCGCGTGAGAAGATGCGTGTGGAGCCCATCAAGGAGTACAAGCATGACTTCAACGGAGTCCGAAATCTTTTGGGCCCTACACAGTCTTTGTCCCACACTGCCTTCACTCCATACCCAGTGGATACCATCCAGGTAAAGTAGCTCAGGATCTTTTAACATGGTCATGCTGCCTTTGGAGATACATTATGGAGCAATAAAAGATGGGACTGCTCCCTGGGTGCTCTTGTTTCTTCTTGCTGTTGTTCTGTGCCTTATGTTGGCCCTAAGGTGACCCTAGATTGTCTAACTCTGATTAAACTATTATTCTAACTTTCTTCAATGTAAATGTGACATATCCCTCCAATAATAGTAGAGTAAAACAATAAATGTAATAATGATAATAGTAATAATAATGGAAAACTCTAAATGTAATAATAATAATAATAATAATAGAGTAAAATGATAAATGTCATAATAACAATAAATAGAGTAAAACAATAAATGTAATAATAACAACAATAATAAGGGAAGATAATAAATGTAATAATAATTTATTTATTTATCGTGTCAGGGCAACCAGTCAATTATATTACAATTCTAACCGAACAAAGCAAACAAACAAACAGACAGAAAAATACACATCTTGTGAGTTTGGTAGTTGGTTAAATGTCCTTTGACCAGTATCTGGCCACTTGGAGTGCTTCCGGTGTTGCTGCAAGAAGGTCCTCCATGGTGCATGTGGCAGGGCTCAGGTTGCATTGCAGCAGGTGGTCAGTAGTTTGCTCCTCTCCACACTCGCATGTCGTGGATTCCACTTTGTGGCCCCATTTCTGAAGGTTGGCTCTGCATGTCGTAGTGCCAGAGCGCAGTCTGTTCAGCGCCTTCCAAGTTGCCCAGTCCTCTGTGTGCCCAGGGGGGAGTCTCTCATTTGGTATCACCCACGGATTGAGGTGCTGGGTTTGAGCCTGCCACTTTTGGACTCTCGCTTGCTGAGGTGTTCCAGAGAGTGACTCTGTAGATCTTAGAATCTATGTCTAGATTTAAGTCATTGGCATGTTGGCTGATACCCAAACAAGGGATGAGCTGGAGATGTCTCTGCCTTGGTCCTTTCACTATTGGCTGCTACTTTCCGGCGGATATCAGGTGGTGCAATATCGGCTAAGCAGTGTAATTTCTCCAGTGGTGTGGGGCGCAGACACCCCGTGATAATGCGGCATGTCTCATTAAGAGCCACATCCACTGTTTTAGCATGGTGAGATGTGTTCCACACTGGGCATGCATACTCAGCAGCAGAGTAGCACAGCACAAGGGCAGATGTCTTCACTGTATCTGGTTGTGATCCCCAGGTTGTGCCAGTCAGCTTTTGTATGATATTGTTTTTAGCACCCACTTTTTGCTTGATGTTCAGGCAGTGCTTCTTTCAGGTAAGAGCACGGTCCAGAGTGACTCCCAGGTATTTGGGTGCGCTGCATTTGCATCACCAATAGGTGGGGGGGGGGCTGTTGTTGTAAAGCAGGGGGTCCTCAAACTTTTTAAACAGAGGTCCAGGTCACAGTCCCTCAAAGTGTTGGAGGGCCGGATTATAATTTGAAAAAGACATGAATGAATTCCTATGCACACTGCACATATCTTATTTGTAGTGTAAAAAACACTTTAAAAACAATAATTAAAATGAAGAACAATTTTAACAAATGTAAACTTATTAGTATTTCAGTGGGAATTGTGGGCCTGCTTTTGGCTGATGAGATAGAATTGTTGTTGTTGTGTGCTTTCAAGTCATTTCAGACTTAGGTTGACCCTGAGCGAGGGCCAGGTAAATGACCTTGGAGGGCCATATCCGGCCCATAGGCCGTAGTTTGAGGACCCCTGTTGTAAAGGGTTCCATTGATGGCTAGGTAATTCTTCAGCAGTTGCGCTATTGTATGAGAACATCCTCTCCCTTTGCCTTTCCTTTTTTGGGTCACAGAGATACCTCTACTACTGTCTTTATCTTCTCCACAGATTGTCTTACCCCCACATCTTGAGCGGATCCGGGAGAAATTGGCAGAGAACATCCATGAACTTTGGGCCCTGACCCGCATTGAACAAGGATGGACTTATGGATCTGTGAGTGTTTCCTGATCAGCAATGGGACATTTGGGACCCATGGATCCTTTCCTCTACTTTGGTATTGAGTCTGCAAAAATGCCACTTCCTTCAAATCCATTGAGTTGACTCAATCAGTGTTAGACTTCTGAATTTTAACCTCTTATGAGTGAGTCAGGACTTTGGCAGATACATTTGAACTGCATGTTGTATTCCTTTGGCCATTTTCAGATCCGGGATGACAACAGGCGCTTACATCCATGTTTGCTAGATTTCCACAGCCTGCCTGAGCCAGAACGCAACTACAATCTGCAGATGTCAGGAGAGACACTCAAGTGAGTTGGCCATGGGAATCTGGTGAAATCAAAGCTGGTTCGCTATTCACTATATTTTGAGCATTCCTGGGGGAAAGTCAACTTTTTTCCAAACTACAACCTGTGCAATTCCCCATCTACATTGACAGTAGACATATAAAATCCCTAAACCTATAAATCCCTAAACGACTCCGGCCCAGTTTACCTGTCCGAACGGATTCTCCCCTATGAACCATCAAGGTTGTTAAGATCTTCTGGAGGGGCCCTGCTCTCGGTCCCACCATCTTCGCAATCGCGTCTGGTGGGGACGAGGGACAGGGCCTTCTCGGTGGTGGCCCCTCGGCTCTGGAACTCTCTCCCATTGGAGATTAGAACTGCCCCTTCCCTCCTGACCTTTAGAAAGTTGGTGAAAACCTGGCTTTGGAATCTGGCATTTGATGAGTGAGGCAATGGCTTTTGACCACACGGACGGATGGGGATGAATAGTGATTTTTATGCTAACGACTTGGCTTTATATAATTATATGATAGTACTTTAATGTGTTTATATTAGTGTATTATTGATGTGATGTTTTTAAACTATTATGTATGAACCCCCTTGTTGTAAACCAGCCTGAGTCCCTCATTGGAGGTGAGAAGACCGGTATATAAAAGTTCTAAATAAATAAATAAATAGACATACTGACCAGGGAATTTGTGTCTAAATCATGGCACACATTAAGACAGTATGCAGCTCCTTATTTATTGTAAATATTTGCATGTTGGTTTATTGCAACCACGTGGATTTTGTATTGTTTCCTTTGGGAAGGAATACTCAAGAGTGGTTTTGCCAATTCTTTCTTCAGAAATATAGCATACAGAGAAATTGAACCAAAATTTTAAAAATCCTTAGATCAGATCTGGCCTTTTCCAGATGAATGGTTTGTATCATCACTGATTAATAGCTGTCTAGTGAAGGAATGAGAGGAGAAGATTTTGACTCAAGTTAAGGGATGTTATCTAATTATCCCTCTGCCTTCTCCAGGACTCTACTTGCTCTGGGCTGCCATGTGGGGATGGCAGATGAGAAGGCTGAAGAGAACCTCAAGAAAACAAAGCTTCCTAAAACGTAAGTGACATGACTCCCGTCAACCTGCAGACCCCAAAATTCTTATCTGTATGCAACAAGGTGTAGTGATTTTCCCAGATAGGACCAGCAAGGTAGTCTTCTCCAACTGTACAGACAATAATAGTCATCATCATCAGCAGCATCATCATCATCAGCATCTATATAAATAAAAATGCAATGTTACTTTGTGGGATTAACATAACTCAAAAACCACTGGTCAAATTGACCCAAAATTTGGACACAATACACTTATCAGGCCAACAAGTGACCAAAAAACACTGAAAAACACAGCGGAATGGACTTAAAAAGCAAAAAAACAAAAACAAACCAAAAACATGACAATGCATGCACAAAACCACATATATAGACATATATGCATATATATATACACACAAAACACATATATTGTCGAAGGCTTTCATGGCCGGAATCACTGGGTTGTTGTAGGTTTTCTGGGCTATATGGCCATGTTCTAGAGGCATTTTCTCCTGACGTTTCGCTTGCATCTATGGCAAGCATCCTCAGAGGTAGTGAGGTCTGTTGGACCCATTTTCCTACTTCCAACAGACCTCACTACCTCTGAGGATGCTTGCCATAGATGCGGGTGAAATGTCAGGAGAGAATACCTCTAGACCATGGCCACAAAACACATATACATAGACTGCGCCACAGCAGCACATGGCAGGGGACGGGCTAGTAGTAGTAATAGTAGTAGTAATAATAATAATAATAATAATAGAGAATGAACACGGCAAACTCCTCTGGGACTTCCGGATTCAGACAGACAGAGTTTTGGAGCATAATACTCCTGACCTCACAATTGTGTTAAAAAACAAAGTATGGATTGTTGATGTCGCAATCCCAGGTGACGGCAGGATTGCAGAGAAACAACTGGAAAAGCTGACACGATATGAGGATTTAAAAATCGAACTGCAAAGACTCTGGCAAAAACCAGTAAAGGTGGTCCCAGTGGTGATCGGCACACTGGGTGCAGTGCCTAAAGACCTTGGCCTGCACTTAAACACAATCGGTGCTGACAAAATTACCATCTGCCAGCTGCAAAAGGCCACCTTACTGGGATCTGCACGCATTATTCGCCGATACATCACACAGTCCTAGACATTTGTGAAGTGTCCGACATGTGATCCAATTCAACAGCCAGCAGAGTGTCTGCTGTGGACTCATCTTGTTGTGTTTCAAATAATAATATTAATTATAAATAGAAAATAATAAATGTAATAATAATAATAATAACAACAGAGTAAAATAATAAATAACTTTGACTTGAGTATAAGCCGAGGCTGACTTTTTCAGCCTAAACAAAAGAGCTGAAAAACTAGGCTTATACTCAAGTATATATATAGTACTCTTGCCAGAGCTCTGAGCATATCACTTGCAGCGGGCTTTTGACAGTACAGCCAGGATACTGAGTCCTTGCCTCTGTAATCAACTCCTTATTTTGTGCTTTCCATTGACAGGTACATGATGTCAAATGGCTATAAACCAGCACCACTGGATCTCAACCACATCAAGCTGACTCCAGCCCAAAATACTCTGGTGGACAAACTGGCTGAGAACGGTCACAATGTCTGGGCAAGGGATCGTGTCCAACAGGGGTGGACCTATAGTATGGTGCAGGTGAGAGATTCCAGAGAGAGGTAACATTTGACATGAGATTGGTGTTGATGAGGTTCTTTGTATAAATGCTAGAAGCCACAATCTGCAGGCTTCTGTGTAACAGAAGAGGAGACGCGCCTCCATCTCAAGTGTGGTTGGTAGGAACGAGAGAGAGGGCCTTCTCAGTGGTGGCCCCCCAGTTTTGGAATGTCCTCTTCAGGAAAATAAGGCTGGCTCCCATTTTCCAAGTGTTCCATCTACAACTGAAGATATGGCTTTTCTAGACAAGCCTTTGACCATGTTCAGAAATTCAAGAATCTAGACATTATGTCACGGTGCACTTTATGAGACTGATACTGATTGCAGTTTGTTTTGTTTTGCAGCTATTGTTGCATTTTACTGATCTTAACTAGGAATTTTTATGATGTTTATGTTAGTTGTTACTGCTTTGTGTTACTGTCTTTCCACTTTTTGTATTTTGGTTGTTTGCACCTTGAGTGCTTTTGAGCCACCCGAGTCCCTCCGGAAGATGGTGATGGGGCATAAATTATTATTATTATTATTATTATTATTATTATTATTGAAGCCCCCTGTGGCTCAGTGGCTTAAACCGCTGAGCTGCTGAACTTGCTAACCCAAAGGTTGTGGGTTCGAACCCAAAGAGCAGCATGAGCTCCTGCTGTTAGCCTCAGCTTCTGCCAACCTAGCAGTTCAGAAACATGCAAATGCGAGTAGATCAATAGGTACCACTCCGGCAGGAAGGTAATGGCGCTCCATGCAGTCATACCGGCCACATGACCTTGGAAGTGTCTACAGACAACGCCGGCTCTTCAGATTAGAAATGGAGATGAGCACCAACCCCCAGAGTCAGACATGACTGGACTTAATGTCAGGGGAAAACCTTTACCTTTAACCATTATTATTGTTATTATTGTTATTATTATGTTACACCAATGAAGCACAGGAGAGAGATCTTGTGGCTTAGCACAGAAGGAGATCTTTCCACTGAGGAGTTGTAGTTTTTTCGGGATATATGGCCATGTTCTAGAAGCATTCTCTCCTGACGTTTCACCTGCATCTATGGCAAGCATCCTCAGAGGTTGTGAGGTCCTTCCACTGTTTCTGTCTGTTTTCTAGCCAGGTGTACTCAGTTTAGCTACTAGGCACGTGCAATCCATGGTTCTAAATGGTTCTAAAGTACTTACAAAACTAAAGTTCTCATGGGGAAAACTAGGGGGTGCTGGTGCTTTGCTTCTACAGTGTTGCTAAAGTTCTGGTGGTGAAACTTTCAGAACTCTAACACAACTTTCAAAATTTCATTACAAATGGCAGTTCCTAATAGGTTCGGTCATAAAAATCACCAATAGTGAAATAATTATGAATTTTTTAAAGTTTTGTTAGAGTTCTGAAATTTTCACCACCAGAACTTTAGCAACACTGTAGAAGCAAAGCACCAGTGCCCCCTAGTTTTCACAACCAGAACTTTAGTTTTATAAGTACTTTAGAACCATTTAGAACCATGGATTGCACATACCTATTAGCTACCTTGCAAAAGATATTTTTTCATTGCTACCATAGGACATAAAAAACAAACGCAACCCCCGCCTAGTGCCTTACAGCCTGTTAGATGAGCGGACCAAGAAAACCAACCGGGACAGCTTGCGCGAAGCGGTGCGCACGCTCATTGGTTATGGATACAACATTGAGCCACCAGATCAGGAAACCAGTAAGTACCCTTCTGCTTCTTTTTGATAGTGACACCCTATTTTTAGAAATAGTCTCCAGGAAGAGTTTGTTGTGGGTCACCAGGCCCACAGAAGTTGCCTCCATGTTTTTCACCCACCCTTCTTTCTGGGTTCCAAAGCAGGTCAAGATCTGACCAAAAGTCGGTCGGAAAAGGTCCGCATTTTCCGCGCTGAACAGTTCTATGCAATAAAATCCGGGAAATGGTACTTTGAGTTCGAGGCGGTCACCACTGGTGAGATGCGTGTGGGCTGGGCACGACCAAATGTGCGTCCTGATGTGGAGCTGGGAGCAGATGAGCTTGGTTATGTCTTCAACGGACATCGGGTAAGTCTCATTACACATCCTAGAAACACCTTGGATGAGCTAAAACCCCATATTCCCACTTCACTGACCAACTCCCTTAATTCTTGCTCTTTGATGTACCTCTTTGTCTTTCCTGCCCTTTAGGGTCAGCGCTGGCACATAGGTAGTGAGCCTTTTGGCCGCCCCTGGCAACCAGGCGACGTGGTTGGCTGCATGATCGATCTCATCGACAATAACATCATGTTCACGCTCAATGGGGAGATGCTGATCAGTGATTCTGGATCAGAGCTGGCCTTTAAAGACATTGAGATTGGAGATGGTAAGCTGTTGAGGATACAGTTGGGGTCCCTCACCCCAACCATCATAACATTGGATGTATGAGGATAAAAGTAAATAAGGGATGCCCAGGTGTGGGAATGCATGGGTTCCATCACTGACTGCAAAGACTATGGAGCGCTCTAGAAAAGAACAAGTGTAGTGTCACGTTGCCAGGGCTCTGCCAATATTTAGGCAGAGATTAACGCAAACTACCAGTTTGCGTTAAACAATTTAATTAAAACAGCACTTACTTTCTGGCTGTTTTAACAGTCCAAAATATAAAACAAAGATTGCACTCAGCCACAAAATATAAAGCAAAAACAGCAAACACTGTTTCAGGTTCAAGATAACTCCGTGGTCAAAAGGTCCAGTCCAGTGGTCAAACGTCGAGAGTTCAGTAAACAAAGTCCAGGGATCAAGAGTCTATACCATAGTCAAAAGCATAGTCAAAAACATAGTCGCCTGTTAAGGGCTGAAAAATGCGGTATAGAAATAAAGCAAATAAATAAATAAATAAAATAAAAGCCAGTCTAAAGATTTAAGGTTCCTGGATTCCAAAGGTTCAGGAGACAGGTCAGGACACCGAAGATCCACAAACCTGGGGGAAAACCAGCAGCATCTACCACCAAGATAAAACACTTTTCTCCCAAAGATCAGTCCCAAGGCTAGCTCCTTATATCTAGAAACACCCAGCATACCTCCATGCTTAATTGCTTTCACCCATGAACTCTTCCTTACAGAATACTCAACCCTTTGGAACTAAGACTTACATTAACCTTTCCATCACCAACTTCTAGACCTTCCACCATCAACCACCATTAACAGCAGAACATGATACATGACGTGTAGCAAGATCGAAGGGCTCTAGCAGAACGTAACTGGGAATTTAAGGCAAACGGAAGACCCATCTCCTATTCTCTCTCTTTTTGGTCATTTGCAGGCTTCATCCCAGTATGCAGCTTGGGCTTGTCCCAGGTTGGCCGTCTCAACTTGGGCCAGGATGTCAGCAGCCTCCGCTACTTCACCATTTGTGGCTTACAGGAGGGCTTTGAGCCCTTCGCCATCAACATGAAGCGGGACATCACCATGTGGTTCAGCAAGAGCCTGCCACAGTTTTCCCTGGTGCCGACAGAACATCAGCATTACGAGGTAAATAGAGGAGGCGTTCCTCTGTAAAATATGGCATAATAGAGTGGCTCCTGATGCCTGTGTGGAAAGTTTGTGTGTGAAAGAGAAAAAGAGACTAGAAGGAGGTGAACATCACCACAGAGCGGAGCTCTGAGAATAAGAAAAAGTGGTGATTCTATGGAAAGGTCTAGAACAGAGGTCCTCAAACCAAGGCCCGGGGGCCAGATACGGCCCTCCAAGGTCATTTACCCGGCCCTCGCTCAGGGTCAACCTAAGTCTGAAACGACTTGAAAGCACACAACAACAACAATCTTATCTCATCAGCCAAAAGCAGGCCCACCCTTCCCACTGAAATGCTAATAAGTTTATATTTGTTAAAATTGTTCTTCACTTTAATTATTGTATTGCTTTTAAGGGTTTTTTTTTTTGCACTACAAATAAGATATGTGCAGCATGCATAAGAAATGATTCCTGTTTTTTTTCCCCCACAATATAATCTGGCCCTCCAACAGTTTGAGGGACTGTGACCTGGCCCTCTGTTTAAAAAGTTTGAGGACCCCTGACTTAGAAAGATATTTGCAAGGAATAGCTTGGTGGAAAACAATAGATTTGATGTCAGACTCTGGATGACCTTGGAGCTTAAATCAAGCTCACAACCTCCGCAGAGGGACTCAGGGTGGCTAACAAACCGGCACCCCATGGTGCTCACAACCAAAACATAAATATACAGTTTAAATAACAATATAGCAATAAAACAGTAAAAACAGTATAAAACAGTATAAAACAATCAAACGTCAACAGTCGCCAGTTTAAATCATCATCCAAGGAACAGTCAGTCAGTTAGCAGCAACTTCCCATCGCACATCGGGGGGCCAGTGCCAGCTAGCTTGTAGAGTTTATTATTTATTATTTATCTAACTATAGGATTCCTGCTGGTTTTCCACACACCACAGGATCAACTACCTCTCCTGTAACTCTTTGGTCACAGACTAGTTCCCTGAATCTCCCACCAGAGATTTCAGTCTTCTCTGTAACTCTAACGGTCACAGACTGCCTATTTCAAACAGCCGTGCAGCTAGGTGACAGTTGGCTTCACCCCCGTTGCTATGGCAACTCAGGCCAAGCCAGCCACCATCTCTAACAAAATATAATTCTACATACTTACCATTTATTAACTACTGTTTAAACAACACATAACTATATGAATAAAAACACACATCATCACAGCTATGTTCACCTGCTTTGCATGGGCAGACCTATCCCAAACAGTGCTGGCATACTCGGCAGTTGAGTAAGACAAGGCTAGGGCTGATGTTCTTACTAATTTTGGGTCCATCACAGTGAAGAGAGGTCAGGGCCTTCGATAATAAAGGAAATTACTTTTTATGGAGCTAGAGAAACAAATAGTGGTCTGTGTGATAATGGGTAGTCATGGTGAGGGGGTGCTGTGGTTAAGAGCAAGACGCCTGTGATGAGAAATTAATTCAGAGCGATGCATACCTATGAGGCAATGAAGAACCCTTGCTATCTAGGACAGTGGTTTTTCAAACTTCCTGCCTTCTGAGAGTTTGTATCCAGTGCTCTTCTGTCTGGTGTTTTCAAAGAAAGATCAGTAGTAGTGAGCAAGCAGTCTTTCAAGGAAGTTTATCTACAGTTAATGATCTCTTAATATATAAGAACGTCTGATGAACGTCCACAGCACAACAGAATTTCTAAGAATGTAGTCATGGCTCAACTTTCCAGAAGTGTTGTGAAGCTTTGACCTTGATCCACCCCAACTTTTCCCCCTTCCTCTACAGGTGTCAAGGATTGATGGCACCGTGGACAACCCGCCGTGCCTCAAACTGACACACCGGACATTTGGCTCGCAGAATGCCATTGTGGAACTCCTCTTCCTGCGCCTCAGTATGCCAGTGGAGTTCCATGAGAAGTTCAAAATCACTGCTGGCACCACCCCCCTCACCCATGCCCTCACCATCCCTGAAGACGAGGTCAAGGACATTGACCTGGATTCAGAGTTTGAGCAGCTGAAGAAAACCGCCAGCCGCAAGGAGGCTGAGGAGGCCGAGAAAGAGAAACAAGGCCCTCCCCCACCTGGCACTCCCAAGGAGCCTCCTAAAGAGCCCCCCAAGGCCGAGAACGATAAGGATGCCTCCACAGAAAAAAGCAAGAAACGAGGGTGAGGGACTCATGGGATAAAGATTGTGGGATCTCTTCCTTTACATGCATCAGGTGTCCTCTGGAAAGAATTCGGGACCATGTGGAGAAAATGGGCAAGACTCATGGAATTATTGCACTCAACCCACATCATGAGAAAGATCTTTAGATGGGTTGTTGTAGGTTTTTCCGTGCTATATGGCCATGTTCTAGAGGCATTTTCTCCTGACGTTTCACCTGCATCTATGGCAAGCATCCTCACTACGTCTGAGGAGACTTATTTATTATTTATTATTTATTTATTTACCTTACTTATATACCGCTGTTCTCAGCCCAAAGGCGACTCACAGCGGTTCACAACAAATACGAACAGCAAAAATTCAGTGCTACAGTATAAAAACAGTTAACAACCTAACACATTACACAATTAATAAACAGTTACTACAATACCCATTCACTGTCGTCTCGTCATAAAAAAACATGTTCCAAATTCATCATCCATTGTTCCATTCCAGTGTTCATTAACCAATCATTGCACTAATTATTTGAATGCCTGCTCAAACAGCTAGGTCTTAACTTTTTTGCAGAATACCATTAGAGATGGTCCGTAGGAAGGGCGTTCCACAGCCGAGGAGCCACCACCGAGAAGGCCCTATCCCTCGTCCCCGCCAGCCATGCTTGAGAAGCAGGCGGGATTGAGAGCAGGGCCTCCCCGGAAGATCTCAAAGTCCTGGTGGGTTCATAGGCAGAGATACTTGCCATAGATGCAGGCGAAAAGTCTCTAGAAAATGCCTCTAGAACATGGCCATATAGCCCGGAAAAACCTTCAACAACCCAGTGATTCCGGCCATGAAAGCCGTCGACAAGATCTTTAGATGTTTGTCATAGACTATTTTTATGGAGACTAGCTTTTTTGACTATGGATTGTGTTGTAGCAGGCAAGTGGGAAGAAATTGGCTTAAGTGGGAAGAGAAGGACCTTAGTCCAAGGAGTACCAGCCCTGGTCCCTGTCTGACAGTCACTATATGGTTGATCTACTATTTGTTGTCTTAGAGCAGTGCTTCCCAAGCTGTGATCCGTAGACCACCAGTCTGCAGCCTCACTGATACTTACCTACTTAGGCGATTCCTCATTGTCCGAGTAGGATTGTCATCCAAGATTAGTGTACTGGCGGTGGGTCTGTAGGTGACTGTGGAGCCCTATTCTTGATCCGCATGTTCTCCCATAGTGAGGGCATTGGTTTCCAGGTGGGAAGTGGTCCCGGTCGGGGTTGGCTTGACACGCCTTCCTCTTGGCACATTTCTCTCTTTCACTCTCCATTTGTGCCTCTTCAAATTCTGCAGCATTGCTGGTCACAGCTGACTTCCAGCTGGAGCGTTCAAGGGCCAGGGCTTCCCAGTTCTCAGTGTCTATGCCAGAGATTTTAAGGTTGGCTTTGAGCCCGTCTTTAAGTCTCTTTTCCTGCCCACCAACATTCCATTTTCCGTTCTTGAGTTCAGAGTAGAACAACTGCTTTGGGAGACGGTGATATTTGGGCATCTGGACAACATGACCGGTCTAGAGCAGTTGATGACGGAGGACCATCACTCCAGTGCTGGTGGTCTTTGCTTCTTTCAGCATGCTGACATTTGTCCGCTTGTCTACCCAAGAGATTTGCAGGATTTTTTGGAGGCAACGCTGATGGAATCGTTCCAGGAGTTGCATGTGACATCTGTAGATAGTCCACGTATCGCAGGCATATAGCAGAGTTGGGAGGACAATAGCTTTATAAACAAGCACCTTGGTATCTCTACAGATGTCCCGGTCCTCAAACGCTCTCTGTTTCATTCGGAAAAATGCTGCACTCGCAGAGCTCTGGCGGTGTTGTATTTCAGTGTCAGTGTTGACTTTTGTGGAGAGAGTCCCTATATGGTTGATCTAACATTTGTTGTGTTTCGCAACCTGTGGTCTGTGGACCACCAGTGGTCCGCAAGAACCAAAATATGGTCTGCAGCCTCACTGTAGCAACAAGAGCAACTAGTCTCGTGAAACCCTCTTATAGTGCTGAGACTTATTAAATATGGTTTTCTCTGGGTGAGCAAATGGCGACTACTGGATGGCATACGTTCTACATCAGAAACTAGAGCTGATGTGGTCTATCCAATGCAAATTTCTGAATCAGCACCACAGATAACTGAACTGAATTTGAAGTTGACCTAAACTGATTCGTAACCTTTTGGTACTAATGTTGGAGAGTGGTCGAAGTGTTCCCTGGTCAAGTGGTCCCCGGTCAAACAAAAAAGTGGGGAACTACTGTCTTAGAGGCAAGGAAAGCTGGTACTATAATTAGGAAGAGTAAGTCTCTGGCCCCAAATACTCTCTAGGATGTGTGGAGAATATTTTAACCACCTTTTAGTCCATTTTATGCTCAGAGAAGGCCTTTTTTGAAATAAGATGTCACTTCTGCTCACTTCCGACTGCTAAAAAGGCCTTTCCCTGGCCTCAAATGAAGGTCCAGACACATGGTGAAAATGCTCCTGCTCCTGTCCACTAGAACAGGTAAATAAGTAGCTTAAGGTCTCTTTTTGGGCCTAATCCATCTGCTTAGCTTTCCGCAGTTGCTTCACCCTGAATAAGAGAAACTGAGACCCAGTTGCTTTCAATAGAGCATCAGGTGCACTTTCTGACCCCTTACGAATTCTTTTCTCCAGGTTCCTGTTCAAAGCCAAGAAGGCCACCACTTTACTTACCCCACAGCCTGTGGTTCCCACGGTACCTCGTCTGGAAGAAGAAGTGGTCCCAGATGACCGAGATGATCCCGAGATCATCATCAACACCACAACGGTACTAGGGAGCTATTTGGAAGGCTTCGTGTAATCTTTAATATACAGAGCCATTCAGCCTTTACCATTGGGTGTTAGGAAGTATCTATCCAAACCCATTCAGAAGATTTATTTTATTTTATTTCTCGTGTCAGGGCAGCCAGTCAATTATATTACATTTCTAACAGAACAAAGCAAACAAAGAGAAAATACAAAATGTGTGAGTTTGGTAGTTGATTAAATGTCCTTTGACCAGTATCTGGCCACTTGGAGTGCCTTTGGTGTTGCTGCAAGGAGGTCCTCCATTGTGCATGTGGCAGGGCTCAGGTTGCATTGCAGCAGGTGGTCTGTGGTTTGCTCTTCTCCACACTCGCATGTGTGGATTCCACTTTGTGGCCCCATTTCTGAAGGTTGGCTCTGCATCTCGTGGTGCCAGAGCGCAGTCTGTTCAGCGCCTTCCAAGTCGCCCAGTCTTCTGTGTGCCCAGGGGGGAGTCTCTCATTTGGTATCAGCCATTGATTGAGGTTCTGGGTTTGAGCCTGCCACTTTTGGACTCTCGCTTGCTGAGGTGTTCCAGTGAGTGTCTCTGTAGATCTTAAAAAACTATGTCTGGATTTAAGTTGTTGATGTGCTGACTGATACCCAAACAGGGGATGAGCTGGAGATGTCTCTGCCTTGGTCCTTTCACTATTGGCTGCCACTTCCCGGCGGATGTCAGGTGGTGCAATACCGGCTAAGCAGTGTAATTTCTCCAGTGGTGTAGGGCGCAGACACCCCGTGATAATGCGGCATGTCTCATTAAGAGCCACATCCACTGTTTTAGCGTGGTGAGATGTGTTCCACACTGGGCATGCATACTCAGCAGCAGAGTAGCACAGCGCAAGGGCAGATGTCTTCACTGTGTCTGGTTGTGATCCCCAGGTTGTGCCAGTCAGCTTTCGTATGATATTGTTTCTAGCACCCACTTTTTGCTTGATGTTCAGGCAATGCTTCTTGTAGGTGAGAGCACGGTCCAGAGTGACTCCCAGGTATTTGGGTGCCCTGCAATGCTCCAGTGGGATTCCTTCCCAGGTGATCTTCAGAGCTCGGGATGCTTGTCTGTTCTTAAGGTGAAAGGCACATGTCTGTGTTTTAGATGGGTTGGGGATCAGCTGGTTTTCCCTGTAATAGGCAGTAAGAGCACCTAGAGCTTCGGAGAGCTTCTGTTCAACCATCTCAAAGCTCCCTGCTTGAGCAGTAATGGCACGAGCATCAGCATAGATGAAACTCTCTGTCCCTTCTATTCAGAGGATGACTGATAAGAGTCAGGTGTATCATTTCCCCCCCCACAGTTTGAACTGAGAAATATGTATAGCTTTAAAAAAATCTTGCTTCACCTTAAAAAAATCATATACATGGTTTTGTTTATCAAGTTTGGATCATAAACCAGTTGTGAATAACTGAGTCTGATAGGGAGCAGAGATCTCTTTTCTGACATATGCCACAAGATATTAATACTTCTTTTTTTTCTCTCCCTCCAATCCTCATAGTATTACTACTCAGTCCGGATCTTTGCAGGCCAGGAGCCCACTTGTGTATGGGTAGGCTGGGTCACACCTGACTACCATCAATACGATATGAACTTTGACCTCACCAAAGTGCGCAATGTCACAGTAACCATGGGTGACGACAAGGGAAACATCCACGACAGGTGAGAGCCTGTTCTGCTGTATTCTGGATCTCTTGAATGTGGTCTGTGAAGCCTGTCTTCTTTAACTCGAAGGAGAAAGTTTAAATGTGGCCTAACCAGGAATGGGAACACTTGGGCCGTACTCTGGAGCAAGTGTGGGTTTTTGGTTTTCCAGCTGTAACTTAAAGGAAACCTGACTTGGGCATTGTGGTGCTCTTGAAATTGGTATCTGAGACCTAAGTCTTGCATGACTGGAAGTAGGCAAGAGTTAAAATAAATCCTAAACTGGGGGAAGGCCCTTGACATGTGCTCTATGGTAGGCATGGACAACATGTGATCTTCCAGATATGGCTGGAAGTAGGGAGGAGTTAAAATAAATCCTAAACTGGGGAGAAGGCCCTTGAGACGTGCTCTATAGTAGGTATGGACAACTTGTGACCTTCCAGATATGACTGGAAGTAGGCAGGAGTTAAAATAAATCCCTAACTGGGGGGAAGGCACTTGAGATGTGCTCTAGGATAAGCATGGACAACTTGTGATCTTCCAGATATGACTGGAAGTAGGCAGGAGTTAAAATACACCCTAAATTGGAGAGAAGGCACTTGAGATGTTCTCTAGAGTAGGTATGGACAACTTGTGATCTTCCAGATATGACTGGAAGTAGGCAGGAGTTAAAATACATCCTAAACTGGGGGAAGGCACTTGAGATGTGCTCTAGGGTAGGCATGGACAAGTTGTGATCTTCTAGATATGGCTGGAAGTAGACAGGAGTTAAAATAAATCCCTAACTGGAGGGAAGACACTTGAGACGTGCTCTAGGGTAGGCATGGACAACTTGAGATCTTCCAGATATGACTGGAAGTAGGCAGGAGTTAAAATAAATCCTAAACTAGGGGAAAGGAATTTGGGATGTGTTCTAGAGTAGGCATGGAGAACTTGTGATCTTCCAGATATGACTGGAAGTAGGCAGGAGTTAAAATACATTCTAAATTGGGGAGAAGGCACTTGAGACGTTCTCTAGAGTAGGTATGGACAACTTGTGATCTTCCAGATATGACTAGAAGTAGGCAGGAGTTAAAATACATCTTAAATTGGGGAGAAGGCACTTGAGATGTTCTCTAGAGTAGGTATGGACAACTTGTGACCTTCCAGATATGAGTGGAAGTAGGCAGGAGTTAAAATATATCCTAAATTGGGGAGAAGGCACTTGAGATGTTCTCTAGGATAGGCAGGGACAACTTGTGATCTTCCAGATATATCATTGAGCCAAAGTTCTCATCATCATTGGCTCTATTGGCTGGAATGGATGAGAATTGCAACCTGAGAAGAAACGGAAAGCCACAGGGAACCCACTCCTGTTCTGGAAGATGTGAGTACCTTAGGAAAGACTTTGTTTATATAAAATCTCAACCATGTTTCTCCCTTTGACAGCATCAAGAGAAGCAACTGCTACATGGTCTGGGGAGGAGACTTTGTCAGCAACACACAGCAGACTCGTGTCAGCACTGTGGATCTGGTAATTGGTTGCCTTGTTGACTTGGCAACAGGCCTCATGACCTTCACAGCCAACGGGAAAGAGGTCAACACTTTCTTCCAGGTAGAGCACATTTCTCAAGGGACTGTGGTCTGTGTAGATCCCCCATCATTAAAAAAACAAGTACACAGAAGACATAATTATGAGGCATCCCTTGTCATGATATGGCAACAGCCACATTATTTAAAAATGGACTTGGGCAGTATATGGAAATTAATATTACCTGTGATTACTAAGTAAAGGTTACCATATGTTCAACCTTTCCCAGGTATGTCCTCTAAGAGCTAAAATTTTGTCCAAGCCAGTTTGTTAAATGTCTGGGTATTCTTACAAAGTTCAATCTAGAAGAGGCGGTCTAAATAACCACTAAATATTATAACTAAAAATGACCAGTTACCATTGTGGGTTTTTTCTTATATATTTTTTATTTGGGATAAGGGAGGGGGAGGAAAAAGAAAAGTATTTTGTTTTTATATGTAAAGTGGTGGAACAATAATACGTCCCACCTCGGAGCCTGAGATCTTCTGGGGAGGCCCTGCTCTCGACCCCACCTTTATCCCAAGTGAGATTGGTGGCGACGAGAAGCAGGGCCTTCTCGGAGGTGGCCCCTCACCTGTGGAATTCACTCCCTGGGGAAATCAGGTCATCGACTTCCCTCCTCTCCTTCAGAAGGAAATTAAAAACATGGTTGTGGGACCAGGCCTTCGGGCAATCTGGCAGCTAGACAAGGACAATGATGACTAGACAATATGGAATGAATTTATGGACTCTGAGAACACTGAATATTGATTGGCTTTATTGATTTTGTTGTATAAAGTGACTGTTTTAATTGTTATAATTGCTGTATACATGTTATATCCATTGTTTATGTTTATGCTAGCATCAAATTGTGCCTTTTGTAAGCCGCCCTGAGTCCCCCCTCGGGGGTTGAGAAGGGCGGGGTAGAAATGAGCGAAATAAATAAATAAATAAATAAATAAATAATATGAAGGAAAAGTAGGATATAATAGAAAAGATGGAATAATTAAAAAAGAGAAAAAAGAAAATAATAGAAATAAAAATACAAGTATAATAATAATAATAATAATAATAAAACCATTGTGATGTTGTAAATATTAGTTCCATAAGAGTTGTATATTACAATTTAATCGCAAAAAGTTGACTTTTACTTAATTTGAAACTATTTTTCTAAAAGGTCCATTTAATAATGATTCCTTTAATAAATCTTTTATTTTTTTCCTTTTTTTCATATTCATCAATCTGTGACCAATTAGTTTGCTTGATCGGATTTACAGTGTTCTTTTTCATTAAAAAAAGTTAATTTGTCCATGTCTTTTATTTCTTTTATTTTATTTATCCACTGATCTGTGTCGGGTATTTCCTTCTGTTTCCAATATTTCGCGTATACCATCCTGGCAGCTGTCGTTAAGTACACAAATAGAATGCCCTGAATCCGTCATTTCCATTGTGGTTTAAAGTAGTAAGTCAGTAAATGTGTTCTCTCTTTTTTTTTTTACTTTTCAAACACGATTATTCTAAATCAAACTTCCATATCTAGAGACAGTCGACATCTAAACAATGAGGCCATGGGACCAGTGGTAGGGAAGAATTGTAGTTTTCATATGAGCTTGAGAAGTCGTTAAAACATGATGATTCGAACCCCAAAAGTAAAACTCACTGTTTTGCTAGAACACATGACCTTTCTATGTGTTTTCCACCTTTCTATGTGTTTTCCACCTGTCCCATTCCAGGTGGAGCCCAACACAAAGCTGTTTCCTGCTGTCTTTGCTCTCCCAACGAGCCAGAATGTAATCCAGTTTGAGTTGGGCAAACTGAAGGTAAGGACCGTCCTAGCAGCAGCCTTGAATGAAGAGAAGCTTGCAGTCATGACTGAGAAAGTCTTTGTTCTTCTTCCACTTCTCCCTGACAGAACATCATGCCAATCTCTGCTGCCATGTTCCGCAGTGAGCGGAAGAACCCGGAACCCCAGTGCCCGCCTCGGCTTGCTATCCAGATGCTGACGCCAATGACTTGGAGCCGAATGCCGAACGAGTTCCTGCGGGTGGATGTGGCTCGCTTCAGTGATCGGCATGGCTGGATGGTGGAGTGCACAGATCCCAATATTATGATGGCCCTCCACATCCCAGAAGAAAGTCGGTGAGTTTCCTGCACCCCCCTTTAGAAAGAGAAATCAAACCTTCTCAGTTTTAGTGTAAGGTTTTGACAAGCAAACCCTCTGGCCTGGATTATGTTGCCATTTGTGGTGGAGGCTCCTTTGAATGCTTTTAAACAGAAGCCGGATGGCTATCTGTTGGGGGTGCTTTGATTGTACTTTAATTGTGGATCGCAGGAGATTGGTCTATATGGTCTCTTCCATGATTATATCATTTTGGGAAATGGAGCAGTTATGATTTCATTGCTGCTCTTCAGTGTCCAAAAGTGCAGTGTGCATTCGGGTTATTTTATTTATTTATTTATCGTGTCAGGAGCAAACCAAACAGTTGTATTGCATTTTTAACAAACAAACAACTGTGGACTAAGACAATAATGGATCAGGACCAAACTTGGCATTAATACTCCATATGCCCAAATATGAACACAGACGGAGTTTGGGGGAAATACACCTTGGCATTTGGGAGTTGTAGTTACTGGGATTTATAGTTCACCTACAATCAAAGAGCATTCTGAAACCCACCAACGACAGAATTGGGGCAAACTTCCCACACAGAACCTCTATGACCAACAGAAAATACTTAAGGCCATCCTGTCCAACTCTCTTCACCAGGGCAAGAAAATGTAATCAAAGCCCTCCTGACAAAGAGCCATCCAGCCATAGATATAGACAGATAGATATGATTCACACACACAAATATAGTATCATAGATTTGAAAGGGACCCCTAAAGAAGGACAATTATATGTTGCCTGTTCCGGAGTAGGCAAACCAGACACTCAACATCAACACTGACAAAGAAACAACAAGAAATGCTGTTTACCCACAAGCATAAAGACATTACATATATTAGAAACCAACAATTTCTCATTACTTTATTTTCCAGATCACCAGGCTGGGCCACAGCAACGCGTGGCAGGGGACAACTAGTTCTAAATATTCCTTCCCTAAACTGCAAATCTCAGGAAGCCAAAAAATGGAATGTTGATATTTAAACTTGAATTGAGGGCCCACAAACTATCTACTTGTGTCTAAATGTCCATCTGTGTCACCTTTCTGCATTCTTTCAGATGTATCGACATCCTGGAGCTTTCAGAGCGCCTGGACCTCCTGAAGTTCCACTCCCACTCCCTGAAGCTGTATTGTGCGGTGTGTGCCTTGGGCAACAACCGGGTGGCACATGCCCTATGTAGCCATGTGGATGAATCGCAACTCCTGTACGCCATAGAAAGCAATCACCTGCCGGGCTTGCTGCGCAGCGGTTACTATGACCTGCTCATTGGCATGCATTTAGAGTCTGCCAAACGCTCCCGCCTCATGATGAACAGCGAGTTCATTGTCCCCATGACGGATCAAACTAAGAGCATCACTCTGTTCCCGGATGACACCAAAAAGCCTGGCTTGCCTGGTGTGGGCATGAGCACCTGTTTGCGTCCTCCTCTGCACTTTTCAGACACCTTCTTTGTGAGCACCAACTCTGAGCTGTACCAACTGAGCCCTTCCATCCCCTTGGATATCCTCAAGGTGAAGGCCATCACCATGCTGACCGAGGCCGTCCAAGATGGTGGGCAGCACACGAGGGACCCCGTCGGAGGCAGTGTGGAGTTCCAGTTTGTGCCCGTCCTCAAGTTGATCTGCACCCTCCTCATCATGGGCATCTTTGAAGATGAGGATGTGAGACACATCCTCAAAATGATCGAGCCCTACGTCTTTGGGGAGTCCAAGGAGGAGGAAGCACCAGAGGGTGCTGAAGAAGGGGAAGAACTGGTGGAAGAGGAAGAGGAGGAGATGGTGGCTACGGAGGAGGAGGAAGAAGGTGACGGAATGGAGAAGGAGGCCGGAGGGGGGCAGAAGGAGGAGGCCGAGGAAGGAGACAAGAGGGAGCTGAAAGCCATCGAGGCTGGGGAGGCAGAAGCAAAGGAAGACGAGGAGGGATTGGAGGAAGGCCTGCTACAGATGAAGCTTCCCGAATCTGTCAAACTACAGGTAAAAGATGTGGTGATCATCTAGTTGCAGAAATCCTTTAGTAGCAGCTCTCACTTTAAAAAGGAGAGATTAAACAAATTCAGTGAGGCAACTCATTATAACAGAGATACGAGGGTTGAATGAAAAGTAATGCCTCCACCTTCGTAATTCCTCAACAGATGACAGTACTGGTATGCATCAGGTACTGGCTTGTTCAGTAGACTCTCCTCTACAGTTCCATTTTGGTGGGAAGCCTTCGCCTTGAATGGTTGTATCGTTAAAGTGCAAAATATGGCACCCTGTGCAGATGGTCGGTCAATGTGACTTAAGCAACATGCATTCATTGAATGTATTTGTATGTATTTGGTGTATGTATTTGGGAGCAACAGCAGAAGGTGTCACCCCAAAGGAGATTCATCAGAGAATGCACGCTGTTTATGGTGATTGTGTTGATGTGAGTACTGTGAATCATTGGGTGAGTAAGTGTAAAGAAGTTAAGGTGGGAACATCTGACTTGCGTGACAAACAGTTAGATGTCCTGTGACAGCAACCACCAAGTTTCACAAGCATTGACAGACTGATTCAGGACAATCATCATATCACTCAGAGATAAATTTCAAGCAAGTTAAAGAGCATATTCTAAGGATAATTTCTGCGTTTGATTTATTAAAATATTCCCATCCAAACCTAAGTAACGAAGGCGGAGGCATTACTTTTCATTCAACCCTCGTACATTATATGTTTTGTTTCCCATAGCTTCAAAGGCAATGTGCTTCAGAATACTGTAGCAGAAAATTGCCCGCCCCCCCCGCACAATAATAGAAATTTTAATGAATTGAAAAGTGCAGTTTATTCAATGGCATGCAAACCCAGGTGTCTAGCATTCAGAGGGAGCAAAAGGGCATTGAAGCAAACCTAAAGCTTAACCACTTCCTGCACTTTTGGAAAATCTGTCCAGCAGAAAACAACATATAGCACAGGAGTCTGCTAGGTTACCCGGTCGTATGACAACTCCTTTCCACATCAATACCAGTTACAAGAAAACATGAACGAGAGGGTGTATTATGAATAGCTTTTCAATAACTTTAAAGCTTTTTAAATCTTTTTATTGCAATTTCCCAGTAAGAGAAAGGGTATCAGAACTTTCACAGAACAACATTTAGACATGCAGACATACAGATTCTATGTAACTACATTGAATTCACAAATAACCTACAATTACATTGGCTAATAAACAAACAAAGGGGAATTACATTTTCACTCGGCATTCATATTACCCATATAAACATTCACTTATCTTCATTCATACATCACCATTTCTCCCGCTATCTCCTGGAGAAGAACATCTCTTAGTCCAGACTGCTTCCTGTCAGCGTTAGCGTTAGTAGAAATAAAATGAAGTTCTATTCACTGCATACAAAACAAGACAGAAGAATTGCTCTCACCAAAACATAGCAAAAACAATATCTTTGGTGAGTCCTCTTCATTCAACGGCGATATGCAGACTTGTAACAGAATAATATACAGTCATTTTTACTTAGTTGTCCGTAGAGTGACCTTGTCTTGCAGTAAACAAACTTTATCTTCAGGATGCTGCAGAACTGCTCCTGGCATCAAACAAAGGCTTTTCAGCTCAAAACGAGCCCTCAAGCAAAGCTTAGAACGCAGTGCTCAAAGTTTCCGAACACTTAGTGCTTTACTATATACAGAAAACAATATCACACTCTATTCTATTCACTGTATACAAAACAAGACAGAAGAATTGGTCTCACCAAAACATAACAAAAACAATATCTTCAGTGAGTCCTCTTCATTCAACAGCGATATGCAAACTTGTAACAGAATAATATACAGTCTCTTTTACTTAGTTGTCTGTAGAGTGATCTTGTCTTGCAGTAAACAAACTTTATCTTCAGGATGCTGCAGAACTGCTCCCGGCATCAAACAAAGACTTTTCAGCTCAAAACGAGCACTCAAGCAAAGCTTAGAATGCAATGCTCAAAGTTTCCCAACACTTAGTGCTTTACTATATACAGGAAACAATATCACACTCAATCCATAACAACTGTAACAGAAAAAAAAAATCCTGATCCTTTCTAAGACCTTACAAATCTGTCAATGCATAGTCCTCAAAACTTCAAAGAACAATGCTAAGGATCAGATCCCAGTTTCCTCTACAGCAGAAACTGACTCCCAAATGTATCATGACTCCAAAATGCACTCCTTTCTCTTCCCTTGAGAATAGGAGGCAAGTGACCAGACTTCGTTCCATTGCAGATCTGTCACTCCCAAATACATACACCATTTATCTCCTTCCCAAGGAGCAAAGCCTGACAGGTGAACAGCACTGCTGTCTGTCACACTTGAGAATTATTAGATTGAGTCTTTTATAGGAATATTTCTGCTGATGTTGTTCCAAAGTTGTAAATGAATGATAGATGTTTTTCGAGCCTGAAACATCTTGGCTTCATTTCAAGTTCCTGGACAGATGTTGACTTTGCATAATTGGTGTTGGTAAATGTGAGGCTTCTGTTGACTTCCTTTTTAACGTAAAGAAACATTTCCTTAACCAAAAGAACCATTGTCTCTCATAATGTAAACACGTTTTACCCCAAAAGTTTAGCAGTTAATCATTGTCACAGTTCATCAATATCAGCAGTTCAGCAACTTTTAATTACAGTTCCTGAGTGTAGTTGTCTTCCAGGCCTCATTCCTTTTAGAATGGTATCTTCAAAATTATTAGCTCTCATTAATTCATCTTTCATACAATTCCATTCAAACCATATATCATATTTCATGACAGGCACTAATACATTTATGTCTGGTTTCTGTATTTGTGCCATGGAAACAGAGGGTTGGAGTAGAGACACCCCTAATTTAACCAGTATTTGTGAAGCAACCCAGCCAATGTCCTTATTGCTACATCCCGTGCTCACTGCAGTTTTGAAGCTGTCACAGTGCCAGGGCTCTGCCTTTACAGAGACAGAGATGAACCAAACAAAACCCAGTTTGTATAAACAATTTAATTAAAACAGCACTTAGTTTCTGGCTGTTTTAATAGTCCAAAATATAAAACAAAGATAGCACTCAGCGACAGAATAAACAAAAACTGATAGCAAACGCTACACCGTAGTCAAAGGGTCTAGTCCAGTGGTCAAATGCCAGGAGTTCTATGAGCAAAGTCCAGGGATCAAGAGTTTATACTATAGTCAAAAGACAGTCCAAAGATTCAAGGTTCCAGGATTCCAAAGGTTCAGGAAACAGGTCAGGATACCGAAAATCCACAAACCTGGGGGAAAACCAGCAGCATCTACCACCAAAATAAGACAAATACTTTTCTCCTTAATATCAGTCCCAAGGCTAGCTCCTTATATCCAGAAACACCCAGCTGCAACCTATCTCTTGTATACCTCTACCCTTAATTGCTTTCACCTATGAATTCTTACTTACAGATTACTCAACCCTTTAGAATTAATACTTACATTAACCCTTCCATCACCAACCACCATTAACTGCAGAACATAATACATGACAGAAGCCCCCTCAGGGCAGCTCCAAAGACAATGTATGGCAGAACCTCATTGTCTTTCTTAGGCCCTTCCTCTCAAGACTGGACAGGATTGATCCAAAAAATGCTGCCCATCTCCTCTTCCCCATTTCCCCACAGATGTGCAACTTACTGCAGTTCTTCTGTGACCGGGAGCTGCAGCACCGCGTGGAAGCCATCATAGCTTTTTCAGAGCGCTATATGGACAACCTGCAGACCAACCAACGTCAGCGCTACAACACACTGATGCTGGCCTTCACCATGTCAGCCGCTGAGACAGCGCGCCGCACCAGGGAGTTCCGATCTCCACCACAAGAGCAGGTATTCAGGACAGCTACGAGGACAAGAAGAAAAGGTGCTCAGGACTATAAGTAATGAAGCAGTTGCAGCATTTTCATGTGCCCACATTTTATAAACTAGTGCTGTTCTGAGAGACCATTCTGAAGAACACCTTGTCTGGGGGTGGGGGAGGGATTCAGCCTATAACCTGCATCTTCTGACCTGTGCCTTGCCTTCACAATAGATTAACATGCTGCTGAACTTCAAGAATGGGGCTGATCAGGAGGAATGCCCTGTTCCAGAGGAGGTCCGAGATGAGCTGTTGGAGTTTCATGCTGACCTGTTGACTCACTGTGGTAAGGAGCACCACCACATTCATGTACTGAGGGTTGCTTTGCACATTACACAACATGATATGATAAAGAGGTCAAAGGTAGTGAACATCTGGTTCTCTCGGTGTTGTTTGACTGACGTTTCAATCATCCCTGACCTGGCTAAGGCTAATGAGAGTTGCTGTTCCATATCTCTGCAGTAGATGAAAGTAGTAAGTGTACAAGGAAATGATGAATGGGCTTGCTTCATTTTATGTTTGTTGTAGATCAACCAGAAGCTAATGGCATAACTGTTGATTAAGAGAGGATTGTGAGCTTTCCTGTGGTACAAAGTGATGGGCCCTCAAGTCTGGGAATTCAAGTCTGGGAAACCGCATTGAGTCGCCTGTCTGGGCTGAAATATGCGGTATAGAAATAAAGCAAATAAATAAATAAACAATGGATCTCTCTGTGAGAAAACTGGCTCAGAAAGTGCAGTGCCTCAAGGGCATTCAGTGGAGTCAGAAGTAGCAACAGCAGATAAGGAATCGAGTGAAGAACTAAGTGATAAGGAGGGTTCCCATGAGAAACCACTTGTAGCTACAGAGATCAACAAAAGTCTTCATTTACAAATCAGAGCCGAAAATAGGTTGTGTTGTTCAGGGAGATTACGTGGGAAAGTTGGGAAGGAAATTCACAGGAAGCAGAATGATTTCATGGGTTTCTATTTGACAAGAAATTGTTTACCTTAAGGTCAGTTCAGAGTGAGAAGCTAAGCCTGAGTTCTCTTGTTCCTGGTTCAAGTCAAGTTAAGATTTTGGATTTAATATATCCTGGAAGTTTACGATGTTTCTGTTTATGTACTCCCATTTAGGTTTTACTAGTTATACCTTCTGGATTGTGGACTTATGCTGTACCTGTGATTTCTGGCTGTTCCTTGACTTTGTCACCTCTGGAACTTTATGGGACATTTGGATTATTGTCTGGTTATCCACTGTTGCTAAAACTTTTTGGATTATATTTTTTTTCTTATTTCTGATTTTTAAAAATCATCTTTATTAAATATTTTCATATGAGATAAAAACAGGGGAAAAATAAGAAACAGAAAAGAAAAAGAAAAAGGAAGAAAATCAAAAGAGAGAACAAGCAAAAATAGTTTTGTCTGGTCTTGACTTTTGGTCAATTTCCTTGAGGTTTCTGCTTTTCTTTCTTTACATATTCTTATTTAGATCTTCTCATGTTCTCTAGTACCCTGTTCAAGTATATATTCTCTTCTTCTTCATATCAGTATCATCCTATTATCTGGTTTAAAGTATTCCGTAATCAGGCTTCAATTTGTCTCTTTCAATGGGTTCTCCTTGCTTTTGGAGATCAAGTATGTAAGTCTATCCATATTTCTTATTTCTAAAATGTTTATCAGCTTCTCTTCTACTTCAGGAATTTCCTTCCTTTTCCATAACCTTGCATAGCAAATTCTTGCTGCTGTCATCAGTAAGAATAAGAGTTTGTTCTTATTTTACTTAACTTTTGTTCATGCATCCCTAGTAAGAACGTTTTTGGGCTCATTGAAATCTGGGTTTTTAACATCTTCTGTATCTGTTCCTGGATTTCTTTCCAGAAGATACTCACTTTTTTACATGACCACCACATGTGGTAAAAAAATTCCTTCTTTCTCTTCACATTTCCAGCAATTTGTATTTATATTTTTGTAACACTTTCCCAATTTCTGTGGTGTCATGTACCATCTATACATCATTTTTATACAATTCTCTTTTAGATTGGCTACATATGTATATTTTAGCTTTTTATTCCAAATGTCTTCCCATTCTTCCATTGTTTTTCCCATATTTATTTTGAACCCTGAGACTCTTGAGACTTCTCCAAATTTTCTTAATTGTTTCTATCCATTTCTATAGCTTCTTAGTGGGGTCATCAATTATACAGATTATATCATCCGCAAATGTACTAAGGTGTATCGTTGCACCTTTGAGTTCCTTTTCTTCCCTTATCTTGTTTAACAATACCTCTAATGTCAGAATAAAAATCAATGGCAAGAAGGGACATCCCTGTCTCATTCCTTTTTGTATTTCTATTGTTTTGGTTTCTTGTCCGTTTATTATTATTTTAGCTTCTTGGTTCTCATATATTGCTCCAATTCTTGATTTTTGTATGCCTTTTATATGTTTTTACAATACGTTATTTGCTTATATTCCTGGACTCTTGGATGGTGTGGTGGTCATAGGTGTTTCTAGGCCTGGAGTGCAACAATGTTTGCCTTCCATAACTGTAACCACATTCTGCACAATATGTCCTGAACCACGAAATCTAACAGCAAGGTGCTTTCATTTTTTAAACCATGTGCTTGTTTGCTTTACAAATCTAATAGGTATCCAGGCAGAGGGTGAGGAAGAGGAGGAGGAGGAAGAGACGTCCCTCCGACGACGTTTGATGTGTTTGGTAGAAAAGGTGGTGAGCTTCCGTAAGAAGAAGGAAGAAACTGAAGAGGATCAGCCTCCAGAAGAGGAGCCAAAACCTAGTAGGTGCAACAGAAGAGCTGCAGGGGAAAGAGAATATTTAAGAGTTTCTCCACTGAGAGATTCAGCAACAGGCAAAACAATCTAGATCATGATGGGCGAAGTGTATGTGGCCTTTGGGACCTTTCCCTTTGCCCAAAGAAGACCTTTAAAAGTGCTTCAAAAGCTCCCAAACTCCTCAAAAACTTTTTTAAAAATCCAGGTCAATTTTAGCTGGTTTTAATGTATTGTCGAAGGCTTTCATGGGTGGAATCACTGGATTGTTGTAGGTGTTTTTGGGCTATATGGCCATCTTATAGAGCAATTCTCTCTTGACATTTCACCTGCATATATGGCAAGTATCCTCAAAGGTTGTGACCTCACAACCTCTGAGGATGCTTGCTATAGATGCAGGTGAAACGTCAGGAGAGAATGCCTCTAGAACATGGCCATATACCCCGAAAAAACCTACAACAACTTAGGTGGTTTTCTTTGCCACAAAGCTGAAAGTACAGTGGTTTGCCTTCTCATACCTCCTACTGCCCCACATTATGCACACAAAAGCCAAATAAAAGAAATCAACCAAAAATTGGCCAAAATGGCAGCCAGAAAATGACATTGCAGTATTTTGGATGTGACAAAACATATCTATGTGGCTCACCGGGCAGGTAGCAGAAAAATAGTCCCCACCATTTATGTAGCTGTTACCTCTGATCTAAACCCAGTAACAATTGTCGGTATAGCTCTCTTTGAAATGCCAGTTTTGCTTTCCGCAACTGCATAGGCACGCTTCAGGAGCTGATCTCCCACACCATGGTTCATTGGGCCCAAGAGTCCTTCATTCAAAGTCCGGAGCTGGTGCGGGTCATGTTCAGCCTTCTCCATCGGCAGTATGATGGCCTTGGGGAGTTAATCCGTGCCATGCCTAAGGCCTACACCATCAATGCCAATTCTGTTGAGGATACCATGAGCCTGCTGGAGTGCCTGGGCCAGATCCGTTCGCTGCTCATCGTCCAAATGGGGCCCGAGGAGGAGAACCTGATGATCCAGAGCATTGGGTATGTATATGCTTCCATTCCACAGGACTCTTTCAACTCCCCTCTCCTACTCTCTCTGAATCGTGGTTTCCTTATTCATGCCATTGTAAGCCTGTTTTCCATCAATCCTGACAAGACTGAGGTCCTCCAGGTCAATTGTAGGATCGAGGTATAGGGTGGCAACCTGTGCTTGACGGGGTTGCACTCCCCCTGAAATCACAGGTCCGCAGCTTGGCTGTCCTCCTAGACTCAGCGTTTGAAGCTCAGGCTTCGGCGGTGGCTGGGAGGACCTTCACACAAGTGAAGCTCGTGCGCCAGCTGCAACCGTACCTCGTTAAGTCGGATTTGGCCATGGTGGTCCACGCCTTAGTTACCTCTAGATTGGACTATTGCAATGTGCTCTACGTGGGGCTGCCCTTGAAGACAGCCTGGAAATTCCAATTGGTCCAGCTAGTGGCAGCCAGATTATTAACTGGTGCGAATTACAAAGAACGGTTGACCCTCCTGTTCAAGGAGTTCCACTGGCTGCCATTTATTTTCCGGTCCCAATTCAAGATGCAGGTTTTGACCTACAAAGCCCTGAACGGTTTGGGACCTGCCTACATGCGTGACCGCATTTCCGTATACGAACCGACATGACCTCTTCGATCTTCCGGGGAGGCCCTTCTCTCGCTTCCACCCGCATCGCAAGTGCGACTTGTGGGGACGAGAGAGAGGTCCTTCTCTGTGTTGGCCCCCCGGCTCTCGAATTCACTCCCCAGAGATATTAGGCAAGCCCCCACACTGGCAATCTTCAGGAGGAACCTGAAAACCTGGTTATTCCAATGTGCCTTCAATTATTGAATGTAATACACTCCCTGACCAAACTTTGCATAAATGACCTCAAAAGCACTTTATTTTATGGTTCGTGAAATTAAATCCTTCCTCATCCCCAGATCCCCCTTCCCGACAATTTTATATTGCCTTATCTCCCAGTGTTTTAAAAACTTCATCTTTGAATTTGCCCCCCCTCCCCACAGTGTAATTCCTTTGTGTTTAAATGTTTGATTTTATAATGCTGTGTCGTCTATTATATTGGTTTTGCATTTTGTGTATTTTATTTTCTGGTTTAGTTATGTTTTTGTGTAATATTGTGTTTATTGTACTGATGAGCGTGGCCTCATGTAAGCTGCCCCGAGTCCCCCTGGGGAGATGGAGCAGGGTATAAATAAAGTATTATTATTATTATTATTATTATTATTATTATTATTATTATCTCCCACATAAACTGAAGCCTTCCCTTCAGTGAGCTGCCTGCACCTGTGCAGCTCTATATGCCACTTCGTATGTCCAGATCTATTGATGAGTTGTCTATTTGAATCTTGACAGTTTAACTCAGTTGCCACTCTCTAATGTCCTAGACCAGTGGTTCTCAACATTCCTAATGCCGCAACCCCATGGTAATAATAATAACACTGTTCTACAAATTTTCAGTTTTTCTCAGTTACGGAAACGAAATGTGCCGTTTCTTAATAAATTTAACATGCTGAATTCAAATATAATAATTAAATGTGTTAATTGGCTCTGGTTTTTATGCAACAGCTATTTCAATTTTCTCCACAATAGGTAATTCGTTAATATTATGATAATGCGCCTAACCTTACTGCATGTATATAAACCGTGAATATTTACTAAATTTTAGTCAAATTATATTGCCAATAGTTTATACATGATAAATATTTATTTAATTAGTCTATTGTTTATGTTTGTGCAGCAAGAAACTCTATTAGTAGGCCTAATGCAGTTGAAAAATCTGAAAGTTTAAATGTCGCTTTAATCGTGACTTTAGTTTATATCCTGTTTGCTTCTCTTGACTTTTCTTTTGTATTCAAGGAAAGGATTGTCTCTTACAATGCTCCAGCAGTAGTCTGACAGCATTGACGGAGTCCATTTACCTTGATATCTTTTTTCCATAGTGCTTTATTTACACACGTGCGAGGCATAACTACAGTAAAAAGAACAATGTAAAACGATGTTTAACGATACTGTCTCAGTCTTCAACTGACTGACCCTCACCGTTCAAAAGTCTGGCCTTATATAGGGCTTTCTGGCTTTTGCACATGGCACTAATACTGCGTCATCAAACTTTCTAGAGTATTCTAGAATCTTCCATAGTGTAAGTTGCAACATGCATTTTTTCAACCATACGTGATCACATGATTGCTTATATCATAAAAACTAGAGCCAATATACATTTTAAAAGTCATTTTCGTTTTCAGCACCCCAAAATCATAAAAGAACAACTATTTTCAGGCCCGCAACTTTTTCTCCGTTGAACAGTGTAATCATCATCATCATCATCTTTATTTATACCCCGCCACCATCTCCACAAGGGGACTCGAGATGGCTAACATGAGGCCAAGCCCAAAAATTACAATCAGGCAAAACAAAATACACACAACAGATAAAAACATCAAATAAAGTGCAAACAATAACAAAAGAATACAATAGATTTTCCTAAATTGTACTCAGTCTCCTAAAGCCTTCACATTGCATGTCCTATTCTCTAACACAATTTGTAATCAATGTGTCTCCTCCTGCAGCAACATTATGAACAACAAAGTCTTCTATCAGCATCCCAACCTGATGAGAGCCCTCGGCATGCATGAAACCGTCATGGAGGTGATGGTGAATGTGTTGGGAGGAGGAGATTCAAAGGTAAGCAAGCTTGGCCTTCTGTCAGCAAAGGTCCATTCAAAGTCTGTTAATGGGACACATATGTTCCCTGCAAAAATGTGAGAAAACCTCTTGTTGTCTCTGAGTAGGAGATCCGCTTCCCTAAGATGGTGACCAACTGCTGTCGTTTCCTGTGTTACTTTTGCCGTATCAGCCGCCAGAATCAGCGCTCCATGTTTGATCACCTGAGCTATTTGCTGGAGAACAGTGGCATTGGGTTGGGTAAGCAATGTGCTTACAGGGAAGTTTGGGGTGGGATTGTCACAGCAAATGCCTCATCTCCAAAAGAGACCAGAGCCCATAAACTGATATGCATTTGTTCAAGTTCACTTTATTATGGTCAATGACCAGCTCATGAGAAGAGAGACACAGTCCCACACAAACACATCGGGTCTAAGGGTATGCATTATCCATGTGAGGAATAGTAGATAGTAGAACCAAAGTGTGACAACCCATAGCCTGAGTGATAGCACTTTCCTCTAGATCAGTGGTTTCCAACCTGTGGTCTGTGGACCACCAGTGGTGCCACAAGAACAAAAATATGGTCCGCGGCCTCACTAACTGTTGCCTCAAAACCACATGGCAGAGTGTGACTGGTCTCACGAAACCCTCTTTAGTGCCGAAGGCAATGGGGATGTCCGGAGGGGAGAGGTTGATTACCTACAAAAGATTACTACTACCGCATCAGCTCTAGATTATTAAATATTGTTTTCTGTGGGCGAGCAGATGGCGACTACTGGATGGCATATGTTCTGTATCAGAAACTACAGCTGATGTGGTCTATCCAATGCAGTTTTCTGAATCAGCTCCCCAAATAACCAAACCGAATCTAAAGTTGACCAAAAACTGATTCGTAACTCTTTTGGTACTAATGTTGGAGAGTGGTCCCTGGTAAAAAAAAAAAAAAGTTGGGAACCCACTGCTGTAGACTGCAGGCAGTTTGAAAGGTGGATACTCACAGTAGTATCTTAATTTTGTTATTGGTACATGAGTTTCCCAAGTTGCTGTTAATGTTTAAGACCTGCCAGAATGGCTTAGCAAATAATAATAATAATACTTTATTTATATACCGCTCCACCTTCCCGAGAACACCCCCCACTAATAATAATATAAAACTTTATTTACATACCTCTCCATCTCCCCGAGGGGACTCAGAGCGGTTCCCAAGTAATATCACAAAACATACAGAGTAAAAACAACATAACCATAAAATTAACAAACAAAATATAAACATAAAAATTGTTGCCATAACACACATATATTAAAAGTAATCCTGCCTGTTCAAGGCAATTAAAAAATTTAAAAGGCCGGGCCAAGATTTGTGCAAGCCCAAAAATTCTAGGGGGGCCGGGAATTAAGTGCAATGCTATGGCAGGCAACAATAATATTAGGAACGGGTCTGTGGCTGTTCATTCTGGGACTGATTAGAGGAAATGATCTGGGTAACTGGTAGGAAGAATAAGGCCGTATTTGACAATGTGTAGGGCTGAGTTAGAACGGGTCATTTTCAAAGATTTGTTGAAACCACCAGGTCTTCAAGCTCTTACAAAAGGAGGGGAGGGAAGGAGCCTGTCTTATTTCCCTTGGAAGGGCGTTCTAGAGGCAGGGGCCACCACCGAGAAAGCCCTCTCTTGTCCCCACTAACCGTGCTTGAGATGATAGTAGGACCGAGAGGAGGGCCTCCCCAAAAGATCTTAGAGTTTGCGCCGGTTCATAGAAGGAGATGCAATCGTGGAGATAGGCGGAGCCCGAACCGTTTCGGGCTTTATAGGTCAAGACCTGCACCTTGAATTTGGCTCGGCAACTTATCGGCAGCCAGTGAAGCTGTTTCAATAGGGGTGTTGTATGCTCTATGGGACAAAAGAAATGTATATCATAGGAAAAGAAGGCAGATTTATTTATCCTTTAAAGAATAGAGGTTAGAAATGTTGTTTTCATAAAGATAAAATGCATTCCTCTGTCTTTGGAAATCTGGTGTTTCAGTTAAGGAATAGATCTGGGCAAATCTACTGTGAAATACTGAATGACAGCTATGTAAAATATATTAATGTCAACCTGAGATGTAGCCAGAAAGGAATGACCTGAAATCCAGCACTGCCAAATTAAAATTTTGAATTGATTTCTTCCTACGTTGACACTAAATGTTGCCTCCAGCACAGACCACTCACGTATTTTACTATCAGTCTCTGGGGCACTGCTGAGGCTCTTGTTTTATGTGCTGCTTTGGTCAGAAGATAACAGCTTGCCTGCCTTTGGAACTATCTGTGTTGCCCATTTACCATTTGCCTTGCTTCTCTGCAGGGATGCGTGGATCCACTCCCTTGGACGTGGCTGCTGCTTCTGTCATCGATAACAATGAGCTGGCCCTGGCCCTGCAGGAACAAGACCTGGAGAAGGTATCAGAAATAGTGTAATGCTGAGAATTGCTGGTCTAGGGCACTGCTTTTTAAACTGTGGGTCCTGACCCCAGATGCAGTCTCTTTAGCTCAATATAGTGTCTAGTATCTAGATCCATAAAAGTCATGCTACCCCTCTATTCTGCCTTGGTTAGACCACACCTGGAATATTGTGTCCAATTCTGGGAACCACAATTGAAGAGAGATATTGACAAGCTGGAATGTGTCCAGAGGAGGGCGACTAAAATGATCAAGGGTCTGGAGAACAAGCCCTATGATGAGCGGCTTAAGGAGCTGGGCATGCTTAGCCTGAAGAAGAGAAGGCTGAGAGGAGATATGATAGCCATGTATAAATATGTGAGAGGAAGCCACAGGGAGGAGGGAGCAAGCTTGTTTTCTGCTTCCCTGGAGACTAGGATGCGGAACAATGGCTTCAAACTACAAGAAAGGAGTGCGAAGGAGCTCGCGCCCCAAATTCGGAAAGGGAGGTCTCAGGAGAGAGAAGTTACGATTTATTATTTATTATCCTTAATGGTGCCACCAATTTGGTGATGTGAGGTAATTTTGGGAGATTGGGCACCCTAAACGCAGAATTAATGGAGATGAGGCAGTTTTAAAATCAAAGAGAACAAGTTTATTTTGAAACAAAGCGTATGGTTGCAGTTTGGTGATAAACTTGGAAAATACTTGGAGAACGTTACATATAACTTGGTTGCGATACAGTTCAGACTTCTGATGTTACAACTTATAAATAACCTTTGCTGTGGTGAAGCACTTTATTAAACAATGGTTCCTGAGGTGAATAGTCTTCCTGTTTGACCCTTCTGTGATCAAACCTCAGATCTCTAGTTCACTTTTAACTAGTGATCTAAACAAGCTTCTATTAGTCTTCTCTAACTAATAAAACTAATAAGGTTTCCCCTTCAGCCTTCCCGAACTGAAGAAACCTCTGACTATTCACAACCACTGCTTCTCTACTTCCCACTCTCTCTCTCTCAACTCTTCACTTCCCTGAGCCTAAACCTAACTCTTCATTTCTCTGAGCCTCAACCCTGACTCTTCATGACTCTTCACTCCTCTGAGCATAAAACCTAACTCTTCATGACTCTTCACTCCTCTGAGCATAAACCTAACTCTTCATGACTCTTCACTCCTCTGAGCATAAACCTAACTGACTTTAACTGTCGCTTTTCAAAACTCCCCTCTCTAAGCTCCTCCCACTTCTCTACAGCATTGTTTCCATGGTAACACACTCCTCACAGCTAGGCCGCTCCAGCATTAGCATCGTTTCCATGGTAACACACTCCTCACAGCTAGGCCGCTCCAGCATTAGGGCAACCAGTGCAAACACAAATACAGTTATAATAATATCATTTACAATCAATACAGTTTATAATCATATCATTTACAATCAACTTTATTAAGGAGATTCCATCTGAACATGAGGAAGAACTTCCTGACTGTGAGAGCCGTTCAGCAGTGGAACTCTCTGCCCTGGAGTGTGGTGGAGGCTCCTTCTTTGGAAGCTTTTGAACAGAGGCTGGATGGCCATCTGTCAGGGGTGATTTGAATGCAATATTCCTGCTTCTTGGCAGAATGGGGTTGGACTGGATGGCCCATGAGGTCTCTTCCAACTCTTTGATTCTATGATTCTATGTTGGGGTCATTAAAAAAAATAATAAAGCATTTCTGAAAACCACCTAGACATTTTCACAGATCTGTTGGCAACAACCTGCAGTATTTATAAGAAATTCTGCAAAAAATGCACTTCCATTGCACTTCATAAAAACAAAAATCAGCTAGGTTAGCAATCCTTGCAAATGCTGGTTTATCGTCATCATCATCATTATTATTATTATTATTATTATTATTATTATTATGGATTGTCGATGGTGCAATCCCAGGTGACAGCAGGATTGAAGAGAAACAACTGGAAAAGCTGACATGATATGAGGATTTAAAGATCGAACTGCAAAGACTCTGGCACAAGCCAGTCAAAGTTGTCCCAGTGGTGATCGGCACACTGGGTGCAGTGCCTAAAGACCTTGGCCTGCACTTAAACACAATCCAACTGACAAAATTACCATCTGCCATCTGCAGAAGGCCACCTTACTGGGATCTGCATGCGTTATTTGTGATTAATAATTAGATAATTAATTAGATAATTAATAATAATACATCACACAGTCCCATACACTTGGGAAGTGTCCGACGTGTGATCCAATACAACACCCAGCAGAGTGATCTTGTCTGCTGTGGACTCATCTTGTTGTGTTTCAAATAATAATAATTTATTTTTATACCCTGCCTCCATCTCCCCGAAGGGACTCGGAGCGGCTTACAAAGGGACAAAGGGATATAAACTATTTTATATACCTATATATTCAGGGTCACATAAACATTTCTCAGGTTGAAAGAGAAAAGTTTAAGAAGCCTTGATCTAGGGGAATTATTTATTTACTTTACTTTACTTTATTTATTTATTTATTTATTTATTTATTTACTTTACTTATATACCGCTGTTCTCAGCCCGAAGGCGACTCACAGCGGTTCACAACAAATAAGAACAGCAAAAATTCAATACTACAGTGTAAAAACAGTTAACAACCTAACACATTACACAATTAATAAACAATTACTACAATAACCATTCACTATTGTCAAGTCATCATAATGGTGAATAAATCACACTAACCTGTAAGAATTCTGCTTCCTTGGATGGGGATCATATGGACAGGAATAATAATAATAATAATAATAATCATCATCATCATCATCTTTATTTATACCCCACCACCATCTCCCCAAAGGGGACTCAGGGTGGCTAACATGAGGTCAAGCCCAAAATAATACAACATGATTAAACACAAGATAGACAGGAAAATAAATCATAACAAAATATATAAAATAACAAATAAAATAAACAATATAAAATCTATCTATATATATATAAATGCTCTGTGCATAATGAGTACCTTAAAAACAAAAGAACCAATGAACAAAATCACACCAAATTTGGCAACAAAACATCTCACTACACAAGGAGTGACCATCACTCAAAAAATTATGATTTTGTCATTTGGGAGTTGTAGTTGCTGGGATTTATAGTTCACCTATAATCAAAGAGCATTCCGAACTCCACCAATGATGGAATTGAACCACACTTGGCACACAGGCCTCCCATGACCAACAGAAAATACTAGCAGCGGTTGGTGGGCATTGACCTTGAGTTTGGGAGTTGTAGTTCACCTACATCCAGAGAGCACTGGACAATGATGGATCTGGACCAAACTTGGCACGAATACTCACTAGGCCCAAATATGAACACAGATGGAGTTTGGGGGAAATAAACCTTGGCATTTGGGAGTTGTAGTTAGTGGGATTTATAGTTCACCTACAATCAAAGACCATTCTGAATGAACCCCATGAATGACAGAACAGGGGCAAACTTCCCACACAGAACCCCCATGACCAATAGAATACCTAAGGCCATCCTGTCCAACTCCCTTCACCAGGGCAAGAAAATGTAATCAAAGCCCTCCTGACAAAGAGCCATCCAGCCATAGATATAGATAGATAGATATGATTCACACACAGAGAGATAAAGTATTATAGATTTGAAAGGGAGCCCTAAAGAAGGACAAGAAGGGTGAGATGGGGATAAGACTGCATTTATAAAAGAGGAACCTGAAAGAGAGGAGCAATGGGATTGGGCCTTTATAGGAATTGCCTGGAGCTGCATTTGCAGTTATAAAGCTTCTTTTTTGCCTCCAAGGTGGTGACCTATCTGGCCGGAGCTGGCCTCCAGAGCTGCCCTATGCTGCTGTCCAAGGGTTATCCTGACATTGGCTGGAACCCTTGTGGAGGCGAGCGTTATTTGGACTTCCTGCGGTTCACTGTCTTTGTCAATGGTGAGTTTAGCACTGCATTTCCTGACCATCCAGATTGTTAGGGAAAACTACCCTAAAATAAAGCAGAGCATCCAAAAACAAACAGGATACAAAAGTTGAGCATCAGCTCACTAGCGAGCAGAGCGTGAACTGCCCTGCGATGTGGCTGTAAAGAATTCAGAGCTTAGGAGGCAGACAAACAGAAGAACTGGGTCTGAACTACTCTAACACCCATCTCTTCTAAGGTTTCAAAGAAAGGGAAAAAACTAATCACGACGTCTCTCCTGACACACAAGCAGAGAGAGATCTCAAAGCACACAGCACATACTCTCCATGCTAAAGTGTAAGAAGGCAGAAGTCAGATTCAAAAAGTTTGCAGTAGAAAAGTCTGGCTTGGCCACGGTGGTCCACGCTCTTGTTACATCCCGAATAGACTACTGCAATGCTCTCTACGTGGGGCTGCCTTTGAAGACCTCTTGGAAGCTTCAATTAGTCCAATGGTGAGCAGCCAGGTTACTCACTGGAGCGGCGTACAGGGAACGTACCACTCCAGCTCCACTGGCTACCGATCAACTTCTGAGCACAATTCAAAGTGCTGGTTATAACCTTTAAAGCCCTAAACCAGTGGTTCTCAACCTGGGGTCCCCAGATGTTTTTGGCCTACAACTCCCAGAAATCCCAGCCAGTTTACCAGCTGTTAGGGTTTCTGGGAGTTGAAGGCCAAAAACATCTGGGGACCCCAGGTTGAGAACCACTGCCTAAACAGTTCTGTCCCAGATTACCTGTCTGAACGTATCTCCTGGTATGAACCATCACAAAGCTTAAGATTGTCAAGAGAGGCCCTGCTCTCGATCCCACCACTTTCGCAAATGCGGTTGTTGCGGACGAGAGACAGGGCCTTCTTGGCAGTGGCCCCCCGTCTGTGGAATTCTCTCCCTAAGGGCATCAGGTGGGCCACCTCCCTCCTGTCCTTTAGCAGACAATTGAAGACTTGGCTTTGGGACCAGGCGTTCGATTAGTGGACAGTGGCAACTGGAAAGAAAACTTAGGATATCTGCGACATTGGATTTACCCTCACTTGGATTTGATTTTAATGTTTAATGTATTAATAAATTCTATAATGTGTTTCTAATGATTTTAATGTTTTAAATATAATTTTTAATTTTTATATGCTGATAGCATCATATGATGCTTGTGTGAGGCCGCCCTGAGAATGGCAGGGTAGAAATGCATGAAATAATAATAATAATAAGGTATCAATTTTAAAAATCAAATCAGAATGAGAGAAGAAAGAGAGAAGAAAAAGATACATTCCCAGCTGTCATTCAAGAGGCATGGGGAAAAGGAAACCCTTAATATATACTAAGATAACTAAACTATTCCTCATTGAGGACTTCAGACTTGGCAATGTGGAGCTGAACCCCAACATAGCACCGGGACTGTGGCGCAGCTGTCTGGGAGTCAGCTGCATTAAGATCACTACTGACCGAAAGGTCATGAGTTCGCAGCCAGCCTGGGTCGGAATGAGTGTCTGACCAATTTGTGTAGCTTTTTGTCGACCTTTGCAGCCCAAAAGACAGTTGCATCTATCAAGTAGGAAATTGAGGTACCGCCTACTCAGGGAGGCTAGTTTAACTATTTACGATGCCATAAAAATCTCCAGGAAGTATGCAAAGAATGAGGAAGTACTTCATCAGTGTCACAAATGGACAGTGAAGCAAAAGCTCCCCTGGTGGCCAGAAGCTGGAATGTTAAATAGCCTCTGAGTGTCATATATGTTGTGTGTCTATGGCATTGAATGTTTGCCATGTATATGTACATTGTAATCCGCCCTGAGTCCCCTGCAGGGTGAGAAGGGTGGAATATAAATACTGTAAATAAATAAATAAACACAGATAACTCTTTTGTCTTAATAATCTGCCGTTTCTCTCTCTCCATAGGGGAGAGTGTGGAAGAGAATGCCAATGTGGTCGTGCGCCTGTTGATCCGGCGGCCCGAGTGCTTCGGCCCAGCACTACGGGGTGAAGGTGGCAATGGCCTACTGGCTGCCATAGAGGAGGCCATCCAGATCTCCCAGGATCCTGCCCGTGATGGGCCCACAGTCAAGAAAGATCGCCGCCGGGAGCTGTACGTAAAGGAAACCCATGGGGCAATTTGCATATTTCCAAAGAAGGAGAAGCACTTTGTTATGGGGCAGGATGTATTTATTTATTTACTTATTTACAACGTTTCTACCCCACCCTTCTCAACCCCAGGGGGTGGGGTCGGGGGACGACTCAGAGCAGCTAACACAGCCAACAGTTCGATGCCACAATATCAATAAACAACAATATGAAACCATAAATACATAACAGATTAAAAACAGTAATATTAATTATATAATCACATATCCGTTTACAACTGGACGTATGGTCCAGTTCAATGTTCAAAGTGCCGCTGTGCCCGTTAGCCGAAAGCCTGGTTCCAAAACAACGGTTTTAGTTTTTTCCTAAAGGAAAGGAGGGAGGACGCCAATCTAGTCTCGCTGGGGAGCGAATTCCACAAGCAAGGGGTCACCACCGAGAAGGCCCAGTCCCTCGTCCCCACCAGATGCGTTTGTGATGCCAGTGGGACGAGAGCAGGGCCTCCTCTGTGGATCTTAAACTATGAGGTGGAGCATAGAGGGAGATACGTCCGGGCAAGTAAGAGTTAATGTATAGCACATCCATTAGAGATTAGATCCCAGAACCAAATCAGACAGTATTGAAGTTAGCTTCTGTTAAATTGTGATGAGGCTGGGGAACGAATTCCACAAGTGGGGGGTCACCACTGAGAAGGCCCAGTCCCTCGTTCCCACCAGATGCGTTTGCAAGGCCGGTGGGACCGAGAGCAGGGCCTCCCTGGTGGATCTTAAACTACGAGGTGGAGCGTAGAGGGAGATACATTTGGGCAAGTAAGAGTTAATGTATAGCACATCCATTAGAGATTAGATCCCAGAACCAAATCAGACAGTATTGAAGTTAGCTTCTGTTAAATTGTGATGAGGCTGGGGAACGAATTCCGCAAGCGGGAGGTCACCACCAAGAAGGTCCAGTCCCTCGTCCCCACCAGATGCCTTTGCGAGGCCGGTGGGACTGAGAGCAGGGCCTCCCCAGTGGATCTTAAACTACGAGGTGGAGCGTAGAGGGATATACATTCGGGCAAGTAAGAGTTAATGTATAGCACATCCATTAGAGATTAGATCCCAGAACCAAATCAGACAGTATTGAAGTTAGCTTCTGTTAAATTGTCTAGCTGGGGAGCGAATTCCACAAGCGGGGGGTCACCACCGAGAAGGCCCTGTCCCTTTCCCCACCAGATGCGTTTGCGAGCTGGTGGGACCGAGAGCAGGGCCTCCTCTGTGGATCTTAAACTATGAGGTGGAGCATAGAGGGAGATACTCCGGGCAAGTAAGAGTTAATGTATAGCACATCCATTAGAGATTAGATCCCAGAACCAAATCAGACAGTATTGAAGTTAGCTTCTGTTAAATTGTGATGAGGCTGGGGAACGACAGAAAGGAGTGGAAAACATGGAACTGCTGGAGCAACAGGACCCTATTTTTCCTCCTCAGAGTAGTCAGTTGACTTGACTTGGAAGCTTTTATAGCTTCTTGAAAGGTCAGGAAGTCCTGTATGATTGTTTCAGCCTACAACGATTTTCAAGAGACCTTCTTGATCATTTCATTGTTGTTCCCTCTTTAGATCACAAGACAAATCCAGATTTTCCCACTCCAGAGTTTGCAAAAGTTACGCTTTTAGAATTATAGCACCCAGTATCCCCCCAAGCAGCATAGCTGTGAGATTCTAGGGTTTTCAATCTTTAAAAATAACTTTTCACCTGCCCACTACAATGATCATTCATCGGTATACTCCGCATATGTTATGTGACATTTTTCTTTTTTAATAGTTGCTCCAGTTGGTCTGCTCTCTGGCATTATATTGCAATGGTTCCCGACCTTCTAGTTAAGGCAATGTGTTTGGAGTTGCAGTAAAAAGGGCCTCTCTCTGTTTTCCCTGTTCTTTTTTTTCCTTTCCATTTTCAGGGGACCTGAGGACTTTGCCTTTATTTTATTTTTTTAACACAATAATTGGGTGGGTGTCAGTTTTCTGAATTGATAGCCACACTGTGCATTTTTCCATCTGAGTTCTGTTAATCCCACAAACGAACATTACATTTTTATTTATATAGATATATGCATAGGAATGTAGGGGGAAGAATCCTTTAGTCTGGACCTGTCTCTAGCCTAGCTACTCATTGAGGTCTGGAAACTTGATGACACAAGAAACCTGTGCAATCCAGGGATGAAGCCCAACAGAAGCAGTTCTTTAAGTTCCCGCATTATAGCTGCACTTTACACTTCCTGGCACATGTTCCCTTTACCTCATCTCCCCTTTGTATTTCAGGATAGGACCTCATTAGTTCCCCCCAATCCTCTACCTTTGCTGCATGGATGGCTGATGCTCCCTTTCCCCTCCTTCTCTCTCTCTCTCTCTCTCCCAGGTTTGGGGGAGAAGAAACTCACGAGGAGAACCGGGTTCATTTGGGCAATGCAATCATGTCCTTCTATGCCGCCCTCATCGATTTGCTGGGGCGTTGTGCCCCCGAAATGCATGTAAGCACCACTCCACTCCCTTCACTGTAGAAAAAAAAACCCTTGCATGAGTTTTATCATTTGGTGCATCTCACCCAGCACTGGGACCACTCTTTTTCCAGAGCAGTCTTTGGCTGCTTTATTTTCTCCCTAACTGGCATTTGGTTGAGGTATCTTTCCGGGTATCTCACATCTTATACCTTGGCTCCCTTTGCGCAGCTCATCCAGGCCGGGAAAGGTGAAGCCCTCCGAATCAGAGCCATCTTGCGCTCTTTGGTGCCCATCGAAGACCTTGTTGGAGTCATTAGCCTCCCGTTGGCGATCCCTTCATTTGGCAAAGGTATGGCAAGTGGTCAGGGACCGAGCAGAGTAGCATTCTAGGATATTGCATTTTCCTAAGCTAAGTCTCCTTTTGCCTACATTAGATGGCAGTGTTGTCGAGCCCAAAATGTCTGCCAGCTTTGTACCGGACCATAAGGCCCCCATGGTGTTGTTCCTTGACCGCGTGTATGGCATTGACAATCAGGACTTCCTTCTCCACGTGCTGGAAGTGGGCTTCTTGCCTGACATGAGAGCTGCTGCTTCGTTGGACACCGTGAGTGCTGGGGCCTGACGGGAAGAGACACGCACAAGCTTTATGGTCAAAGCAACAGAATTAATGGAATATCCTTCTTTTATTTATTGTTTAATTATTTTATCTATAGAGAGAAAGGATTCCCTGAAGTACAAGGGCAAAAGGCCACTATACACAAAAAGTAATGCAGTTATATAATTATGAGCATGTATGTCAGATCTATGCTGTAGTACTATAGCATAGATCTGATGTACATTATCATAATTATTTTATCTGTCAGAAGCTTGGCAGGTGGCGAGAGCTAGGCACCAGGGGCCCGGTAGCCATTCCAGGGAGGCAGAGGGGATGGGGCCCAAAAAGGCAGCGACACGACCCCTCTGAAATGGTTAATAGACCCCTCTAGGGGTCGCAACCCCCAGGTTGAGAACTGCTGCTTTGGGGGTCACTTTCTGACTTCCCCACTTTAGTTTCTTAGTGTAGAAACACCCTCTGGCCAAGTGTCATTCAAGAAATAGAGAAAGCCAACTTTATCTGCTCTTCTTGCCTAGGATTATCTCCTTTAACTGACAGTGTCTCTGCTGGGTCTCAGGTTTGGAGACCATCTTTCTCAACTGTGGTCCAGCCACGAGTGGGCTAACTATACAGGCTCACTACCCAAAGGACATACCTCTCAGGCTTTCAACCTGTACTTGCATCGGTGTATGCTACAGGTGGAATGAAGTGGCCCTCTTCTTACGGTAGAGTCTCGCCTATCCAACATAATCGGGCTGGCAGAGCGTTGGATAAGCGAATATGTTGGATAATAAGGAGGGATTAAGAAGAAGCCTATTAAATAATAATAATAATAATAATAATAATAATAATAATAATAAACCTTTATTTATACCCCGCTACCATCTCCCGAAGGACTCGGTGCAGCTTACAAGAGGCCGAGCCCAAATACATCAGTAAAAACAGGAACAACAGCAATACAGACAATACATAAACTCATAAACAAAGCAATAAACAGTAACAATAACATCACGACGCATTAAAAACCTATGGCAGGGCCAAATGTAATAATTAAAATTTTAAAAAATGCTGGGCATGACAAGGTGACATATAACTAGGATAGGTATTTGGAGAGAGATGGAGCGAGCAGACAATCCTAGATCATTAGGGACGTGTTGCTTAGGGTTTCCATATTCTGGGAAGGCATACTGGAACAACCACATTTTCAGGCTCCTCTTAAAGACTGCCAAAGTTGGGGCATGCCTAATGTCCTTGGAGAGCGAGTTCCAGAGTGAAAGGGCCACTACCGAGAAAGCCCTGTCCCTCGTCCGCACCAATTGCGCTTGCGATGGAGGTGGGATCATGAGCAGGGCCTCTCCAGATGAACAAAGAGATTATGTGGGTTCGTACACAAAGATGCGGTCACACAGGTAGTAAAATCATAATGTAATGTCAAATTACATGATTTTACAAATTAAGCTCCAAAACGTCACATTTTACAGCAAATCAAAAGAAAAAGCAGTTCAGAACACAGTAACGTTATGTAGTAATTACTGTATTTACAAAGTTAGCACCTGTGCTGGTACAGCTGTACCAGAAGCTCCCACTTAATTTGCCTTGTATTAAGTGTTTGCTTACAGCCCAAGGCTTGGGATTCTGCAGAAGGGTGGCTTCCTGTTAAAGTTTGCAGTTATAGGGCAAGCCCCCTGTCCATCATCGTTAAGTTTGGTTCCGCCCCCTGTTCAGGACAATTGAGAAGGGAAGGGAGCCATTTTCAGTCAGTCTCAGCAAGGAAGTCAATGTACAGGACGTGTACAGACTTCTCCTGTACAAAGGCTTCAACCCTTAAGACCTCCCGGGGGAGAACAGTCTTAAGAGCAAAAGATTCCCAAAGGTTCCCAGGGAAACAGCCTTACAGCCCCGAGGAATTTCGGAGGGAATAACAGCTTTAAACATCAAGAACTCCAGCTAAGTGACTACAGGCCTACTGGTAGGTCCACTCGGTTTTGAGACGCAGTTCAGCCCGGTAGTGGATCCACATCAGTTAGGTTTAGGATCACAGTTAGCCTGGGAGAAGTTTGGAAAGGGATTTTCCTTTAGAGTAAAACAGTTAGAAGCCACCAGTTGCACAAAGCCTGGAAGCATTTGTTTAACCTTTTGAAGACAAAAGAAGTTTCTGTTGATTGTTCACCAATAAAAGACTTTGTTATATTTTACAAGCCCTCTAGAGACTGTTTATGGTGAAAATCCTTACGAATTTCTCTTTGGGCCCCCTGGCTTCCCGCTGGGCTAAAGTTGCACGTCCTGTTTTAAAAGCAATTCGTTTCAAGCCCAGCGCGCGACAGAACAGCACCCAAACATTGCAATGTACCGAAGCAGCTGTGGATCTGGGCGGGAGGCAGATTGCGTTGGATAATACAGAATGGTGGATGAGCGAAGGTTGGATAAGCGAGACTCTACTGTATTTCAAACCTTCCTACTTGTTCCTTCTACCGCAGGCTGCCTTCAGTACCACTGAGATGGCACTGGCCATGAACCGCTATCTCTGTTTGGCTGTGTTGCCACTCATCACCAAGTGCGCCCCTCTTTTTGCTGGCACTGAGCACCGGGCCATCATGGTGGACTCCATGCTGCATACGGTCTACCGGCTGTCTCGCGGACGCTCCCTCACCAAGGCTCAGCGTGACGTCATTGAAGAGTGCCTCATGGCACTGTGCAGGTACTCAGGAGGACTGCAAACATAGGCTGAAAGAAATAGAGCCTGCAGGCAGCAGGTAACTTCTGGAGCCCCCTGACATTCCCCTAATATCCACAATTTAAAAACAAGTTGGGGCAATTTCACCCAAAATAGATTGCCACCCAAACACATGACAATTGCCAGAACTTCCATCTGCCATCCACCTCTACTCTCAACACCTTTGTTTTTCTTTGAGCCCCCTCTCAAAATGGCTACCAAAAGTGATGGAACATCGCTTCCAGTCTGTGTTAAATAAGTAAATAATGGATTGTTGTAGGTTTTTCGGGTTGTATGGCCATGTTCTAGAAGCATTCTCTCCTAGTGTTTCGCCTGCATCTGTGGCTTTCTGTTCACGTTTTCGTTCACTGCCCTTCTAGATACATCCGGCCCTCCATGCTGCAACACCTTTTGCGCCGGCTGGTGTTTGATGTGCCCATCTTGAATGAGTTTGCCAAGATGTCCCTGAAGGTGAGCCATGTGTGTTTGTATTTGACGTGGAGGGAGGCATTTTTTTTCATGTGGAATATGCCAGACTGTATCATAGAATCATTGAGTTGAAAGAGACCTCATGGGCCATCCAGACCAACCCCCTACCAAGAAGCAGGAAAATCGCATTCAAAGAATCTCCATCCAGCTTCTGCTTGAAAGCCTCCAAAGAAGGAGCCTCCACCACACTCTGGGGCAGAGAGTTCCACCGTTGAACTGCTCCCACAGTGAGGAAGTTCTTCCTAAAGTTCTTCCCAATTTTCCAAACCAAGCATTGGAAAATGTAATCTTTTTTCCCTCCTAGAATGCCCAGAATTCCCTATCAGTATGGTTATTATCATGGTGGGTGGAGAATTCTGGGACTCACTGTCACTGTAGTATTTCCAAGGATGTCAGAATTGTTTTCATGCCAGGAAGCCTTTATCTGTTTATGTCTGTTTCCATCCCTATCTCTCCCTCTTTCTCTGCATGGATGTGTGTGTCTCTGCAATGGCCAGTCTTCTGGCTAGCTAAACTCTTCTCTCAATTCCTCTTGCCCAGCTACTGACCAACCATTATGAACGCTGCTGGAAGTATTATTGCCTTCCTACTGGGTGGGCCAACTATGGGATCTCCTCTGAGGAAGAGCTTCACCTGACCCGCAAACTGTTCTGGGGTATCTTTGAGTCATTGTCCCACAAGGTAAGCCATGTACTTTACTTTTAATTCCCAAGTAAATCATCCGAGATCAGCTAGGCATAGGAGAAAGAGGGCGGGCCTACAGTATTTTGGAAGTTGGTCTCTTTTTGTAGACCTTAATCATTGGGAAACTAGGAACCTAAAGTCCTAGGCATTGTGGGAGGCTGTTGTTTGCTAAGGTAGAGGAAGGACTTATGGTCACCTACATTCTGTTTGGATTGTTGTTGTTCATTCGTTCAGTCGTTTCCAACTCTTCATGACCTCATGAACCAGCCCACGCCAGAGCTCCCTGTTAGCCGTCACCACCCCCAGCTCCTTCAAGGTCAAGCCGGTCACTTCAAAGATACCATCCATCCACTTAGTCAGCCCCTCTTCCTTTTTCCTTCCATTTTCCCTAACATCATTGTCTTCTCCAAACTTTCCTGTCTTCTCATGATGTGGCCAAAATACTTCCTCTTTGCCTCTAATATCCTTCCCTCCAATGAGCAGTCGGGTTTTATTTCCTGAAGTATGGACTGGTTGGATCTTTTCGCAGTCCAAGGCACTCTCAGAACTTTCCTTTAACACCACAGTTCAAAAACATCTCTCTTCCTTCGCTCAGCCTTCCTTATGGTCTAGCTCTCACATCCGTAGGTGACTACGGGGAATACCATTGCTTTAACTATCTGGATCTTCGTTGCCAGTGTGATGTCTCTGTTTGGATTACAAATCCAAAATCCCCAAACCAGCATATCAACTCTAGTTCTAGTTAGTTGAATCTTGGAACTATAGGCCAAAAGCAGTGTTTGCAAGACAGACCACTCCCCTTTTCTATACTGTTGGATAGACAGCCTTCAAGATGACTAGGCACCAAGCTTTCCGATGCCAAAGTGTTTTATCTCATTGAGGTTTTTTTCTCTCTAACCCATTTCTCTTCCCAATTTTCTCTATCTTGCTGCCCAGAAATATGACTCTGAGCTGTACAAGCTCGCCATGCCCTGCCTGTGCGCAATTGCAGGAGCCATCCCACCTGACTATGTGGATGCCAGCTACTCCTCCAAGACTGAGAAGAAGGCATCTGTGGATGCTGAAGGCAACTTCGACCCCAAGCCTGTGGAGACACTCAAGTGAGTGATACTTGCAGATCCTTTCGGTCAGTGGTTCCCAACCTTCCTAATGCCATTTTGTCATTTGGGAGTTGTAGTTGCTGGGATTTATAGTTCACCTACAATCAAAGAGCATTCTGAACTCCACCAACGATGGCATTGAACCAAACTTGGCACACAGAACTCCCATGACCAACAGAAAATACTGGAAGGGTTTGGTGGGCACTGACCTTGCATTTTGGAGTTGTAGTTCACCTACATCCAGAGAGCACTGCGGACTCAAACGATTATAATCGGGACCAAACTTGGCACGAATAATCAATATGCCCAAATGTGAATACTGGTGGAGTTTGGGGAAAATAGACCATGACATTTGGGAGTTGTAGTTGTTGAGATTTATAGTTGACCCCAAACCTGTGGAGATACTCAAGTGAGTGATACTTGCCGATCCTTTCGGTTAGTGGTTCCCAACCTTCCTAATGCCATTTTGTTATTTGGGAGTTGTAGTTGATGGGATTGATAGTTAATCTACAATCAAAGGGCATTCTGAATTCCACCAACGATGGAATTGAAAACTTAAACTGGGTCAGTAGTTCTCAGCAGAGCACTAATCTGTTGCACCCCAGGCCTGGAAACTCCTATTACCACAGCACCACACAAAAGTCTAGAGTACAAGCAAACCGTTTATTGTAAAAGCACATGAAACTATATGAAAAATAAAGAAAGAAAATGTATGATCCTAAAAAGGGTTAGCAGAAGGTCATAACCAAACCGTAAAACAAATGCCTCATGCAGATCCCAAAGTAAAACAGCCCAGGAATAGCAAAAAAAAAAAAAGTCACAATTGCAACATAAGTCCACAAGCAAAAGATATATTTAGTAAAACTTGAGCTGGAATACAAAAACAAGAACATAGAAAGTTTCCAGGATACTTAAATCCGAAACCAAGGCTTGACTTGAAACAAAAACCAGATAACTCAGGCCTTGCTTCTCACTCAAACACTACGTTGCCTGAACTAACCCTTAGGTAAATTACTTGCTAATTAATAGACATCCATGTAGTCATTTCTTTTCCTATGAATTTTCTCCCCAACTTTCCCACATAAGCTAGGAACCTAAAGTCCCCTGAATGCATTTTGGAAGGATGTTGTTTGCTAAGGTAGAGCAAGAACGTATGGTCACCATGATTTTTCTCCCTAACTTTCCCACATAATTGCTCTGACCAACTCTGCCTATTTTTTGCTCTAATCTGTAAACAAAGACTTTTGTTGATTTACGTAGCTCTAGGTGTTTTTCCCAGGGAGCCTTCCGTATCACTTAGATCTTCACCCAACTCCTTATCTAATGTTGCAGTTTCTGGCTCCTCTGACTGACCTTGAAGCCCAGCACTTTCTGAGTCAGGTTCCTCCCAGAGAGAAGCATCATTTCCCTGACTTGAATCTTCATCACTTTGTGCCCTAGAAAATCCCACAATTCTCTAAATCATCAGTGAACCCATCAGCCTCAGTCTGTACTACAACACTATCTTCCTGTTGATGGGCAGCCTGTTTTTTTCTCTCTCCTTGCAGTGTCATAATTCCAGAGAGACTGGATGCTTTCATCAACAAGTATGCTGAATACACTCATGAGAAATGGGCCTTTGATAAGGTAAGGAGCCTCCACTTGACCTTCTGGATTGATGTGTCATGCCTAAGTGGCTCTCAAGAATCCCTTCACAAAGACTCACATCTTCCAAGATGGTGACTTTCAGATGTATTGGACTAAAACTGCATAGTCCCATGACCAGGAGATTTCCATAAACCTTTGCATCCTGGTTTGTCACAGGAAACAATAATCATGCTCTCTTCTTCTTCTTCTTCCAGATTCAGAATAACTGGTCTTTTGGAGAAGCCTATGACGAGGAGGCCAAGACGAGCCCCATGTTGCGGCCATATAAAACGTTCTCAGAAAAGGTAATGCTCTCATTCTACTCTTCCCTCCATAAAAGAAGGGAAACATAACTGTAACCCATCTATAACATTCCTGTAACCAATGTGACTACTGGATTTTGAAGTAGCTGGAGTTTCCAAACTTGGTACAAAGGTAGCCCAATGTAAAACGCATTTCAGAAATCCAACCTCGAGGTTACCATGCGTGCACAACCATCTTTAGGTCCTTCATATCTAGGAAGGATATCCCCCCAAGATATCCCACCTTAGGCCTGCTTTTTAACCCTTCTTCAGCCTTCATTCAGGTTTATTTTATTTATTTATTTCTGGTTACTTACTTACTTACGCGATCCCTCGTTGGCCGAGTAGAGTAGTCTTCCAGGATCAGATTTCTGGTGGGTCCGTAGGTGGCTGTAGAGCCCTATTCTTGATCTGCATCTTCTCCCACAGTGAGGGCATCGGTTTCCAGACGGAAGGCAGTCTTGGTCAGGGTTGGCTTGATGCGCCTTTCTCTAGGCACATTTCTCTCTTTTGCCCTCCATTCGTACCTCTTCAAATTCTGCAGCACTGCTGGTCACAGCTGACCTCCAGCTGGAGCACTCAAGGGCCAGGGCTTACCAGTTCTCAGTGTCTATGCCAGAGTTTATAAGGTTGACTATGAGCCCATCTTTCAATCCCTTTTCCTGCCCACCAATATTCAGTTTTCCGTTCTTGAGTTCGGAGTAGAGCAACTGCTTTGGGAGACGATGGTCGGGTATCCGGACAACGTGGCCGGTCCAGCGGAGTTGATGGCGGAGGACCATCGCTTCAGTGCTGGTGGTCTTTGCTTCTTCCAGCATGCTGACATTTGTCAGCCTGTCTTCCCAAGAAATTTGCAGGATTTTCCGGAGGCAGCGCTGATGGAATCGTTCCAGGAGTTGTATGTGACGTCTGTAGACAGTCCACGTCTACAGACAGTCCACGTCTCACAGGCGTAAAGCAGGGTTGGGAGGACAATAGCTTTATAGACAAGCACCTTGGTATCCCTACAGATGTCCCGGTCTTCAAACACTCTCTGCTTCATTCGGGGAAAATGCTGCACTCGCAGAGCTCAAGCAGTGTTGTATTTCGGTGTCGATGTTGACTTTGGTGGAGAAGTGGCTGCCAAGGGAGCGGAAATGGTCAACATTTTCTAATGTTACACCATTAAGCTGTATCTCTGGCATTGGAGAGGACTGCCTGGTGACTGCTGGAAGGGCACTTTGGTTTTCTTGTATTTCTACCCCGTCTCTTCTCTACCCCCAAAGGGGGACTTAGGACGGCTTACATTTGGCAACGATTCGATGCCGCTACATATAAACAATTATAATAATACAACAACAATTAAAATACATAAAGCATTAATTAAAACAGTACATAAAGCATTAATTAAAACAATAATACAGTATCATTAGCTGTGTCACCATTCCTGTCAATTTCCAACCAAAGTGCTAATTATGTCTGCTGTCTGAAAGCCTGGTTCCAAAATCACAATTTCAATTTCTTCCTGAAAGCCAGGAGGGATGAAGCTGATCTTATCTCATTTGGAAGCACGTTCCACAGGCAGGGAGCCACAACTGAGAAGGCCCTGTCTCTCATGCCCTCCAGTGTTGGCGGGAGCGAGAGCAGGGCCTCTCTGGATGATCTAAAATTATGAGGTGGGACATAGAGGTAGATGCGTTCGGACAAGTAAGCTGGGCCAGAACCGTATAGAGCTTTATAGGTTGAAACCAGCACTTTGAATGTGCGTGCATGTATGTTATTGTTTTTATTATTGCTTATTGTGTATTTTCTGTTTTTGAGTTTTATTTTAACTGTTTTGTATTGATTATTTGTTATCGCTTTTGTTTATTGATGTGCTGTGGGCTTGGCCTCATGTAAGCCGCATCGAGTCCCTTGGGGAGATGGTAGCGGGGTACAAATAAAGTTTTATTATTATTATTTGAATTGAGCTCAGAAGTGGACCGGCAGTCAGTGGATCTGACATAACAAGGAGGTGGTATGCTCCCTGTATGTTGCTCCAGTTAGTAATCTGGCTGGTGCCCGTTGGACTAGCTGAAGTTTCTGAACTGTCTTCAAGAGCAGCCCCATGTAGAGTGTGTTGAAGTAATCTATTCAGGATGTAACCAGAGCATGGACGACCGTAGCCAGACCAGACTTCCTAAGGTACTTGTTTTCTCCCTGCAGGATAAGGAAATTTACCGGTGGCCCATCAAAGAATCGCTGAAGGCCATGATTGCTTGGGAGTGGACAATGGAAAAGGCTCGCGAGGCTGAGGAGGAGAAGACTGAGAAGAAAAAGACCCGCAAGATCTCACAGACACAGGTTTGTCTTTTTTCCCCCACTCTTTTGAGGAGCAAGAGCATTTGGAGTGGGAATGGCTCATGACGTGCCCCATTAGGGACTTGTTTTTAATCAAAAGCAGCTTCGAGGACTGTGCTTTTGCATAGGAGGGTGTTCTTCGCATCTTTTCAGCTATCTATCTTCGTAGTCTTTTCCTGCTTGCTGTCCACATATAGGTTTGCAGGTGCATCCTGATTTTAGCAAGATCACAGCTTCTAAAACTGCAAAAGAATTTGTGGGAAGGGCAATTTCACTTAGAAAGCCATTCAGAGAGGAATTGCAGGCCCAGGCAAAGGACGTATTGTGACAGGTATAGAAACCAAATGACATCAGTCTCTCTTTTTATGTTCTCTTGCAGACGTACGACCCTAGCCATGGCTACAATCCTCAGCCCATAGATATCTCTGGAGTAACCCTCTCTAGAGAACTGCAGGTAAGCAAACACATAGCTCAACCTATGGGATTTGACTGCAACAAACTGTCCTCCTAGAAGAATTACAAAATAAAATGCTGACATCAGAATAAAGTCTACAAGATAAGACATGTGTTTTGTAAATACAAACCAAAAATAGTATATTTTTTTCATTACAGTGTTTCAGTTGTGAAATTAGTAGAAGAGGTACCATATATACTCGAGTATATGCTGAGTTTTTCAGCCCCTTTTTAGGCTGAAAAACCCCTTGGGTTATTTATTATTTTACTCTGTTATTATTATTATTACATTTATAATTTTGCTCTATTTATTATTTTTATTACATTTATTATTTTGCTCTATTTATTATTATTATGACATTAATTATTTTGCTCTATTTATTATTTTATTACATTTATTACTTTACTCTATTTATTATTTTTATTACATTTATTATTTTACTGTATTTATTATTATTACATTTATTATTTTGCTCTATTTATTATTGTTATTATTACATTTATTATTTTGCTCTATTTATTATTTTATTACATTTATTTTTTACTCTATTGTTATTATTACATTAATTATTTTACTCTATTTATTATTATTACATTAATTATTTTCCTCTATTTATTATTTTTATTACATTTATTATTTTTCCTCTATTTATTATTGTTATTAAATACATTTATTATTTATTATTAAATAATAAATGTAATAACAATAAATACAGTAAAATAATAAATGTAATCTAACAATAATAAATAAAGTAATAAATGTAATAAAATAATAAATAGAGCAAAATAATAAATGTAATAATAATAATAAATAGCAAAGAATAATAACTGTAATAATAGAGTAAAATAATAAATGTAATAACAATAAATAGAGTAAAATAATAAATGTAATAATAACAATAATAGAGTAAAAAAATAAATGTAATAAAATAATAAATAAAGCAAAATAATAAATGTAATAAATTAATAAATAGAGCAAAATAATTAATGTAGCAATAACAATAATAAATAGTGTAAAATAATAAATGTAATAAAAATAATAAATGTAATAATAATAAATAGAGTAAAATAATACATGTAATAATAACAATAATAAATAGAGTAAAATAATAAATGTAATAAAATAATAAATAGAGCAAAATAATTAATGTAATAATAACAATAACAGAGTAAAATAATTAATGTAATAAAAATAATAAATAGAGTAAAGTAATAAATGTAATTAAACACCTTCCTCTCCCCTTCTCCCTTTATTTCCCTATACAAAATTAAAAAAAAATTCCAAAAAAAGAGAAAATATGAAAATGTGAGTAGATCAATAGGTATCGCTTCGGCGGTAAGGTAACGGCACTCCATGCAGTCAATACAAAATAAAAAAATTATTTCCAAAAAAAGAAAGAAAAGAAAACATGCAAACGTGAGTAGATCAATAGGTATCGCTTCGGCGGGAAGGTCATGCTGTCCACATGACCTTGGAGGTGTCTATGGACAACACCGGCACTTCGGCTTAGAAATGGAGATGAGCCCCAACCCCCAGAGTCAGACGCAACTAGACTTTATAATCAGGGGAAACCTTTACCTTTCCCTATTCTTCCTCTGCAGGCCATGGCAGAGCAGCTGGCTGAGAACTACCACAACACCTGGGGACGCAAGAAGAAGCTAGAGCTAGAAGCCAAAGGTGAATTTGTGTGTCTTTCCTCAGTACCGACATTTCTCCCTTTTTCAAAATCACATTGCAAGCTTTCTCTCTCTTCTTCCTGAAGGTGGAGGCACCCATCCTCTTCTGGTGCCTTATGATACTCTGACAGCAAAAGAGAAGGCACGGGACCGAGAAAAGGCTCAGGAGTTGCTGAAGTTCCTGCAGCTTAATGGCTATGCGGTGACAAGGTGCGCCTGGAAGATGTGGGAGAATGCACAGAGGATGAAGGGGTCAACTTCCAAGTCCATTTCTCTTTTTAATTGACTTTAAACAGCCCTGCAGGGGGGGGTAAATATGGTAAAATATGGCAAAATTCCTCCCCTCCCACCTCCTCAGGACATTTTGTACATGTTTTCAACCTTCCCCTACATTTTTTCCTCCTGGAAAGGACAATGGTGATCCAGTGATACTGTATGAAACCTGTTGACTGCCTACTTCCTAACAAATATATGGGCTACTGTGAGTTTTCCAGGCTGTATGGGCATGCTCCAGAAGCATTCTCTCCTGACGTTTTGCCCACATCTATGGCAGGCATCCTCAGAGGTTGAGGGGTCTGTTATATGTGAAATGTTGGAAACTAGGCAGCCTCATTTGCCTAGTTTCCAACAGACCTCACATC